TGAAACTTTCTTGACGGCTGAATATATCACACATGTATACTAGTAGGTTATTCTCTTTAAATTGTAATAGCACAACCTAATCAGAGCCTAACATGCAAAAGAATCATCAGGAATAAACAAATATTCTCCTAAAACATTGGACACAATATTTTAAGTAGGCATATACAGTAGGCTTACTTTGATGTACAATTACACCTGAATAGACTGAAGAGATCTCTTGCGCTCCTAAAAGTTTCTGTTGACAAAGTAGGCCTAGTAACAGCAGCAGGTAAATACAGATAAAATTCAAAAACAAACATAACTTAATATCACTAAAATTAAATAGAAAGCTGCGCTTACAGACGCTCACATCCACACAAGTAAACGCAACACTGACGTCTTCACTTTCAGGTCAAGAAGCTGTCAATCAAAAACTCAGTAGCCAATGAGAACACACTGCTAATAGCCCCGCCCCCACGAGAGAATAGTGTCAGAACAGCGAACGAAAACTCTGGAAGCGCATTTGTAAGTTTAGATCAGTAAAAGAAATATGAGGAATAGTTAGCAAAACATGCAGTGTATTAAAAACAAAGTAAAAAAAATTGCTTGCGATTCATTCTTTTTCAGTTTCAAAGATAATTTATTCAAGTTCAATTTATATTTTCATTAGTTTCTTGAAAAGTTACGTTCATTATTATCGGCACAAAAATAATTCCATATTGTAGAGACAGATCTGTGTTGCTTGTTGTATGACTGCACTCCTGAGTTTCATAACAACACACTGGTTTTCAGAGCCGGACAGTAACGGAGTACTTGAGTACAATTTTGAGGGATCTGTACTTTACTCGAGTATCATTTTTGGGGATTACTCATGACTTTACTCAAGTACATTTGAGAGGCAAATATTGTACTCTTTACTCCACTACATTTCTATCCATAACCGTGAGTACCCGTTACTTCTAAAAAAAAAAAAAAAAAGGAAAAAAAGAAAAATCTCGGAAACCCTCAATTTGTTGTTTCCCTCTCAAACGTGATTGGATTGTGCAGGCGCCAGTCATGATGTCATGTTGCAGAGGGACAGCCTATAAGCAATCACATTCAGCTTTCCGCCAAAGTCAACTCCATGGTCAGATTTAGATAAGAGACGAAACAGGTTCAAATGTGGGTGCAAAAAATCCATTAAAACTCTAGCAGAGGTTTGTCAGAGCGTTGCCATTGTGCATTGCTTTGTGGGCAAGAGAGAAATGTTAAATAAAGCAACATGATAAAAAGATGAAAATGACTTGAATTAACTTTCAGTTCCTTTTAGATTATCAAAGGTATTAACATTTTTCATAACTCCATGTAGGACGTTTCTGTACATAAATGTAGCCTACTCTGTCCGCCTCTGTTGGTTTTCCTCTTGATGTTGTTTTAGCCACTCTTTGACAATAGCAGGAAACTCCTCCAGCCGATATGGTAAAAACTTTATTTTAATCTTACAATATTGTTGGTACAAAATGAATAGTGCCCCAAAGTTAGTGAATATCTTTGTTTTGAAGCTATCCCCTGGTTCTACAGACAAGGTTTAATGTTTAAGCCAAGTCCTGGACTAAAATGCATGTTTGAGATGTTTTAACTGAAAGCAACTTGCACTGATATCTTAAAATATGAGATATCTTGTTTTTTCCCTCTGATTTGCCTAGTCTCTGCACTCAATCCTGCTACAGTTATATCTCTATGGGATATGTGATTGTTTTCATGTTTCTAAAAATATATAAAAACATGTAGGCTATTAAAGCAAAAATTCATCTTCACAACACAGTTTAGGATATTTTAGATTTAGTCCGAGAGTTGTCTGTGCCTCCATTGAAAATGTAGCGTATAGATAACAGTAGCGAAGACTAGCCTAACATATTCATACTAAAAGCCCCCCAAAAAATTCATGACGACTCGTGATGCTTTTTCAAACTTGGATCTTCTCCGTTTTTGCAACAACATATCGAGTTTAAGCAACAACATTTTTTAGTAAGTTTGGAGCATGACTTTCACTCATCTGTTATTATTCAATAAACATTTTCTACTGCTTGTCTACATCATACATAAACATACATACATACATACATACTTAAAATGGCCGTGCAAGTTTGCCAAGTCAGTTTGGTGGTTCATAATGTTGTAATTTTACCTAAATGTTCCACCGTTTGTGCAGTCCGTGAAGAAATAGCGGGGTCTTCCTCATGCAGCTCCTACGATGCATTCTCAATCCAGATACTCCCACAAAGCTTGTTTCCTCCACGGAAAAACGTTTTTCCTCAGATACAGCTCGCAGTTTCCTCCTGCACATCAGTCAACTTGTCCAATAATCTCCAATTTGTTCCAATTCAATGCATTGACGAAGACTTAAATCCCCCAAAATAAAACCAGCTCCCATTACGGTCAAACCTTTTGACTTTCTAGACTTTCAATCGAGCTAATAATAGAATTCACATTTTTGATTAAATAATTTACATTTTTGTCAGATCACATATGAAGTGATATTTCTGTGGTTCTCTCTGAATATTGAAGATAATACATCACTGCCTTTTTCTTTCTTTTTGTTTCTTGAGTTTTTTTCACACATTTCTTGAAATGTGAATGTATATAAAAAATATGATAAAGCAACTTTTTATTTATTATTGTGATTATTATTATTATCAGTGCAGTCTAAACACAGAGACTAAAAGGTCAAAATCCTGATTTCAATCTTCAGCATACTAAAACTACTGCTTTATCATTATTTATAATATAACTTAATTTCTATTTATTTAGACATACATAAAATAATTTATATTAAATAGTTAATAGTTATTAGATACTTAAAATAATATATATTTGTTTGTGTGTAGGCCTATATTTACAGTAGCTAGTTGTAGGTATTCTGGGAGTTCTTAATCTGCATTTGGGATTCACATTTATAATATCATTATCTGGTGTATTATTGTGATGTTAATGCATCAGAAGTGGAGTTATGAAGGGATCAGTTTCTGCGATCCATAAATGATGGTCAAACTAAAGATGCAGACGTCAGCAAGTAGTCAGGAAAAAGCAATGTATCCGTCTCAGGTTTCACCAGAGAAAACAAACCACAGCCTAATTTATACACAATTTAATCTGAACACTCAGAATTACAAAATATACTATACAAGGAACATGAATAAACTGTATAAACACTGGCAAAACCAAATCAATCCTGCAGTGACCTCTGGTGGTTGAAACAAACAAGCCTGAATGTGATGCTGGACACCAGTTTGCCTTTTAGTGGAGAAACACTGAACTAAAGTTGCAATAAAATTTTATTTTATAGTTTTTTTTATTATATATTTTAAAATTTTATTTGAATATTTTATATATTTTTTATATATTTTAAAAGTTTTTTTTATATATATTTAGTTTATTTATACAGCTTTGGTCATTTTAATATACATCTTCAATTAAATAAACATTTTCTATGCATTGCTTTTTAAGTTAAAAACCCAACAACATACAAAACAACGTGCATGAATAAAAATATTAAACAAAAACACAATAACTGGCCTACAATTAAGATCTAACAATAAGCATGATGAAATAATTAAATAGTGCAAATAAACAAGGGTCCAAATGCATTTACATGACGCTGAATGAGGCTGAGAATGACTTGAAATATCATTGCTTATATAATAGCCTAAATCTATTGTTAAACCAGTGTAATTATTAGCAAGCTCAGAAATAAGTATATTTTCTGATGATGTGTAATTGCTCTTCAGCCCCACAGATAAACTTTAATAGCATAAACGGTACAATCGATAACTTCACCACGCAGATATTCACAATAACTGATTCTGTGTAATTATATGTGTGTATAATTGCCTAAGGTGAATAAAGTATATAGGCTATGTTGTGTGAGTTTGATGCTTATTTATGCGTGATGCTAATAGTATTTACATATAGCCTTTAGATTTCCGTGGTTTCAATCCTTCAGCTTTATTGCACCAAACTAACTTTCTTTCTCCTCTTAATAGGCTAACGTTACAATTGTATCGACCTATATGCCTATGAATTCTCATAACTGCAAGAAAATGTCTAAAACTGTGAATGTGGATCTGTAACTGTAATCTTACTTGTTTGCTGTGTTAACTGATTTAAGGTTTCGTTTCTGATCAGAATGAGTTTGCAGCGGATTGTCTGGGATCTTCTGAAACACGACACCGGTACACACTTTTGAGCTTTTGGAGGTGGACTTTTCCAGGTTAAAAGTCACGTTTCGTTTACTCTCCGGATACATCTTCATGTATCCCCGCCGGCGCCAGGTGACACTTCTTTGTCTAACTTTTATTATTTCATAGGCTATTATTGTAACCTTGATTATATTGAATAGCCAACCCTCAAAAAGAAAATTCTCTCAAAAATAACGAAGTAACTCGTTCGAGAAGTAACGTTAACGGTTCAATGTGATTTCACGGCACTTCTCGCGCGAGTTTCTCAGTCGTAAACGTTGTGACAGTTGGCTGGAAGCTACGGTTTATAGTCAAAATATTAGTTTAAAAGTTTAAATATTAATATTTTTCTCTCACACACCTATCGTTTAGCTTCAGAAGACATTGATTAATCTCCAGCTGCGATCGTTTGGATTACTGTCGTGTTCACTTTGTCTGGTTTTGGTCCCGTACGTATAGCAGACATTATTATGTAACGTTACTCACGATGGATTGGTTTTCTAAAAATCTTCATGTTCATCTGAAGAAAGCAAGTTATACAATTGAGACAGTATGAGGGTGAGTAAATGATGTGAGAATTTAAAATTTGGGGTCGAGTAGCCTATCCCTGTATTCAATTAACTATAAAAATAAAAAAGGTATTTGTGACCTTTTTTGTCTCACAATTCTAACCTTTTTCTCAGAATTGCGAGATATAAACTCACAATTCTGTCTTTCTCTCACAATTTAAAGTTTAAATCTCGCAATTCTGACTTCATAACACTGCGAGTTAGAAAGTCAAAATTTATATAAAACTCGCAATTCTTTCTAAATGAAAAAAAGTCAGAATTGTGAGTTAAAAGATTAGCTATTTGACTATTGGTTAGTATTAATATGTTGCTCTTTCTTACAGGTTCCTTCATTCTTTCTCTTTGCTCATCTCTTTCTTATCCTGTTTTCCGGCCTTCAGATCTTCATATGGATTTTCATCTACTGCCACGGTCTCATAATCTTTATCTTTCTGAGGAAGCTGCTCATACCCTCCCTCTGATTTTCCTGCCGGTGTTTTTGAGTCGGTTGAACTTAAGGTTTGGTACACCTCGGCTTTCACACTCTTAAGAGCCTCGTACCCACCTTGACCTTCACCCTGACCTTCACTCTGACCTTGACTTTCTGCAGCTCCTAGTGTGTGGTACACCGCCTCCTCCTGCCTCTTTTTTAGGGCTTCATAACCCCCCTCGGCCTTGTCCTTATCCGCATTCTCGCCTAGTGTGTGGTACACCGCCTCCTCCTGCCTCTTTTTTAGGGCTTCATAACCCCCCTCGGCCTTGTCCTTATCCGTATTCTCGCCTAGTGTGTTGTAAACCGCCTGATCGGTGAGTTGGATTTGCTCATAGTCTCCATCTTTCTTCTTATCTTTATCCTGTGCGGGCGCCTGAACACTGCTTCCTCCATGTCTTCTGCGCTTCAGCGCGATCAGCACCACGATCAACACCCCGAGAACCATCAGAATCACAGCCACCAAGATGGGCAGCACATTTACAGACTCTGACGGTGGTTGTGCTACGAGAAAAAGAGAAGATAAGTTTTCATGCAAGAAAAAATATGAGAAGTGTACAATCGTGAAGTGAGAAGTGAAAGTGTCTAGTGCATTTATACATCAGTACAGTCAACATTAAAATGCACGGAAAACAAAAAGTGTTCATACAGCTCTGCATGCCTCTGTTTTGGTGTGAAACTTTAAGGTGTAGCAGACACTTTGAGAACCGTTTCTGCTGTTGATTACCACAGAAAATAATTTCTCATTAAAATAAACCTTAAAAAAAATCATTAACTTTTTTTTATAAAAAAAAATAGAACTAAAATTAAATGTTATTTTATTTCAACAAGTTGCAAAGCAACATTTCTAGCCAATTAAAGCAACACCATGTGATTTTTCCTCAGCGGTCGCCCTACAGGTTGGAAGCAGAATTGTCCATTACTGCTGTCGTAAATAATTTAGCCTTCCGCAGCCGACTGTCGCACGCGCACGCTCGCTGTTTATCCAGCACCGGCTTTGGAATCAACAATGGCAGACATCCCAACCTGCAAGAAGTCATTTCAGGGAGGTATATCTGGCGGGTGGTGGCGGGTTGACTAGCTTTCGTGAGGCACACTCGCAAGGTCTCTCGCTCTCTCTCTCTCTCTGGCGTGCTCGCGCTATGTATGTTATGCGCGCAGTATGTTCTGTCTCGCATGCGCGCTCTAGATTCCGGCAGATCTGAACTAATTTGCGGGCATCAGGGAGACGCAGGAGACTCCCGGGAGACTTGGGATGTCTGCAATGGCCACAGGCAATTTGAGGAAGTGGTGGGGGAAGTGACGTATGCCGTAAAGCAGTCGAATTTTTTAGTTCTTTTTGTGCACGGGTTCCTACCCGAAACCCGAAGTTACATAGTGCCAGTAAAAGCGATACAGACCACGTCAGGCTATGGCAGACGTGTCATTTAACTTATTTTAAGTCGATGTACCATCACAAGGGTCTTGGAAATATATTATGAAGGTTGAAAAACTACATAGTGTTACTTTAAATAAAACCTAATAAAAATGTCAAAAACACTTCAAAATTACTAAAACTTAAAAATATAAACCTAAAAATAGGTTTAAATTATTTGAACTTAATGAAATGAATTTTAATTATTATTCATTTAAAATATGAATAAAAATAAAAATGACAACAGAATTTGTATTACACTAAACACTGGCTAATGAACAAGGTGTGTGTGTGTGTGTGTGACTGTGTGTATGTGTGTTTAGGTACCTTTGTAGCTGTAAATGTTGCTGAAACGGGAGAATCCTTTCCCACACTCCATCCGGCAGCTGAACAGCCCTCCTTCCTCCACGGTAATAATGTGTGTATTTTCAGGTAGTCTTCGGCGTGCAAATGAGTCATTAAGAAATGTTTGATACCAGTAGTAGGACGTGCAGGAAGAAGGACAGTCTCTGCAGAAACACTCCAGACTCTTAGGAGACGTTGAATCCACTGTAGGAGCAGGAGGCCCACCTGTACCACACACAAATATGACTTACAAAAGAATTGATTCAGTGGTTGTTCCTGTAACTCAGTTGGTAGGATAGTGACTTAACGTTAGCTAAGGTCATGGGTTAAATTCCCAGTGAATATGTATCCTTATAAGTATAAAAGCATCTGACAAATGTAGATTCAGTGAGTAATTCGTTAGACGATAACGTGCAAGTCGTTCTGACTGAATCATTTAAAGAGTTGACTCATAAGAGTCATTTGTTCATGAATCGGACTATGCTGGTGAAGCGGTATGCTTGCTTTTGCATGCAGCCAGTAAAAACAACAAAAGAGAAAGATGTGATGTGTTGCTTTATTAGTTTTATTTATTTTAGCTTACTTCATCTTACTTGCAAACAGTGAGTTATTATCATTATACATATATAATGTGTATACTTGTTTATAAATCTTGTGCTTAAATATATATTCACATGTGTCATGTTTTATTATTATCATTATTATTATTATTATATAGTACCACATGGTACTCTTACATAAATGCCATGGCACCATGTCCAAAATATCCTTAATAGTTCTAGTACTAGTAGTGGTTGTCGTGTATAAATGAAGGGATGAGGTGAGGCAGTGATTGTAATATTGTAATGTTTACCTATAACTTTTAACTCCTGCGCATCAGAATCTCCTTTCTGCTCGGCAGCTTCTGCACTGATGTGGCTGTACCTGTAGGTGGCGTGACAGCTGTACTGTCCGGCATGATCTTGTGTGGCGTTGGTGATGATGTATGTGTCTCCTGTTGTGGTTCTTACTGTCTTATTATCCTTATAGAATACAGCTCTGTCCGCTTTCCCACCCCAGACCGCACACCTGAGAGCCACACTCTCCCCCAGCAGTGCAGGAACGGCTGGAGGGTCCAACATCACCTTGAGGTCTGAGACACATAGACACACAGGTCAGACATCCATCATCTACTGCTGCAAGAACCTGATGCTTCATTCAAAGTATGGTGTTACTGACATAAACTACAGGCTATTGGCTGTTTAAGAAAAAGGGATTCAACAGGAAATGTCAGCACTGGAAAAAAATTATATTGGAATTTTTTTAATTGAATATATTGATCAAATTTGTCTTTGTGATGCAAATGAGTAAATAGTTGCCATACAGTAGGAGTATAGAGCTATAAACCCTGATCTTGGAGAAGTGTTAAACTTTGATTGTATTTTTTCGAATACACACACACACACACACATACACACACACACCTCTAAAAAGAGCAATTTTGACTATTACAATACATTCAGATTGAATTATTGTGAAAATAAGATTGTGGCCTTTGTATAGCTTGATTTTGATCTCTGTGAGCAATTAAGATATAAAGTAAGTTATTTATTTTATTTTTTTAAGAACATGAGTTTCACCTTGACCAACAAGCTTAAAATTCAGTAAACTCTAACATAGCTGTCAACTTTTGAGTTTAGCTTGGAGGGAGATTTTTGGAGCAGGGGGATGTAAAAAAAAAACACTTTGCATCACTATAAGTGTAGGCTATTGTGGTTGTCAAAACATTTGGTAGCCTAACTAGGCTACACATACTTTTATTAAGTTTAGTGACAGCATGGCGCAATAATTGGTATAGGCTACTGCTTTTATTATTGCTTGACACAAATTTTACAATTACAATTTAATTCTTGTGGTTTTATTGCGATCTTTACTCAATTTGGATACATATTTATACATATAGGCTACAGTAGATGTTAATTTTTCTCAAGAAAGAAAATCTCACCTAATGCTGTAAACATAGACTAAAGAGAGCCCTGTCAGCTGTTTTTATTTAAGGTTTCAAAAATAACAACTTAAATGAAATATAAAGTAAAACATATAATAAATATGTAATATAGTGCACATATTTAGCAAAATACTCATTTAAACTAATACAAAATATATTATAAAATACTATTTTTTTCTATGGTCATTAAATGGCTTTCCTGAGGTAAATGTTATGTGACTTTGTGGTCTACTCCAGCTATTTTATTGACCTCACCATGGTTGAAAAACACTGAGTGGTCGATATTACAGTATGTATGAGGCATATACATTTCGGTTAGTTACTGTATCTTTCAACACCCACCTATTGATCATTCGTGTTTATTTACTATTCACGCTAGTGAAGGAAGATGATCGTTCACGTGCCATTTTAACTGAGGCGCTACAGCGATCTGTCACATTTAAAAGCGCCAAAACTTATAATTTCGTAATAAAATTGACAGAATCTGAGAGCTGTGAATTTGTTCCATATCAAAAGTATCCTTCTCTGTCTAGTCTGTCGGTGTAAGTGTGCTCTGCGTGAGAAAAGGGATATGTGGCGTGAGCGCGTGTGAAAAGGGTCTATTGTGTGAGTCTCACGGTCAATGCGTGAGAGTCGGCAGCTCTGCTCTAACATCAATTGCTTAACATGTTTCAGAGCCAATAAGACTGATGGGAACTAGTTAAACATCCCGTGGTCAGAATTTTTTTTCTAGGAAAGACAGCTGTCTTTTTTCTAGGAAAGAAAGGGATCTGAAAACGCAACAGAAGTCATGCAATCACTATGTGTCATAATAATGTGTAATATTAATGCAATCCCTTCTTTTCTAAATGTGTTTTTACAGATTAGTAATGTTATGATAATCATATTGATAATATAAAACTGTTTTAGACGTTTGTTCATCTGTGGAACACAATAGAAGATTTTAAAAGATGTCTCAGAGTTTGTTTGTTCATACGATTATAGTCAGCGGAGTCTGGTGTTGTTTTGGACCCCATTGACTTTCATTGCATGGACATTGGACACAAAAAGTCAAAACATCCTTCAAAATATGTTCTTTTGTTTTCCACAGAACAGAGAAATCCATACAGGTGTGGAACTATATGAAAGCGAGTAAATAATGACAGAATTAGTATTTTTGTATTTCCCTTTAACTACACAAGTAATCTGAAATACAACAGGGAAAGGAGGAAGGAGTCACCTGTCATTTTCAGCGTCACTGCATTGCTTCGTTGTTCACCGTTCTTGCACCAGAAAGTGGCTCTTTTTGCTTCGTTCAATTCTGCAAATATAACAGCCCTGTTCTTCATCTTATCAACAGAGGTTCCTAGTGTGAAGCCGCTCTCTCCCCGCAACACATAACACTTCCAGCCATTCGGACCATCGTCCACCTGCAGGACCAGGTTTCTTCCATCACCTTTGGTCATCACAGCGCCACCTATAGATGGAGAGAGCTGAGCGTGAGGCTCCAGCTCTGAGAGAGAGAGAGGATGAGAAACAGCAGGAGGAACTGATGATCGTGAGGGAAAGTTTAGAGTTATTTAGGATGGTGTTCATACCTTCGACAGTGAGTGGGTACGGGTCACTCTTCAATCCGCCCCGCTCACATACGTACTCCCCGTTGTCTTTAGATGTCACTGCTGTAAGAAGCATTGAAGAATTCTGATCTGATTGTAGCTTTCCATTAATGAACCATTTTATCGTTCCACCCCCTCGTTTACAGATCAGAGTGATGTCATCTCCAACAAACACATCTGGGAACCTCGGCAGGAGAGACACTGAGAGAAAGAAAACAGACACATAAGAGACACGTCTTCTGTAACGCCAGGTTGTCTGACTACTTTACTATTGTAAAATATTATTGATTGATTTATTGATTGACAATAATTGTAAACCATGGTGATTTAGTTCTGCCTACTCAACAAATATAATAATTGGAGTAATTGGAAAAGTTTGAAATGGACCGTAAAAGGTGCAATTATGAATTAATGCATTTATAAAGGCATTAATTAATAATTGATGCGCTTATTTATGCATTTATTTATTTAAAAAGTCATATACCCTTTCATTCATATCAGGTTTTTTAGAAAAAAAAATATTTTTTGTTGCTTTTTAAAAAAATATCTTAATATTGCTTTTCACCATTTCACCCTGTCTCTGACTTTAATTAAATTAACAGTTTTTTTGCTGTTTTTTTATTCAAGGGCTTCAGGTATTCGGTCGAGTTCAGTGTAGTTTTTGACCGTCTAATCGATGTGAAATCTGCCATAAGTAATGAGGATCTTGTTAAAAATAAACTTGAGCTGCTGGTTTCTAACATTGGGATTCTTCAGGAGGATCTGCAGATCTTAGAAAATAATCTGATGCTTTTTGATCATGTAGGAGACAGACTCTTCAGTCTTCAGCGAGGAACCACGTCAGGAACTACTTTGGACATGGTTGGAGGTTCATTAGAAACATCAGTATGCTGGTTGGGTGAAGTGATGAGGTTTGCAGATCTGCATTGGTTTTTTCTTAATCCTGTGCTTTATTATAGATTTGATAGTATCTCTTTTTTTTTAGCTCCTCTGATCTTGTGCACAATGAAAATGTGTGTATTTACCTGCTGGTTTTTCTCCCTTGTCCTCTCTTATGAGAGCCAACAGCACTGTGACATAAAAAGATAAATCAGATTATTTCTGCACTAAGAAATTTCATCTTTCATTTTAATTTGCAGCTTCATTGACATTGAATGAGACGGCCGCACCCAGTCAGTTTTGGGTGAATCATGACTCAAGAGTCACTGGCCAGTTGCATTTTCAAAAAAGTAGTTTTGAAAGTAATTCTTGCATATCTTTCTAAATATCTTTGTAAAAATTTGCTTTTGGCAGTGTAATTGAAAATCTGTGTTACAAAATGATCATAGTGCAAACATCACCAAAAATGATATTATTACATAATTAATTCTGTCAAGTTTGCATTGAAATTTAATTGAAATTTAATTGAACTGATAATTTGATCATTTTTTTCAACATTTATCATCATTTAATGCCAATATATTAACCAGACAAACAAAGCTCATTAAATAATTGTTGCGTAAATATGCTTGTTTTACTTCAAGAATTTGTCAAAACATGTCATTACACAGAATCAGACAATAAGATGCTGCATAAACTCTTGTGTTTTTTTTACCTGACAGTGTCAGTAGAGACCTCATGTCCATCAGCCGAGCCGAGCCACGCTGTCCGTCTGTCAGAAAGAGAAATATGAGTGTCTGATGGACAGAAAGATGAGCCTTATGTAGAAATTTGGGGAAGTGGAGAAAAAGTGGTTTATCAGCTTTATTGCATTAAAGCTCAGCTAAGTATGCATGTGTCTGCGCATGTTTCCATTGTTTTTGTTCAATCGGACAGTTTTTTTCTCCTTTGGTAATTAGAGCGGCTGCCACACCCTTTGGTCACACTTTTTTTTAACAGCTCATTTTAGCCGTGGTTTGTATTCAAGCATGCAGTGAGTGTTGCTCTCAATGTGAAATTTGGTTATTATCAGGTGTTGCTATTTACAGAACGTCCAAAGTCATGGTCGTGTAGATGGTCAGTGATCAAGAACAACTAGGCTCAAACTCAAAATAGGCATGAAAGAAAGATGCATGACTCATGCATGATGCATATATTTTATTTATCAATTTATGGTATTAAGTTTTCAGATAAATATATATTTTTCTAATTAGTCTATAGACCTTAGTACAACTATTAACTTAAAAGTGTGCATTCATTTCAAGTGCATTCAAATTTGATCGCTTGTATCAACAATTCTGTTTCTGCCCACGGAGAATATTTATGAAATTGTAAAATATTATTTTAAATCAATGTCAATTTTTTTTTATATCAAAGTTAAAAATATGAATCTGCTTTCTTGTCTTATTTAGCATTTTTATACATTTTTGCATTCAGATGTTCATGTATAAGCAATAGTAAGGTTTATTAACTGGTTCATTGTTTACTTCATAACTTCTAATGTATATTTCAAATATTTTCAATTCATTCATGTACAGTTCAAAGTAATTTTATGAGAGAAGCGATGCATACCCCCCTTCCCCAGAAGCCAGCACAAATATCTATGCTGACCTGTTGAATCATTTTTAGTTCGTGAAAGTATAAAATACTTGAACTGCTGGCTAGTTAACCTGAAATGACCCGGGTTATTTTAGTCTTGATCTCTGCACAGAACATCATCGCCTGTTTGCAGATCTGTGTTAACTCTTGGGGTTTGTGTATTTTCAGTGTTGGCAAAACAGTGTTACTTTCTTTTGAAAGTTTTTTGTGTCTACTGGATTAACAACATTAACCACACTTATCCACCCTCTGATGTTTAGTGAGCGCTGTTTTTTTAGTGTAAAGTGCAGAGGCTCTGCAATTTTTTTCTATTTACTTAAAGTGCAGTAGTGGATAAAAGCAGATAAATGTTGTAAAATGAATATTCAGTGAGTCATTCAGATGCATCTGGGGACGATGCAATATGTGGTCTTGATTTTGATTTCAATATGATTCAAATTTGTAATTCATTTATGCCAGGAGGTCCAACAGGTCAGTAGTGACAGCAAAGAGGAGGACATCTGACAACAGATCTCAAAGCCAGTGAGTAAGTTTGAGAAAAAGTTTCACACTTCACACTCAGCAATGTGACAAACGAATGTGAACAGAAAATAGATGGAATTATATTGCAAAAGCGATTACAAATATTTAAGTCACATGCACTACTTTAGTGACAGGGAATTAATTTATTATTTAATATCTTCTTCTTCCACTTCAGTGTCACAAAGCGTCTTTATACTTCTGAGACTCAAGCTTTCATAGTCATTTCTATTCTGTTCTATTCTTTATTTAATTTGCTCAAGATGTGTTCCTAATTCTTTGTTCCATTTGTGCAAGAGGAACTTGCTTTACTGTGTGTGTGTGTGTGTGTGTGGGTGTATGTATGTGTGTGTGTGTGTGCGTGCGTGCGCGCACATTAACTTCCTGTGCATTTCCCAGAATACCCAATGATGGTGTTATTTATGACCAGAATCATATCGATTGGTCATCACTTTTTTACTTTTTTTTTTTTTTACTTGAGATTAAATAGTTTTTTGCAATCAACAAGGGTATATTAAATATGTTGGTTGAATTTGGTACAGTTCACAATGCACACTCAACAATGTTTTTTAGACACACATAGTAACATTTACACATGTAGAAAAAGCTGTTGTTCAGAAATGAACTGATGATGCTTTTGACAAAATGTGCTGAAATTTAGGAGTCATTTTGGCCACATATGAATTTATAGCAGCACTTTCTATGAAACCAGCATAATTGTGCATTAACAGTGCCCTATTATACACATACAATGTTTTCATAAATAAGTGTAACCGTTATAATCTATTAATCTTAATTATATTTATGCATCTAGTAGATACTTTTATCCAAAGTGACTTGCAAAGCAATTTGTCACAGATTTATTATCTATTCACATAACACACAATGTTTCAGTAACACATCTGATTAAAATGTATTAATGCACTGTGAAAAAAAATAGCTTTTGCACTTGACGTAACTTCATTTTAATAAAGAACTGAGCCGTTTAAATAATTCAATATGAATAACTTTATAATTCATTATATACAGTATGGATGCTTCAAAGATGGTGTTGCTAAATTGATTATCAGTATGATCTTTTGAGTGGGACAGAATATCATATTTATGCCAGATGGTGAAATCTAGAGGCAGTAAACTCTGTAACCTGTGCCCTTTAATAATTGTGTTGGGAAAGCGAGATTTCGATGCCTGTGGTAAAGTAGCGGTGACTTGGTTTTTGCCTTGGTGACTTGCAGATTAAGCCGTGTTCCTGGAACAACAATCCTGTCGAAAGAAAGAAAAGCTCTAACTCTTAAACTAGAGGGCCTAACCTAATAATGCTGGTTGTCGTACAGGAAATCCAAGGCAACATCACTTTTATTTTATTTATAAAGATAATACAGTTTTTAATTACTATTTTCCATGATCTCTTTGAGTCTTAGAATCGAACGAGCTGGTTGTTTTTTTTATTTTTTTATTTTTTTATTTTTTTATTTATTAGGGACAATGCACAAAATACATTAATCTTGCGAAAAGATGTTTTGTGCCAGAGTTAGCCGAAGCTAATTTTCATCCGCAGTCCCCGGGCAGGTGCACACAATTTTTAAAACATTACATTACAAAACCACTATCAATAGTAAAAATAATGACAAATAGGCTACACATAATAATAGTCAACGAAAATCATATAAAAACAAACATGTTGTTGATGTTTGTGTTGCTGCACTTTGCTTGTATATGTTAGTGATTATTTAAAGGCTGTGTGTTTGCTGTCAGTTAAGTGTATTTTTAATTGCTCATTTTTACATTATTTTATTTTATTTAGACAGAACTGAAAGTCAGTTGAGACATGTCTCATTCCAAAACTGAAAGCGTTTTTTTAAATGTTGCTTTTTACAGATTATCAGCTTTATAATAAAAATTCCATGAATGACTGATATCTAATGAATGAGTAATATAGTACATTACGGTCTGAGGGTCAGTGATGTGGCTTAAGACATGTTGGGGATTTTGAGGTTATTTGCATTTGTCTCTTGGAGGAACAGAGGACAAGTCTTCTCTGAAAGTCATCATAGGCTTAATCATTCCAGTAGTTTGATTTGAATGTTAAAACAGTCCAAACCTCTTTAAAAATGCTTAGAATAGAAATAGAAGTAGGGATTTTGTTTTTACTGACCAGTAGGCTTAATTACTGGTATTTACTATATTAAGTATCACTATTACTATTGCTTATCGTTAGAGTTCGTGGTGTGATGTCCATCGCCCTGCAGCGTTTGTGCTCCAGACATGAATAATTCCACAAATCATGTGTCTTCTTGAGGTATTAGTTATGATGTTATGCCTGTTGGACATGAAAATAGGTGACTTGCATTAAATCCCACAGATTTACATTGAATCAAGCATCAAGGCGCAGTGAGTTTTGTAAGTAACCTCTTACATGTTCTTTAGAAATGAAAAAATAAAGTTTATTAATTGGATGACCAGATAAGTGCAATGCACTTTGAGAATTAATTGAATAAATGATGTATCCTTATGGATAATTTGTTTAATTCATGCTCAAGATGTTGCTGTTTTGGTAGCATAGCATGCTAATCAAGCAAAACATTGACTGCAAAGTAGAGCAGTAGTGGTTTCAGCTCTAGAAAATCAAATTCATGTCATTAGTTTAAAAAACACATTTGATCATCTCTGAAGATGTCAATTCTAAACTAGTATGTGAAGTGTTTATCGGCTTCGTTGTGGTTCTAATGTAAGGACGCTAAGCTTTGATGTTATAGTAAGGTCAGAAAACAGGACAGTGTTGGGGAGCAACACACAGCCTAACACTGGCTACAAACAGGCCACGATCAGTCCGTTTTGAAGGGCTTGACTGAAGAAAAACATGTATTAGTAATTAGGTAGCAGGACTGTTAGCGTGTGACTCCCAACACTGTCAGACCTACTTACACACGCCTGAAAATAGAGAAAACCACGCTGGAGGACTCCATAAACATGAGAACTCGCTAGTAATCACTATACACCACTGCCTCAATTCACCAGAACTATACATGTCCAGAGAGAGAGAGGGAGAGATAAAGAAAGACAGAAAGATAGATAGATAGATAGATAGATAGATAGATAGATAGATAGATAGATGAACAGTTGGGTAGACAAAGATAAGCAGACCATTGCAGGTTTTAATGATGATTTTTAAAAATCAAATGTTTATTTTAGATCTATGAGCTAAATATATGCTGGATTAAAGATGTAAACATATTTTGATGTATTCTATTATTTGATGATCAAATTTGTACATGAAAACAGTTGAGTGGGAAGCAGCGTTTTGGAAAGATGTTTACAATTTTTGCATGTGCATAACTGACACTAGTGCAACAGTCGGGTTCTGGAACTAAAAACTCAAGTCATTATCTCCATAAGGAAATTGATTTTGTATTGTTCAGAATCAATTTCCTTATGGAGATAATGAATGTAACGTACTGTATACACCTTTAAAACCAGACATACTGTGAGCTACGATTAATCGATATTTGCTTGGATGATATCATCCTGCATTATTTAAGCTTATATTTTTAAATAATTGTGTTTAACAGTGGAATTCCTGGTAAAAAAAATAAAATAAATACATTACCCATGATGCTGGACAGAAAATTACACCAATCAGAGAGTTGAAAAAAGCAATACACTCCAAAGTATCTCTGTAGCTCCACCCACTCTCATGAATGATGTAATCAAGTTGATCTCCCTACACTTTCAAAATACTGAAATGTTTATATATATATATATATATATATATATATATATGCATATTTTGCAATAAACTTAAAATATTTTGTTTTACATATAATCAACATTTGTAAATGAGTAGTTTTATATTTCTACCAGAAAGACTCGGGAGAATAAATACTGTAACAATAAATACATTTATTGATAGCCCAGCAAGCAATAAAGTTCTTTGGCGTAGGCCCCGTCCATAGCTCGCAATCCGAGGGTCCGGACTCTGCATTTCCTGCCTGAAGACGAAGGCAGGGGCGCAGCCGACCCCCTGTGATGTATAGGAAGGGACCATCCTGGTGGTGGTGGGGAGGATGGAGGGGAAGGGACCATCCTGGTGGTGGTGGGGAGGATGGAGGGGAAGGGACCATCCTGGTGGTGGTGGGGAGGATGGAGGGGAATGAAAGCGTCAGCATCTGCGAACTCAAACATGTGTAAGTACTGCCCCTTTAATGCTGCAAGTATTAGACATGATTGGATAGATGAGAAGGTAATAAGTGACGTAGCAATTGAGTCTTCCTGGCAGAACTTAACGCTAAAGCTTCCATTTCTCCATAGTTTTTAATTTGATTATGCTGTTCGCAATGCTTCATGGGATTGTAGTTCTTTCCCTCAATAAAGCGTTAAGTACAGTCTTGTACCTTTTGTTTTTTCGTCCGATTTTCATATACTTTTTTGCTTCAAATCAAAGTTTGTAGTGTTGTTTGTTGTGATTCACCTTGTTGCTGATTGGCTTGGTTCATGGCTTATAATGCTTTAACTAAGACTATTTTAAAATCCCTATGGGAAAAATTTAATTAACGATACTTCCGGAACCAGCGTCACTGAAAAAGGGGGCACTGTTGCACTCTATATTGGGTGGTTGCCAGGGTGTTGCTATGTGGTTGACGGGTGATTGTTAACTGTCTCGATTGAAAACTCTCTGTGGTCTTATGGTCTGTAGATGTGGTTTGGGTCCCTCTTCAATGTGCATCTTTTTTCATCCTTTTTTCATCTTTTTTTATGGTCCAGCAGGTGAAAACAGTGTGTCTGATCAGTGCAACCAGTTCCTAAACAAATAACTCGTATGAAGCAGTTCTTTGCAGTGAATTAAAAACATACTGTGCAACCAGTGAAGCTCAACTAAAAGTAAATGCCACTAATAAGAAAGACTTGCCAAACAGGCCTGATTTAGAAGTGGAGAAAGTGCAGACAGGCTCTTCAGAAGCAGGTGATGTATTATTTGAACTGTCTGGTTTCTTCATTTGTTGTGTCTGTCTGATGAAAGCCAGTCGTTCTGTCTAACTGCTTTGTGTTTTAGGTTTTTGGAGTGAGAGACGGCGACTGATTTCGGCGTGATGAGGACAGGTGAGGATTTCTCTAATTCACCGCATGAACACACGCAGTCAGGCTAATTTCTCCTTTCATTTTTCAGTCCATGACCCACTTCTGTTCAAGAGTGTGTGTGAGTGTCACAGTATGTTATTAGCTCAGATAACAGACTCACACATATGCATGATGCATACATGTCTTGCATTATACATGTGAAACTGTATGTTTTCCTGCGTGGGTTTCAGTGGTTTCCGAGTGTAACAGATGACTTCTTCCCACAAAGCCACAGAAGATCCGGATGAAACCCAAGCCTCAGATGCGAGCCAGTTTGATCTAGCATCCGAGGGGCCGTTTGTGTGTGTGTGTGTGTGGAGAGCGAGGCTGGAGGGAGGAGTGTTTGAGTGCATGACAGCGGGATGAGAGAGATCTCAGAAGAGAGGTTGTTCCAGTGCTGGAGGTGATCCTGCGTGGACGCAACGCCTGGATGTGCACGTTTATTGGCGTTTTTATGACTGTTTGCTCTGGTTGTGTCTCTCTGGACCCTGTTCTGACCATATCTCTGGAGCAAAGCGGCTCTTCTGTGCTGGAATGAGGAAGCTCAGGCTGGACATTGAGGTATGAATTCCCACTTGGATAGTGCATCCGTTATAATGCTTGGAGAGAGCAGATATAATAGTGTTTACAGGAAAAACTATTGCATGCATGATGCGCGTGACTCTCGGGATGCTTAATAGAGGACTTTTGGGAAAGTGTTGCTTTGCGTACATACACTTGTGCTGGTGTGCTTTGGCAGAACTGTGAACTGCAGTAGATGCATATGCAGCACTTTTGACTTCAGTGTGTGTTTTGCTCTAAATTGCGCTGATAGTGAGTGGGGGATTATGTGTGTGTGCTGTTTTCCTGGTGTGAGAGGCCTGCTAAGAGCAAAGGTAGGTCACTGTACGCAGAGAGCATAATTATGCACTCAAACACTTATCTAGGAAATCTGTGTAGCGAGAGAATCTGTGTGTGTTTAAACAGCCTAAGCTCAATTAGCTGTTTGATTTATCTGTGGTTTAAATGTGATCTTGAGCTGTGTATGAAGTGCATTCTTGCTGTGTACATGAATTATGTTCATGCTTAAAAAAAAAAAAAAAAAGCAGTGACTGTCAACATCCAAAAAGCACCAATTAAGTAGTTCATGGCTACTTTGCTATATTCCAAGAAGTCATAGGGTTGATAGGGTTGTGTGAGGAACAAACCCAAATTTAAGTGTTCAGTAATAATCTTTCAGCTCTCGTCTCTCTCTCTCTCTGGTCCGGTTCTCTCGCAAAGCATCATGACTTCAGAAGTCAAATGGAAGTTGTGCACAAGTTGTATGATATTGTAAAGACATTTTTATGGTCAAAACCTGGTTATCTTTCATTTTGATTTATCTTTCATCCCTCTTTGTCATGTGGTCATAAAACAGCACATCTATCTATCTGTCTGTCTATCTGTTCATTCTATCTATCGTTCATTCATTCCTTCTATCTATCTATCATCTATCGTTCATTCGTTCCTTCTATCTATCGTTCGTTTGTTAGTTAGTTAGTTTGTTCAATCTATCGTTCATTCAATCTATCGTTCATTTTATCTATCTATCTATTGTTTGTTTGTTCTATCGTTTGTTTGTTCTATCGTTTGTTCATTTGCTCTATCGTTTGTTTGTTCGTTCTATCGTTTGTTTGTTCTATCGTTTGTTCATTCGCTCTATCGTTTGTTTGTTTGTTCTATTTTTTTGTTTGTTCGTTCTTTCTATCGTTCGATTGTTTGTTCGTTCTTTTGTTCGTTTGTTCTATCTATCGTTTGTTTGTTCTATCTATCATTTGTTCGTTCCATCTATCTTTCATTCGTTTGTTCTATCAATTGTTTGTTCGTTCTATCGTTTGTTCATTCATTCTATCGTTTGTTTGTTCGTTTGTTTTATCGTTTGTTCGTTCTATTGTTTGTTCGTTCTAACTTTCGTTCGTTTGATCTTTCTATCGTTTGGTTGTTCTATTGTTCTTTTTTTAATCTATCGTTTGTTCGTTCTATCGTTTGTTCATTCCATCTATCGTTCGTTCGTGTGTTCGGTCCATTGTTTGTTCGTTCTATCGTTTGTTCATTCGTTCTATCGTTTGTTTATTTGTTCGTTCTATCTGTCGTTTGTTCGTTCTATCTATCGTTCATTCGTTTGTTCTATCATTCGTTAGTTCATTGATTCTATATATCGTTCGTTCTATCTTGTTCCTCTTGCTCTTCTTGATATTCTTGACCAGTGTAGCAGGGATTTTTTGTGCTTTCTGTATGAGAGCAGCATCATCAGTCTGTGACATTAGTGGTGTGGAGTGGACAGATAGTTGTGTTTTAGTAAAGTTTCTCTTGGTTTGGTGTTTTTTCTCTCCAGCTCTTACACTCTTTTTTTTGCGTTCTGTCTCTCCTCGTCCCAGTTTTCTCTCGTACTCCTCCTCTCTTCTAGAGCGCTGACCTCCAGAATGTTGTTGAACGAGGTCACGGCTGTGGGTTTCCTCTTCGTTTGCTTCTGCTCATCATTTGGGCTGTTCACATGTGATTTCCTGTGTTAACATTACTCTGTGTTATCTTGTACCAGTTTAACACTGGTCAAACATTAATCTGGTTTAGTAATTAATCGCCAGTTTTGAGGTTTTACACTGTAGGTTCATAATCCCTGACTTAATATTATTATTATTATTTTATTATTTAGGATCATGTTTAAACATTGATTGAACAATTAATAACAAGCATGCTATAGTAGTTTTAAATCAAATTGTAAATTCATATACATTTTGGCATGTAAATCCACTCTAGTTATCTTTAGTTCTCTAAAATCTATTACAAAAAATAGAAGGAAATGTGTAAACCGTTGTACAAAAAATGGTGTAAAAACCGTTATTTTGAACTGTTTTATGTTGCTGAAACTAAACAGTGCATACATATTTTATGTCATAAGCAATTATTCAGTAAGCATTAATGGTTTATGGTTGGTTGTGTGTTGCTTGAATACTCTTTACTATCTGATTCACATGTACTAGTGTGGTTTTTGTAGGACAACATGGTGTGTTAATTTTAGCAACACTGGTCTCTTTAGTGCCTTTCTGTTCTGGTTGATAAATACTGTAACATGCACCTGTATTTTTCTGATATGCATTCTCGCATCTGGATTGTTTTGACAAATTTAAAGTCTTACTTTGGTTATAGCAACAGAATATGTTTTACACTGAATTACTAGGCGTAAGATGATGGTTGATAACGATTCTGCAAAGTCACATAGCTGTGTAAAGGGCTGTTCCTGAATGTGACGTGGTTTATATTTGGCTTAACAGACAGAGTTTGCTTTAAGTTATCAGACTTATGATTAAATGTATGCATTTAAATGAAAATGGAATAAGTGGAAATATAAACTCCTAGTTTAGTTCTGTTTACCTCAAAGGTCTTTCTTTGCTATGTAAATTTAGGATATAGTATTCATATTCAAAAGTTTGAGGTCGGTAAGTTTTCTTTTGAAGAAGAAATTAATACTTTTATTCAGCAAGGATGGATTAAATTGATCAAAAGTGACAGTATAGACATTTATAAAATTAAAAAACATTTTTACCTATAATAAATGCTGTTCTTTTGAACTTTCTATTCAGCAAAGAATCCTGAAAACAAATGTATTTCCACAAAAAAAAAAGGTTTCCACAAAGACATGAAGCAACACAACCGTTTTCAACATTGATAATAATAAGAAATGTTTCTTGAGCAGCAAATCAGCATGTGACACTGAAGACTGGAGTAATGATGCAGAAAATTCAGCTTTGATCACAGGAATAAATTACATTTTACAATAATCACATAGAAAACAGTTATTTTAAATTGAAATAACATTTCACAATATTTCTGTTTTTACTGTAGATCAAGTAAATAGTCTTGGTTAGCAGAAGAGACTTCTTTCAAACTTTTGAATATAACTATATTATTAAGCTGTGGCCTGTATTTGAATGTATTGGCTTAAACCTTTGAGCAATTCACTGTTATTCACAACAAATTTCACAAAAACTCTTATGATCTTCAGGCCTCCCACGTAACACTTCTATCACCTGCAAACAAGTGTACAGAGGAGGGAACGCCTCTCATTTCACTCATTCATGATCCCTGGGGTTTTAAAACATCATTGCATCATGAACACTAGCAGTTCATTATAGAAACAGAAAGTGGTTTTGTGCTTTTCTCAATGACACAGTCTCCCTCAGAGCTCCAGGGAAAGAGTGCAGAAAAAACACTAAAACTCGGTTTAATTGTCCGTTATCTGCGCCGTCATTCTTTTCTAATAGAGCGATGGCCGGTGAGAGACACAAAGAGCGTGAGCGAGAGGAATGGACCAATGCCGGACCTGGTTGCTCCACTTCTTTTTAACGGGTTATAAAAGTGGGACAGCCTGTTCCATGGCAGTTCTCCAATTAAAGTTTCTGGGGACCGATTCACTGGAAATATATCTATATTCACCCTGTCCTACATAGGAGGGGGTGGTGCGCTATGTATGTGAGAGAATGAAGTACAATACGATAGGAGGTGTGTGTAAAAGGGTTTCTTCTTTGAAAAACCGAGCGAGCTGAATGGACACTCGGACGTAATGGATTATGTGCAGAAATGCGAGTGGAAAAGCCTTGTAGGTGCTGTATTTAGTTATTTATGTGACCCAATACTGGTTTTATTGGACTACTAACTAAATTGCATTTGTTTCTCTGTGATATAGTACTGTTTAACAGGCCTTGTCTCGTGTCCGGTGTCCTGACAGACTGGTTTCTGCAGTCTTTTTGCTGTTTTCATGACCTGGTCTCGTATCACCGCTCTTCCCACTTTGTCCTTGGGCTGCTGGTTTCTGTGTGGCGCCTGCATTACTCTCTCTGAATCGTCTCTAGAGAGTGAAATGAGGCCAGTGCTCTATTTTTCCCCACCTGCCCCAGTCAACTGCCAATTATACAGCAGAGAGCTAATCAGCCGAGGGAGAAACACTTCTCTGCATTCTCATTGGTCCTGTTTTATTAGCTGGTTAATATAAGGGGATTCATGCATGGATGCATGTATAATTCTTTAGGCACGTTCAAACCAAGGACGATAACTGTAACGATGACGGTAAAAATATAGTTCTATAAATGTAAAAGAGTCCAAAGCACAACTATAACGACAACGGCACAGAGGAACTATATCGTTGGAATCACTTTCAGAACTATTTATTCCAGCTGATGACCAATAAAAACATTGACAACCAATCGGAATCCATTTTGCTTTAAAGCCAAGGGCTCGAGCATTTAAAGCGACAGATGGCATAAACTGCAGCGCATGCTTAGAATAATCAAAGTGTCATTCATACATCCATAAATACATTGATACATATATACAGTACATACATATATACTGTTGTGGAAATTGTAATAGTCATTGATCCCTAACAGATATCATAAGAGAGAGAACCTATTCAATGTGTAAAATATATGTGTGTACAGTACGTGCTTGTGCGTGACGTTTCAGGAACATATGGGACAGGACCTCTGACCGTAGGGACGGCCAGTTTTGGCCAGTTTATTTCAGTACCAGTTTGTGTCTTTAAGTAGAGACTGAACAGCAGTAAGGACCTTATCTGGGTGGGTGAAAGGTACAGCGGGGGAAGAGGAACCTTAAAAAGAGTATAAAGGCTGTCTCATATCTTCCTGTTGTGTGTCACTCTCATGCACAGCGTAACTTCTGTGTGTCAGACTGAACCTATTCTTGCAAGAATAAATCATTTTAAAAGACCTTTTGTCTCAGAATGTCTCCACACCAGAATGTGATATTGGTTGGTTAATGATTTTTTGCCACAACAATACTTACATACATCCATACATACATTGGTACATATATACAGTACATACATACATACATACATCCATACATACATACTTACATACATACATCCATACATACATTGATACATATATACAGTACATACATACATACATCCATACATACATACTTACATACATACATCCATACATACATTGATACATATATACTGTACATACATACATACTTACATACATCCATACATAAATTGATACATATATACTGTACATACTTACATACATCCATACATCCATACATTGAATCATATATACAGTACAAACATACATACATACTTACATACATCCATACATACATACATGCATAAATCCATTTATCCATCCATCCATCCATCATACATACATACATATACATACCCAGACTCAATGGAAGCCTGTATTAGAAACTAAACTTGATATTGCCATCAATTTATTTTTATAAATGGATTAAGCAATTGATATGAAGGGTTTGTGAACGAGACCATCTGTGTCTCATTGGCTTGATTCATCCTTGAATTGGCACCCGTGTAACCAGTCAAGTTTCCTAATAGCCTGTTTTAAACAGTTGATTTGATATTAGTCTTAATGTCAGACGCCACAGTCTCTTGCTGACCGTCTAATGTATATTGTATATAAAAGATGGGGGGGGGGGGGGACTTTCTTGATCAGGCTGATATTGAATTTTTTTACATCACTGGGTAGTGGGTTGATTCAATGGATGCTTTTTGAGGATGAATTATCACTGGATTTGCCATAATTTACCAATGCTTATTTTGTGGTGGTATTTTATTACCGTTCACAGAAACTGCCAAGGCATAATTTATGGTTCCATTTCACAACAGTCTATTATTTTGGTGATCTATTTCAGATTAATCACACATAAAAGCAATCTCTTTTACTTTTTCATGAGGGAACAGAAAATTCATGCATTTTCTGGCTTTTCAAAGGATGAAGCATGTGGTGTGTTTATCATCTTTGATTACAGAGATATATTTACATAGCCAGAAACAATCAATTATATAAAGATTAATCAAACAGTCCAAATTATTAAAAACCCAAATACAGTAATAATTAAGGCATTGGTAAATAGAGGGGTTAAAACACTGGGCTGATTTATAAATAGTACGCCAATAATACCGGAAGCTACTGCAGTATTTGCAGTGGGGGAATGTGCTCTTGATGAACCACAAACAGGTTCATTAAGGTAAATGACCATCTAAAGCTGTGAACGGGTGAATCAGTCACCATGAGCCGTCAGTAATGAGATCTCTGGAGGTTTACAGGACAGTTTCTTAATGTGGACGTCACTGACGCCATTTCTATCTTCAGTATTTACTGTACAGATGACAGGCATTAAGGGAGAGGTGGAGATGTTTTGCATATGTGTGGAGTTATGTTCTTTAAGCGTGTAAAATAAAGCGGAGACAAATTATGCTGACTGAAGCTGATATAAATAAATTCATTGAGTCAGTGACCCTCTTGTGTGCAATTAAACAACAATATAATCAGCAGAAATGCAGCGGGCGGATGCTTCAGTTACAGGACAATGACCTGAATCACACGCTGAATCCAACCAATGTAAATCTGCAAGTCAAGTCAATTTATTTGTATAGCACATTTCACAAAGCGCTAAATGTCTTCCATCACTGAAGACACTCATTTAGCACATGCTCAGTAAGGAAAAACAAGTTTAACTTCGTCAAAAAACGTTTTTTTCTTCATGAATGTCCCGTTGTTTTCTTTATGGTGTGTTGGAATTTAAGTTTAAGATAAAACAAAGTGTTTCTGGGTTAAAGTTAACATGCATGACAGACCATATTACACATTCTTACAAACAATTGCAACACTCAAAAAATGAAAGCTGGTTAAATTGAAAAATTGAATCTTTAAGAAAGGCAATGAACATTATTTCATTGAAGTATCTAGGACTGTTTTTGATTACTGATCAATATATTTTAGTGAACAGGATTTGACCTATTTTATATAATTATAATACCACTCAAAGTTTTTCTTTAAATGCTGTTTATTCCTGATGACTAAAATCATTAATTCCATATAAATGAATAACCTATACAGTAATTTAGTATTAAAGCTCTGAAGTGTGCTCATTACTCACTTTATTATAAATAATCGTTTCTAACTATTTTTCTTTCCCATGTATCTTCTCTCAAAACAAAGCAAACCACAATTATTCCGGTAGAGTAAAGGAGCTATGCATTGATTTTATTTTGATTATGTCTTTTCAGGATCACAAATAAATGGTGAAGAGTAACATTAAGAAGCTAAGAACAATAACATCCTCTTGGAGATGCACATGGATGCCACCAGCACATAGAGATTCACACTGAATCATACTGTAATTTAGCCCGAATTCAACTTTCAGTCTTCCGCAAATTGAATCCAGTGTGTTAGCCCTGGAGATACAGCTGGAGTTTGCTATTTTTAGAAGTAAATTTGTGGAAAAAGTCCCACACTGTGTCTTATCTTGCAGATCTTTATTAAATAACAGGTTTTTACTAAAACAAGCTGTTATTTGCAGGCTATACAGCAGTGTTGTTTCCAGGGAGTTGCTAAGGAGTTCTATGTGGTTTATTAATGGTCTAAGTTAAAAGATATCCTGGTTTCTGGGTGGGCTTTTATATTGACTCCATATATCAATCTGGAATTTATTTTAACATCAATGCATCACACCTCTAAGGATTATTCTCTCTTTCTTTTCCTCTTCAGTCTGTCTAACATTAAGGTGGATGTCGATAAGCACCATGACCCAGCAGCTTAGCATCAACACTGCTTGCTGACACGGTGCAGCAAAGGATGCTGGGAAACACCAAGCGGTTTTTTGGCAGCGCCGAGGACAAAGAGGGTGAAGATGAGGAGGATGAGGAGGAGAGATTGAAGAGAGCAAAACAAAATGGGATGATCGATATGGGAGAAAAGGAACACCAGAACCGGGGCGGACGCAAGGGGGACGGATCCAAACCGGCAGCCGTTGTGATTGGATGGCAGAGAGGAGAGAGACAACCGAGGGCTGGCAATCCGGCCCAAAGAGGAATCCCACATTTACCCAGTCAGCCGACGCTTTATCATCAGACAACCAATCAGCCGCTGTATCACCCGGTCTTGACCAATCAGCAGGCCCGGCGGCGTATGATGGAGCGGAGCATGACCACAGTCACGCCTGTCGAAGACTCGCACCTCCCCGTGATCGTTTTCCGCATCGGGATACCGGATATCAAACAAACGGTCTGTGCATTTCTGTTCGCACACATTCAGACATACTCACAAACTGCACTAGAGAGTGGCCGATAATCATCTCCACTACTTCTCTACTTAATTGGTTTCATTTTCCGTACCGAGATTCACGCCTACTGATAATAATAAACATTTAGAATTAATGTTTTATTTTATAGTTGTGTAATGATTTTTCAGTTATGACTATTTTTGTTGTTAATAATATAAATATTTATAATAATATAAATATTGTTTTTTTTAGTTATTGTTGTCAAATAAAGTGAATTCAAATCATTTTAAATTGATTCAATTAGTAATAATAATAATAATATTTTATTTTTATAGTTCTAGATGGTTTTTCAGTTGTTATTATCAGTATTATTATTATAGTTATATTTTGTTTTTATAGCTGTAATGTAGATTTTTTTTAGCTGTCATTATTATTAATATGTTATAAATATGACATTATAAATGTGTTATTATAAAATTAGTACTTTATTTTTATAGTTGTAGTAGTGTAATTTTTTTTTAATTTCTTAATTACGTGAAATAAATAGACATAATTTTATTTCAAATGTATTCTGCATATTGGTAATTAGACACTTAAAACAATTTGGTATGTTTAAAATGCAATATTGGTCAGTGTCTATTTTTCCTTGACAGCATTGAGATATTAATGGAAAGAAAACGGAGACTTTTGCTGAAAAATACTCTCACGCGCGTCTCCTCTAGTTGTAGAAATAATGTATCAGACTTTGCTCAGATTTGTCAAGACACTAAAGTCTGCAATCAAAAGTCAGAGATCTCTAAAAATGTATGAAATGTTGCTGTCTCCTTTGCTTAATTAACGTCTGATCTTCACACACTCACACACACACACACAAACAAACTGTACAACAGTAAATGCTCCTAATAAGTTTCTGAAAGCTTCAAAGAAACACACACACACATGCACGCACAAACAAACAATCAAACTGTACAACAGTAAATGCTCCTAATAAGTTTCTGAAAGCTTCAAAGAAACACACACACACATGCACGCACAAACAAACAATCAAACTGTACAACAGTAAATGCTCCTAATAAGTTTCTGAAAGATTCAAAGAAACACACACACTTTAATATACTCTGGATCTATTGTGTCTCCCAGGGTTATCGTGGGAGGGATTAGGAGAAAATTAAAAAAATAATTTAATTCAGGGGGAGAAAAGGGGGAACATGGGAATCCTTAATGAAAGAATATTTAGCGTGTTGTATATTAGTGTGTGTGTGAAGCTATTCTGGGACATTTTAAATAAACACACACACTGAGCTCGAGTTTCCTCTCATGTTTTGTGTGGGAGCTCTGACCTGATTTAATGTCAAAATCGCTCTCATCTAAACTCATCTAAACTCCTGACTCAATTAGCAGCTCACTTAACATTCTCGATCGCGGCACATTAACGATCCCCAGATAAAGCAGCATGCTCACACACTCTTCACAGTGCTGAAGTTTTGCTGTTGGATTTTAATATGCAGGATGGTTTATTGTTTGCAGTATGTCAGTTTTAAAGCTTTTGAAATGGCTTGTAAAAGTGATTGTTCACATTCAAACAACACAGAGGCTCTTCTGTGCCGCTTCAAATTCAGATTCAACAGGTGTCAGTATTTTAAGCATACAAAATGTTTAATCTTACATGTTTTTGTGCACCACAGAAAATTATTGCAGCTTTGTAAAAACAAACAAAAATCGTGTTTACAGTAATGCATTTCATTATTATACTCATTATACAGTAATGGAAGTGTTATTTTAGGTATTATTGATATACTATCATAGTTTTTGAATTAGATTTTATTTGTATATTTTCTGTTTCTTCAATTTCAGGTAAAGTTTTAGTAATTTTGTTGGGTTTAAAAAAAAATATATATATTAAGACCAAAACACTGAAAGTTCCTTTTGTTCAATTAAGGATTTTTTTTTAATTATTCATATTTTCAGGGGCTTAAGTGGCCCTTAACAAGCTCAAAAACTCTTGAAACTTTGCACACACATTGCTGCATACATGTAAATGTAAATAAAGTCTTCAAATATACAGGTTGCACACTCTGCCTGTAAACCCTCCAGAACGTCGTGTCCTTAGACGTCCATTGTAAGTGCATTACTGTAAACACGACTTCTATATGAGGTACGAGTCCAAATGAAGGTCTGTGTTGAACGACAGCATGTCACAGATGCCGTCGATAAATCTGAAGTCGTTTTGAACCTTAAATCCAGTTCAATCTGTTGTTCTTTCTCTCTCTCAAACCTGTTTTCTCCTTCGCCGTCTGTAGAAGTGTTTGCGGTTTGATCCCGACGCGAGCGTTTGGAGTGCGAAGCAGCAGATTATTTGTTCTCTCAGCGAGTCGTTGTGGGACGCTTACAATTACGGCCTCTTCCAGCCAGCTGGAGACGGACGAGATGCCAAGTTCCTGGAGGAGGAGCGCTTGCTTCGAGAGTTTTCCCAGTCCCTGGAGAAGGGAGTGCCCTACCTGGAGGTGCTGTAGCGAATAATAGATCACAGGCTCACAAACACTAGACAACATCACCCAGAATGCTCCAGAACCTCATAACCTTCTGTACAGACATACCTTAAAGTCCTGGCTACAAAAAAGCTTGAACATTTCAATCGTTTTTGGCTCATGCCGAGCCTACAGGGGCAAGCTGTCACAATAGGAACCCTGCCGTTTCATTGACCATTGAGAAAAATACCTGGTAACACTTTACAATAAGGTTCCATTTGTTAAAGGACAAGTTTGGTATTTTACACTTAAAGCCCTGTTTTAAGATCGTTTCTGATGAAATAGAACGGTTAAGATTAAAATTTGGACACATGCTGCTGGCCCGAGAAATTTCGGTTTCTGTGGTTGCACCCCCAAACCCCCCTCCCCCCCCCCCACCTCCACAATGGTTGCATAGGTGCACTCGAACAATCCTTCATAAAACGCATTAAACATAAGTTTACAAAGACGTTAAACTCACCGAGTGGTCTGGGGTGTTCACTGATATGCACACAAAAATGCAAAAGATGCTTTCCAACAGGTTTTATCGTTTTTGTCCAAGTCAATGGAGTTGGACAAAAACTACGATAAAACCTGTTGGAAAGTATCTTTTTCAGCGATTTTTGTGTGAGCATATCAATGAACACCCCTGACCACTCGGTGAGTTTAACATCTTTGTCTTTGTCTTTGCAACCACAGAAACCGAAAATTCTCGGGCCAGCAGCATGTGTCCAAATTTCAATCTTAACCGTTCTATTTCATCAGAAACGATCTTAAAACAGGGCTTTAAGTGTAAAACACTAGCCCGGGAAAACCCAGACAACTTCCGGCAAATTTAGATTTGCTCTGAAAGTTAGTCTGGCAAAGAGCTCATTCAAGCCCATTTCCAATCCGTCGAAATCGCGGCACCAATCAGAAACGTTGGGGCGGGCTTTACACGATGACGACAGCGCTGGGATTTTGAAGCAGATTTTGTAGCCTACATTACAAAGATGGATGCCGCCGTCGAACATCACTCGTTCCAATCAGCTATCGCGTCTGTTTTAAGCGATTTGAACGTTTCCTTTTAGTTAAAAACCGAGCAAAGAACAACACTCGTCCGCTCTGCATACGTCATCTCCTTCATCGCTCTGATTGGGTTTAGGTCTATCCGCGACGTCCGTTGGTGACGCCCCTCTGGAAATGATTTGTCTATGACGCTTTGCCAGACCATAACTCAGTTACAACTGAGAATGGTCTGGTTTTAACCAGGCTAGTAAAACACCGAACTTGTCCTTTAACATTAACTAACAGTACTTCAAAAGCAGGTTCATTTAAACATTTGCTAATAAATTATTAAACATTTCAAAAGTTGTATATGTTAATATTATTTCATGGACTCGAGCTAATACAAACTAACAATGAGTAATGTATTTTAATTAATGTTAAGAAAGATTAATAAACACTGTAAATGTATTACTCATTTATAGTTAATATTAGTTTAATGCATGAACTAATATCAACTAATGGGACCTTATTGTAAAGTGTTTTCGAATACCTTTAAATTTTTTTATTAAATGTTAAAAAAAAAACTTATTTGTGTTTTAAATGCATTACATGTTTTTTTAATGGCATTTTTGGACATTTTAGACATTTTTAAACAGTTACAGTAAAAAAAATAATTCATGTAACAGCAAAAATGGACTAAACTATCAACCATTGTTAGACTCATTGTATAGTTGACTTATTTTCTTAATGACTTATACTTTAAGATTTGAATAGTTTATTCTTTGTTAATCAGTCTTCTTAATATGTATTAGTAAGAAGTTTATTAGTTTGTCTGTTTTTATTTGTATTTAATTTTTGCTGTTTTATTTAATTTTTATATTTTATATATATATTTATTTTGTGTTAATATGTTAGTTTTTATTTAATTAATTAAATAATTTTATTTTACATTTTTATTTTTTAATGTTTTATTTTATTTTTCAAGTCTCCAAAAGTGGAGCATTTCTTTGATGTGCAACAGTTTGGACCGACCATCTACATTAATGACTCATTTAGTTCTTGTTTCTCAGAACTTGTAAACTGAACACGCTTTAACCAGTTTCTCTCTATCCCCTCCCTCTCTTCCTGGTGTCTTAAACTCACAGTTCAGATATAAGACACGAGTCTACAAACAGACAAACCTGGATGAGAAACAGCTAACAAAGCTGCACACCAAGGTAAATACAGGACAAAAATATTAATATCCACCGAAAACGGATCTTGTATAACAGCAAAAATGAAATATCCAGTCGAGACGGATGTGTTAACAGAACAGACTGAAGTAAGGAAGTGTCTGACTGTGTGTGTCTCCCTCTTCAGGCCAATCTAAAGAAGTTCCTGGATTATGTTCATGGTGGAGCTGTGGAGAAATTGAGTAAAGCTCTGGAGAAAGGACTGGATCCGAACTACCATGACACTGAAAGCGGAGGTGAGACACACACAAAACTTAAACTACTGTACGTGAAGGGTCATGAATCCTTTGAGAGTGTCCAAATACTTTTGATAATATGCCAAGACAAACCCTTAAAGGGATAGTTCACCCAAAAATGAAAATGTTGTCATTACTTACTGACCCTCAAGTTGTTCCAGTGCAGTATGAGTTTCTTCTGTTGAACTCATAAGAAGATATTTTAAAGAATGCTGGTAGCCATTGACTTCCATAGTATTTGTTTTTCTTACTATGGAAGTCAATGGGGTCCATCAACTGTCTGGTTACCAACATTCTTTAAAACATCTTCTGTTGTGTTTAACAGAAGAGAGAAACTCATACAGGTTTGGAACAACTTAAATGATGACAGAATTATCATTTTTGGGTGAACTATCCCTTTAAATGCAGCTTGCATTACCCTTTTTGAAGTGCTTTAAATATATAAACTCATGCGTATGAGATTTCATGAGGAAAAAAGTGCAATCATATTATTTGGGCAATCAGTGTGATCCTGGAAGTTAGACCTGTTTTGTTTTTTTGGCCTAGATTGCATATATTATGTAGTACAGTGGTCCTCAATCCCGGTCCTGGCGTATCAATGTTGTTCCCTATGCCATTAGCAGAATGGACTGAACATGTACGCTCCTTTCAGATTGAAATCTCACTTATGATGGCAGAATACCCTTGTGAAGTCCACTTTGCAGGGCACTTACGGTCGAGTTGAGCAAATCTCTGAACTGATAAGAGATGCATGCAAAATGTGCAGAGCGGGAGGGTACGAGGAACGGAACTGAGAACCACAGATGTAGTTTAGTAGATGTATATTGCATGGAGAATATGTTTAAACCTTTGACATTTTCAGTTCTGATGAGCGTCATTGTGTTGCCAACATTGCCCTGTCAGAATCGTCTCATTTCATTAACCTTAGACTCGAAGCTCATTATGTTCCTCTGAGTCTATTCTCATCATCTGGCGTGTTTTTTCTTTGAGAGGATACTTTTTATTTGATGTGACATTCAGCGCACTAATTCCATTGATGCTAAGAATAAGCAAGAGTTGAGTATGTCGCTCACAGGCAGTATGATGTCACAGTAATCCTGCAGCTCATTGGTCACTTCTAACCGAGACGATCCTTTCATGTTTGTCATTTTAACATTTAGTATGTTGCCTGTTATTCTTAAATCAAGCTGTTCTTCTGTAGCTGTAATGTCCGTGTCTGTTTCCGTCTGTCTCTCAGAGACGCCTCTGACTCTGGCGGTTCAGGGGTGTCTGAGCGTGGAAGGGATTCGTGTTCTGGTGCTGAACGGAGCTCATGTGGATTTCAGATCCAGAGATGGACTCACACCCCTCCACAAAGCAGTCAGAGCACACAACCAATCCACACTGATGGTACAAACACATGCAGTTCATTCACAGCACGACTGAACAAAATGCTTTTAAATATTTTGAGGTGCAAAGTAGTTTTTTTCTCTCTTATAGTGTCCCTATTATGCTATTTAAAGGGTCCTAATTTAGTTTTTGGAATCTCCTACAACAGGTTTACATGCAACCAAGAAACACTTTAATTTTCTCATAATATATTTTGCAGCATCACCTGTTTTCCCACAGTGTCTGAATCGGTTTGATAAAGGTTTCTGTCTCTCTAAACCCCACCTTTCTGAGAGCTGCTCTGCTCTGATTGGTCATATGACCCAGTCTGTTATGATTGGTCTGCTCTGCTCTGATTGGTCATATGGCCCAGTCTGTTGTGATTGGTCTACTCTGCTCTGATTGGTCAGACGGCCCAGTCTGTTATAATTGGTCTACTCTGCTCTGATTGGTCAGATGGCCCAGTCTGTTGTGATTGGTCTACTCTTCTCTGATTGGTCAGATGCCCCAGTCTGTTATGATTGGTCTACTCTGCTCTGATTGGTCATATGGCCCAGTCTGTTATGATTTGTCTACTCTTCTCTGATTGGACAGACGGCCCAGTCTGTTGTGATTGGTCTACTCTTCTCTGATTGGTCAGACGGCCCAGTCTGTTGTGATTGGTCTACTCTTTTTTGATTGGTCAGACGGCCCAGTCTGTTGTGATTGGTCTACTCTTCTCTGATTGGTCAGAAGGCCCAGTCTGTTGTGATTGGTCTACTCTTCTCTGATTGGTCAGACGGCCCAGTCTGTTGTGATTGGTCTACTCTTCTCTGATTGGTCAGATGGCTCAGTCTGTTGTGATTGGTCTACTCTTCTCTGATTGGTCAGATGGCTCAGTCTGTTGTGATTGGTCTACTCTTCTCTGATTGGTCAGACGGCCCAGTCTGTTGTGATTGGTCTACTCTTCTCTGATTGGTCAGATGGCCCAGTCTGTTGTGATTGGTCTACTCTTCTCTGATTGGTCAGACGGCCCAGTCTGTTGTGATTGGTCTACTCTTCTCTAATTGGTCAGACGGCCCAGTCTGTTGTGATTGGTCTACTCTTCTCTGATTGGTCAGACGGCCCAGTCTGTTGTGATTGGTCTACTCTTCTCTGATTGGTCAGACGGCCCAGTCTGTTGTCTGTTGTGATTGGTCTACTCTTCTCTGATTGGTCATATGGCCCAGTCTGTTATGATTTGTCTACTCTTCTCTGATTGGTCAGACGTGCCAGTCTGTTGTGATTGGTCTACTCTGCTCTGATTGGTCAGACGGCCCAGTCTGTTGTGATTGGTCTACTCTGCTCTGATTGGTCATATGCCCCAGTCTGTTATGATTTGTCTACTCTTCTCTGATTGGTCAGACAGCCCAGTCTGTTGTGATTGGTCTACTCTTCTCTGATTGGTCAGACGGCCCAGTCTGTTGTGATTGGTCTACTCTTCTCTGATTGGTCAGACGTGCCAGTCTGTTGTGATTGGTCTACTCTTCTCTGATTGGTCAGATGGCCCAGTCTTTTGTGATTGGTCTACTCTTCCCTGATTGGTCAGACGGCCCAGTCTGTTGTGATTGGTCTACTCTGCTCTGATTGGTCAGATGGCCCAGTCTGTTGTGATTGGTTTACTCTTCACTGATTGGTCAGACGGTCCAGTCTGTTGTGATTGGTCTACTCTTCTCTGATTGGTCAGATGGCCCAGTCTGTTGTGATTGGTCTACTCTGCTCTGATTGGTCAGACGGCTCTGCTCTGATTGGTCAGACGGCTCTGCTCTGATTGGTCAGACGGCTCAGTCTGTTGTGATTGGTCGACCGCTTACAGCCTGTTTCGGAAACCTAACACCCATTTCCATATCTGAATTTCAGCTTCGGATCTTCCTCAGCACTTGATACACAGTGATACGAACAGTAACGATGGCGTCGGTTTTTCCTCATAAATTCGAGTGCGAGTTCACATCTTTTGGCAGGTTATCAAAGTTGATTAGCGCAGAAAACAGCATCTTCTCGATATGACGATAACACGAACCAAACTCTTCCAGTCTCAGCTACAACTGCAGTGTTTGAGGGGCAAAGTAGATGTTGTTCACGGGCAGTAAATGAAGACCACAGGATGGCATTATGCAAATTTGTTACAAACCTTCGTAGGTTCGAGCAGGAAGTGAGACTGGAATTACTGACGACTCGTTTCAGGCAGTTCAGAATCAGTTCTTTCTTTCGGGAGACAATAACTCCATTTATCTTTGATACTTTGCAGACCTTTTACATTCACAAACAGCTCTATTACACACTACATGAAATGTAACATCTGAAAAAGCATATTAGGGGCACTTTAAAATAGGCTAGTCATGAAAATGAAAAAAATTGTCATTTGAAAAGGTTCCTTTGTCTTGAGATCGTGATCATGATTTGCAGAGGAAATTTATGGTGACAAATACAAAATATTGATTTGTGAATATTTAATGGGGTTTGTTTGTAAATCCTAATGTGCATAACTCTTCATGTCTATCCCATTTTTCAGGCTCTGCTGTCTTTGGGTGCTTCTCCGGATTATCGAGACCGCTGTGGTCTGACGCCGCTGTACCACTCAGTGCTGACAGGGGGCGACACGTCCTGTTGTGAAACTCTGCTCTACTATAGAGCACAACTGGGAGTCAGAGATGAGAACGGCTGGGACGAGTCACACCAGGTTTGTGCCACTAGTTTACAGTCTTAAACACAAGGAAATAATGTATATCTGAGATTATGGACTCTTTGTTTATATGTGTGCATGCAAGTGTCCATTTTGGTGGGTTTTTGTTTATAATCACACATCATTCTCACCTTTTTTTGGTTCTCTTTTCATTTCTCTATATGGCTGCTAAATTTCCTATTTAAACCAATCAGCATCCCTACATTTCTCATTCCAAGGCCAGACTGTGGTCCTGTTGCACATCTTTGATGGCCCACATTAAATTATAATAGAAACATTACTAGAAATAGCCTTAAGCATTAAAATATGGAATTTTTTAAATGTTTGATTAAATAACAAGATTTGAACTCTTTCCTGTCAGTCTCTCATGACCGTTGCTTTTGTGATTTTAAACACCTGCACATGCTTGAGTGTTTCATCATGGTCATCACTGAGTGTCTGCATTCGTAAGCAGCTAGACTCTGTTTATCCTCTGTTGAAGTTTTTCCACAATCATCAGGTGTCAAAGGATGGGATTCCTCAACCTTTATCCTTATAACCTTATTACACACCAAAATGTCAAAATGAAAAACTTAATGGGTTGTAAACTAAAAATAAGGATAGAGTAAAATGCAACTAAATGTATGAAATTAATTAGGCTTGTTAGTTAATTAGGAGAATAGCGAGTGGCCGTTGATACTGTTTCCAATGCAATGACCTTAGCCAATCATAACAGTGACTGTTTATGACAAGCCTTAAAGGAGCCGCACCTTAAAAACAGATCATTTCAAACAGAGGGTCAAAATAAAGGTTGAAAATAATACATTTTCCCCCATATATATTTGCAAAAAAACCCGCCAAAACTTTACTAACAGTATAAATTAACCTTAAGGAACATATTAAAATAATTTTAAATGACTGAGAATTACTTTTACAAGAGCATAAAAAGCCATGTCATGACCTCTTTAAAAAAAAGAGAAATGACAAAAGCACAGAACAAAATTACTAAAGCAAATTAAAACATTAAAAACATCTTTATTAGAATATATAAATAATACTAAAACAACACTGCTGCTGAATGCAGCGTTAATCAAAATTCAGGATTGTTGTATCAGGGCTGTACATGTTGTCTAATGTTAAATCCTGTGAGAACTTCTGGTTTAGCAGATGTTTTTATCCGAAACATCTTCCAGTATTTAGTTCAGTTCATGTCCCCCTGAAGCAACCTGGAGTTAAGTGCTTTGCTTCAAGGCACAACAGTGAAAGTTCATTGCTAGCATATCAACCCTGAGATATAACCACTACACCACCAATGTCATGAGCCTCACAGATGTTTCTGTGCAACGTGCACCTGAAACTACATGAATCTCTACCACCCAATCACAGCTAAGCACATAAAAGCCTTCAACGAATGAAGAACAACATCTAGGTGCTTTTGAATCAACTGTCAGACACCGTCCATAGTCTTCCCCTGTCTCTCTCTCTGTGTCTCTCTCCATAGATCAGACATGAAGAGACGTTTGGAGAGGTTGAAGTTCACAGGTACCCATCTCTCATCTCTCATTTCATTCATCGTCTACTAATGTCTGTCTTTGCTTGATATTAAACAAAAGGTTCTCTTTTTAATTCTCTCCTCTTTTCTGAACCTCTTTGTGCACAAATATATGAATACAATTTCTTTTCCCCAATTCACAACCACCTACACACCATGATATGATATGAAGTTACCCACACACCATGATATGATGGGACGACTCCCACAGCACCCTGAGAGCCGAGTGATCACATATACCTCTTGAGTTAAGGCAGAGATTTCATTCTGAGCTTCTGGCCCATACGCAGAACATTTAGGAGGAATTTAATGAGGTTCAAACAAACGATATGGGCTTTTTAATGACCAGTACTGAATCTCTAGAGAGCAGGGCAGGATTATTGTAGTAAACTAAAACTAAAACTGTGATAATTAATTGTGCTACTTTGTTAATATAATACGTTAACTGAAAAAAAAAAAACATTTTTATTTAGTTTAACTTGATTTACTAAAATAGCTAAAACTGAAAATAAAATAATAATATTGGAAATTATACAATTAAAAACTAATTCAAGGTCCTTTTCAAACTCCTGCTTCCACAGACTCAATGGCAAGCACAGCTGTCAATCATGCTGTTTTTATAGCAACTAAATCCAAACCTATTGGAAAAACAAACCATTGAATGTATGCCTGCTTGATAAGAAGCACCTAAAATGACAGAAGCCATCTTTGGGAAAAAAATTATTTGAAGTGTAATTGGATTTTTTAGTTTTGCTTGCGTCCTATTTGATTACATGGAGAGGGCGGGGTTTATGACATATACTGAGGTATTTGGAGGACATATACCAAAATGCTTTGGCTTCTCTTTTCTGGATGTGTGTGGCACACTTGATTCAGATGTGTAGATCTTATTTTACAAATTATGCTCAAGGAGGAACTGCCACGTCTGTTAACCGGCCAAGATTTGTCATACATTGTCGTGCAAGATTCAGTCGGACCCCAAAGCACTTACTTGCATTGGCTGAAAGAAGTTGTTTTGTGTATTGTATGCACATTATGAGGATATTAGATAACAATTTTTGACATTTATATTATTCAGGATGCATCACATTAACATAATAATATAAAAATGTTGCATTTTTAAGCTGTTCATATGAAAAAGAGTATAATAATATATATTTTAGGTTCAACAAGATGCAGCAATATTATTTTCAATAATAACCTTCACAAAAGGAAGGCGTCCTGCGCTGTTTCTTGTGATGTCCAATCTTATAATCTAGCAATGACTGTAATGCTGTGCTGTCTTTACTGTCCTCTTTAGGTTGTTCCTCTAGTTGTTCCCTGTTCTTCGGACTTTTTCCCCAATAAGTCAGATGTCCTCTTATTTCTTTAACCTCTGTGTTTTGTTCACTCAACTGTAGGCGTGCCAGCATGGATTTGCCCAACACTTAGAGCACCTTCTGTTCTATGGTGCAGACACCACTTCCCAGAATGCATCAGGAAACACTGCCCTCCACATATGTGCCCTTTACAACAAGGTAATCAAGGTTTTAATTCACTATTTCAATAAACAAAATGTTTAGTAGTTGTTGTTAATATTTTGAATTAGCTTTAATTTTTGTATTTTTAGTTTAGTTTCGTGTTATTTTTGTTTATTTTTATCTACTGTTATCATTTTTATTAATATTTTGAATGATCTTTATTTATTTTTCAGTTTATTTAAATTTTTAGTAATTTATTTAGGTGTACTTTTTTTACAATTTACAATTGAGGTTTCATTTTATTTTTTATTTCAGTTTTAGTTTTAGTTCAAGTTAAACTTATTTCAATTAGTTGCCAATGCAACATTGCTAATTTCTTCTGAATTTGTTTTGTCTAATATTTATTTTCTTTTATATTATTTCAGCTTTATTACAATTAACAAAATGTTTCAATGGTTTACGGTAATTAGTCTAATGCCTAATGATTGACAACATCTCCTCTGTCCATTCAGGAGAGTTGCGTTCGGGTCCTTCTTTACCGAGGAGCCAGTAAGGAGATGAAGAACAAACATGGTCAAACCCCCTTCCAGGTAACTGAGCTATCATGTGGGATGTTTATGTGGGATAACAAGCAAGTGCTTGTTTCTTAGAACGCAGCTTGCAATGGTTGTCCTCATATCCTCAAATTAAAGATTGCATTGTTGCAAAGTACATTGCAATGCTGTTTTTACAGGTTGCTGTGATGTCAGGCCATTTTGAACTTGGAGAAGTCATCAAAAATCACAATGATGCAGATGTTGGTGAGTTTGCATCTTTATGACAGAAAGAAATGATAAGTATACCAAAGCTCTCTTCCAAAGTCTAATGTAGGCCACTCTTTAGGACATCAGTGGTGTGATTGTGTTGTCTAGAAAGGTACCTAGTCTCATGTGTCCTTTACAGAGAAGACAAAATTGTGAGATGAACAGCAGTTTAATCTATTTAAAACAGACTATTTTACTCAGTATTTGTGTTTTGTGCATTATTTAATCTTATTAGAGTATTGCATCATTAGGTAGTGATTTTTCATGAAAAAATAAATAATTGTTAAATACAATAACATAAATATTAGAGGAAAAACTTCAACTTAAAAAAACTTGAACAAAAAAGAGAAATGTTGCTTTGGCAACTAACTGAAATAAGTTGACGTTTTAGTACTAAAACTGCTGAAATTAAAAATTAAAAATGAATTACGGCTAAATGGAAATATGCAAAATACATACTAAAATTACTTGGTGTCGTGTTTCTCATGTACTTAGTTTCTGGCCGTGTACTCTTTCCAAATTGCTTGCTTTTGAAGTTCCTTAGAAGGCAGATGCCTATGTAGACAGTAGACATCAAGGCAGCTCACTAAGTTTTGGAACAGAGCCCATCTCTATGTAATCTCTTCTCCTTTAATCTTGTATTTTCTTTCCCATCAGTTCCATTTTTGGAAACTCCCAAATACGCTCCTCACTTTCTGGACGGTGTGTTGAATCAGCCCATCACGGCTGGCCTTCAGCATCCTCACCCGCTGCTCCGCGCCAAGAGCGAGAACACAATGACAACGCTCATGGATCCCGCAGTGATGCCCACCGCTGCCGCCAGCATGCCACCTGCTCAGGTAGCCCTTAACCCCCTGCTGGCCATCAAGGGAACACACAAGCACAGACATCAGTCGCCAAATCATTCGTTTTCTCTCGTTTCAATCAGACTCAACGCCGGGCCTCTTTCGCTTTGAGGAGCTCCAGCAGTCCCCGTGGAGCCCGAACCCGGTCCCCGTCTCGTGGGAGGGAGGGAGGAGAGAAGGAGGAAAAGCAGGAAAAACAGCAAAAGCAGCGAGGGAGGCAGGGGTGAGGATGGATACATAAAAAATGTCTATGGTGGTCGTCTTTGGCCATTGCCGTGATGATTTTCAAAAGCAGATCCTGTAAAAATCCTGTGAAGAGTTTATTTTTGTCAGATTTGGCAGGTTCACTGGGTTTGCTGGTGCATCATTTTCATCCAACAACACTAAATAAAAGTACAAATGCAACTAGAAACACATACACACACACACACACACACACACACACACATATATATATATGATTATAATTGAGTCTCAATAAATAGTTGAAACGAATCAGTGAATTTTTTGAACAGTTTTAATTTACACTAACCATCTGAACGAACCAATTCACGGAACACAGAAATAAAATAGACTAAAATTAATTAATAATACAAATTTGAAAAAATAATAATAAATAAAAATATATTTAAAATACAAAAATTATAGAAAGTGAGTAGAATAATAATAATAATATATAATGCATAAAATGTCACCATTATAGTTTTTATTGATATTTTGAATTAGCTTTATTGTTAAATTTAGTTTAATTTTTAGTAATTTTGTTATGTGCTTTTGTCGTCTTTGTTTTTCAAAAATAAAAAAATACTGCTATTTAGGTTTAATTGATTTATTCTGTTCAGTTTTTTTTTTTTTTTTTTTTAGTTAGTAATTTTAGTGATTCAGGTTAAACTTATTTCAGTTAATCGCCAAGGCAACATTTATAATTTTAATTTAGTTTAAGTTTTTCATCTAACATATATATATATATATTTTTTTTTTTTTTCAGTTTTATTTCAAATAATGAATCAGATTTAGTAATGCTTGACATGAGAGAGAGACTTTTTAAGTGAAGTTTGATTATTGTAGCTAAATTATAGAAAAGCTACTGTTTTGTGGAAAATACTGAAAAATGTAAATGCTAGTTGCAAAGGCTAGTTACTTAGCAATGCTGTGTAAAGCACACAGCAAATCATGACAAACAGCACAAATCTTACGGACTGGGAAAAACAGTTCAGCCTCTGCCGCAAAATCAATCATCAGGCTCTCAGCAGGTGTAAAGCACACGCAACAAGAGCGACTCCTGCTAGGATGAGCTGTTTTTAAGCCAAGTTCAAACCGATGGAAATGAGAATCACCTTAGGGCATCATAAATTAATAAATGAATTTCCCAGGATGCCTCCGGGTTGTAATTACCTTTTTTTTTTTTTTGTATTTACCCCGTCGTTTGATTTCCATGCTGGTAAACGTGCCTTTGGTGACTAAACAATCTCAGGCTGTCAGGAACTCTTCCGGGTCATATTTCAAACCAAATTCAAAATAAAATAAAAACAATTATTAAGTCAAAGCAAATTAAGTCTTAAAATGAAGTTAAATTTGTTTTACATCGCAACATTATTTTCATAATACTTTAGCACATTTTTCTCCCAGTTTTCCTACTGTAATACAGGGATTTCCAAACCCACTGAGAGTTTAATTTTTAAAATTTAATAATTTAATAATTTAACAAAATATTTGCATGTTTATTTTTTATTTTACATTTTAATGATTTGATTAATTATTAGCTTTTGATCAACTGTAGTTTCTGTTATATTGCCTTTATTTATGCTAAATTGTATTTTTTTTAATAAAACAAAACAGGATAATGAGGACCTAAAAAGAATCGCAATTAAGAATAATGGAAATTACCAAAAAAAAAAAAATAGTAAAATGTCTCAATGCATTACAGTAATGAGAAAGGAAAATGGGCTTAATTGTCATGACACTTTTTAATAGCCCTAAAAACAGCTTCTTTTTCATTTTTTCCCCCATGATATTTTAAGCAAAATGTCATTTCTTATTTCTTTCTTTTGCTTTTGGGGTGAAATGTTATCAGCCATTTATATTCACCCATAGATTCAGAGTGTAGTTTAGAGCATTTGAGACATTTGCTGTTCAGTAGTGCATAAACATCACATTTCAAGTGTTAATACATGTTTAGACCCTTACCTCTATCATTGTGGGGTTTTTTACATGCTAACTGTCAGCACTGATTTCTGTTGCTCTCTTATGTTACCATTACAGAAGCTCTGACTCACTGTTTTGCACTGTTAGGCTTCTGGCCAAAGCTCCGCTGCCATACTGAGTTAATTCTTACTCAGTGGGTTAGAAACAAACACTGTCTACTGTGTAAAAGAATCAATCATCTGGCTAAAACCTTCATTCTATGGAGTCTGTACAATCGTATATTCAGACTAGACTGGGATACTTTTGGTCTTGAAAATTTGGTTACATCCTAGAAATAATCACTTTGTATGTTGGTTTCCCATTGTGTTCAATAATGGATGATATCCAAATATTAAGGAGTTATTACAATCACATTCCTGCACAAAATCCTTGGAAACTTACCCTATGAATAAAGCCAAGCCAACATTATAAATTGGCTCTAATGCACAAAGTCACCCACCTACACCATTTTTTATTACTTTGGATAAGATACAAGTTTATGCCTGCATGTTCACATTATTGTGTTTTTGTATTCTTATGTCTTTGCTATTTTAGTCCTGTATAAATATAATATAGTATCATTTAATATAATATAGTATTTATTAACTTTTATTTTTATATTTTCAGTCTCATTCTTTAATGTGTTTTTGTCATTTTATCAGATTTTGTATTTCAGTTTAGTCATTTTAGTTTGTTGCCAAGGCAACATTTTAATTTGCTTTTAAATTTCTAAGTTAAAGTTAGTATTTTTGTCTAGTTTTTTATATTTCTATATACAGTAGCTCTAATTTATATTGATTTTAGTTTTAGTATTTTTACTACCTAAACTAACTTCAGTTAGTTGCTTAGGCAACTTTAAAAAAACATTGTTCAAGTTTTCTAAGTTTTTCATAATTTTATCTTATTTTATTTCAGCTTTATTTGAATTACCGAAAACAATTTTAGACTGTTAACGGTCAGTATTTTGGTAACAGGACACTTTTTATTGCCCTTTTCCCCTATCACTTATTTTAGAAATCATCATAAATTAGGTATCATTCTAAAGCTAAAACACTGAAAATTCATCCTGTGCAAACTTTTGAAATTTGACGTTGCATTACATTGCACACAGTACTTTAAAACCTTTTAGCAGGCTCAATTTTTGCCATATCAACGTTTAATTTGTAACAACTGGGTTAGACATATGGCTTTGACTTTCCAGCAATTTTAGAGTCCAAATTATTTAGTGAAATATATATATATATATTAGTACAGTTCATTTGCTTTAGAGTAAACTTAAACTTCTATAACATTTTTACACTTTAATTATTTGAAGCTGCTTTCACTTCTGCTATAATCTAAGTGTCTTTAAAAATAGACCGACCTCTAGTCTGTATTCCAAAACATTTATGAACTACAGCCATTTAAGGTCAGATTTGTGCTCAAAAAGGGGAGATGACCGTTAACAAGGTAATAGTTTTAGTGTTAGTGAACAATGACAGAACTGTTATCAGTCTGTGTTTCTGTGTGTCGGTTGTAGAGGGGGCGGAGGTCAGAGGAAAAGGCTCTACAGTGCCGTCCCAGGCCGCGTGTTTGTGGCGACACGTTCTCACTCCGCTCACGGTGAGCGTGAGATCAGCTTCAGCAAAGGGGACAAGGTCAAAGGTCAGATGATCTTTCTCATTATGTCGTTCTCTTCGAGTCAATATATGTAAAAAACACGCATGAAAAAATCTTACATTTTCGTCTTGTTCAGTTTCACTCAACTGCCTTCCAAATGCCGATTAATGTTAACGTTAAATATTTAAATCTACTAAAGTGCTGTCAAACTCTTCTCGCTCTCAGTGTTGAGCGTAGGGGAAGGAGGATTCTGGGAAGGAACTGTGAAGGGCCGCACTGGCTGGTTTCCAGCTGAATGTGTAGAAGAGGTGCTGCCACAAAACCAGGAGCAGCACACAGGTAGTGTACATGAACAAACACACACCTGAGCTCTCTTTAATATCTCAATTTTGTCTCCTACCTAGACAACAAAGAGAAAAAGTGGAAATCAATTAGACTTTTATTCTTTATTAATAGTCTCAACAGAGTTTCAAACAGTGCTCAGGTTTGAAGAGGTCGATGGAAAGAAAAGTCAAAGATCTCGATATGAACTCAAACTTTTTTTCATCAAATTCTCTCAAGATAAACAGTAGAAGGACTAGGAGAAACATCTGAGACAAAGTTTCAACAAAACTGTGAATGCTAGTTCTCCTGACCTATGAAAAATTAACATCTGAGCGATAATATTCTTCTGCTGACCTATCTAAATGTGGACTTATGTTGTACTTAAGTAAACAGACCATATTATGCCCTTTTACAAAGTCTTGATGTTGTTTTTGTCTCTACTGGAACAGGGTTTCCTGCTTGAATGTTGATTATTTCCCCCATATTCTCCATTGTTGCGGCTCCTCTCTTCCCAGTCTGTCAGTAACGCTCTGTTTAGTTCCTGTCTCGATGAAGCCCCTCCTTCTGAAATGCACACTGTGCTCTGATTGGTCAGCTGGACCCATTGCGTTTTTTTTCCACTGGCCAATCAAATGAATGGAGAGGCGGGCCTTCCGTTGTAATGACGAAAGCTACAGTTGCTTTGAACGTCCAGAGACTGCAATGATGGAGGATAAACTTGTGGTGGCTGTCGCGGGTTACCAGGAGCTTAACGACTTCACGAACCGTAACTACCACAACGTTAACAGAAAATAAAGTTAAAGGGATACTTCAGGATTTAGCATTAAGCTTTGTATTAGTAGAAAACCTGTAGTATTTTCAAATTACCGTGCTAGACGAGAGATTTATGTATTTTTTGTCTGGAAAAAATCCTCCGATGACGCAAAAATCTTCATTTTGCGTCATCGGAGGATTTTTTGGCCAGAGGCTAAAGACTACAGTCAGTAGTAGGGGCTGTCCCACATGCTCTCAACCCGCCCATAGAGGGTGGGATCTTACTCACAGAATGTACACATAGTGTCGGACATCTTTTTTGGAAGCTAAGCTAGCAGACTCTTGTTCTGTGGAGAAAGTGGAGTAACTTAGTAGGAGAAAGCTGAGTAGTAGGGGTTACCATACATCCTCTTTTTCCCGGACATGTCCGGCCGTCGAGATCGTACAAAATGTCCGGGATTCAGCTTTTGCTTTCTGCAGTCGCCATTCATTGTTTACATGCAAACCTTTTGTTTCAATCTAACTGAATTCATTCCAATTGGTGAATCTGAATAGCCTGGTTAAAACCAGACCATTCTCAGTTGTAACTGAGTTATGATCTGGCAAAGCGTCATAGACAAATCATTTCCAGAGGGGCGTCACCAACGGACGTCGCGGATAGACCTAAACCCAATCAGAGCGATGAAGGAGATGACGTATGCAGAGCGGCGGATGAGTGTCTCCGAGTGTTGTTCTTTGCTCGGTTTTTAACAAAAAGGAAACGTTCAAATCGCTTAAAACAGACGCGATAGCTGATTCGAACGAGTGATGTTCGACGGCGGCATCCATCTTTGTAATGTAGGCTACAAAATCTGCTTCAAAATCCCAGCGCTGTCGTCATCGTGTAAAGCCCGCCCCAACGTTTCTGATTGGTGCCTCGATTTCGGCGGATTGGAAATGAGCTTGAATGAGCTCTTTGTAGTGTCTACATGAACGCTAAACAAGTGATCGGTTGATGTGCGTTTTAACATTGCTAAGAAAATTGCGTCTCGTCTCACAGGTGTCGCTCATCGGTAATCACGCCACCGGCCTCGCGCTGTTCTCCCGCGGCCCTCACTCGTCCTGCTCGCCACAGTAAACATAATGAATGGCGACTGTAGAACGCAAAAGCCGAATCCCGGACATTTTGGGCGATCTCGAAATCCCGGGCAGACTCATCACGGAGACTCACTAGTAGAGGTCTTCACGGGTCCACTTGGATCCGAAAACCCGAGGTCCGACCCGAGACCGTGAGCGGGTTCGGGTCAAAAACTCCGACAAGTGTCTCGGACACGGGTCGGGTTTGGTATTAGTGGCCTCGGGTCTCGGGTAATTTAAAATAAATATGCCTTTTCCAAATGGACCCGAGAAGACCCGAATTCTATAAACTATGTTGGGCATTTAACAATATTGCAGTATTTAAAACAACTCTATGACACCGTTCTCTCACTTTTTCTAAGCGAGAGAGCGAATCCGCGCTTCTACGTTCAAATGGGCTATAAGCATAAGCACGGTTGCCTCCGCATTTATTTACTCAGTTGCTCGCTCCACATAAACCAACCCCTCCCTTTGCCAAGAAGAACTAGTGTGCCATCATGTGGATGGATGTTTGACTAAATGCAAGTATTTGAATTGTCGTTAAGCCAGGCCTGTCAATCAATTTAAAAAATACGCGACACTGTCAGAAAAGCATGGAGGTGATAACAACAGACATTGCGAAAAAGGTGAGGGAAAACGAATGGTGGTTCTAATCATCGTATGGTCCGTTAAATAACATTATGCCAAATGTTATAGAACGTAATGGGTTATGATGTGTGATTGACATTTTAACACTTCAGCGCGCTTACGCGTCCATGTTAAGTGCATTTTTGAGAAACGCAGGGCTGCAGGCTGTGCACATTGTAAATGCCGTTTACGTTCGGGAATCGGGTCCAGTCAAAGCAAGTGCATTCTGGGAGTTGTTGTCTTTCATCCACATAAGTCAAAAATACATTTTCTGGCTTTTCTCAGTCTAGAAAGCTCCAAATTCAAAAATAATTTCACATTTCTTCAACATAAGTGACCCATTTTAAATACACATTCATCTTTCCAGAGGTGAAGTATCCCTTTAATAAAAGGCTAATATGACGTCTACTTGACTGACAGGACAGCTGTTTCCGTGGTTACCTAGCAACATAAAAAAAAAAACGAGTGATCGGGGCCAAAAAAGGCAGTGCTGTGCGCCTCGCGTTTTTGAAACTGAAAAACGCGTTCGATGTGATCGGGGCCTAACTCAACCAGGCCCCGCCCCTTTATTCTGCGTATTAATTATTTAAATGAGGAATATTGTGACGTGTTTGTTCCCGGAAGAAAACTCAAGACTACAATGGAGGCGTTTCAGGGAGTTCAGATAATAACAGAGAATAACTCCCGCTGCAAGGACTTTGTAACCGTAATCCTGAAACACAACAGTGAATTAATTTCTTTATGAATCCTTTATGGGTCCTGTTCTCTTTTTTGAGGACGTCCCCATGAGCTTTTCCCTGTGGTGGTTTGCCTACTCACATAATCTTCATGCGCATAACACACAAATATGCAAAATCACATCAATTTGAATACATCACACTTCCACTTACACAGATATACACGCCTACATGTGCTAACAGTCGGAGTGTGTGTGTGTGTGTGTGTGTGTGTGTGTTTCAGAGAGCCGCAGTGAGAAGGCGAAGAGGAAACTGTTTCGTCATTACACAGTAGGAACGTACGATGGCCTCGAAGTGCCCAGGTGGGAACAGAACAAAATCTGTATTCACATATTCCAATGTTTAAATGCAATTGAATATGAATATTTCAGTTTGAATTAAGTAGACATTTATCTGGTTTACTATTATTGTAATATTAAATGTATTCAATAATATTATATTTAAATAATATGATAATACTTTTAACAATTATATTTTAATTAAATGATCAGCAAATTATATAAATAAACTTATGTAGAAATTATTTTAAAATCTTATATATACAGTATCAGCATCATTACTCCAGTCTTCAGTTTTACATGATCCTTCAGAAATGATTCTAATATGATGATCATTTTTGTGGAAACTGTGATAATTTTTTTCCTGATTCTTTGATGAATAGAAAGTTTAATTATTTAATGCATCCTTACTGAATAAGAGTATTCATTTCTTTCTTTTTTTAAATAAAATTGACTGACACCAAACTTATGTTAGTTAATATTCCATAATTTCTAAATACTTTAGGTACAGCAGCAATATATGATCAGAATAAAACTCTCCTTGTTGACATAATATATAAGTTAAAAACTGAACTTAAATCGTGGTTTCACTTTGGTTGTGCTTTTTGCATTTCTAGCTTAGTTTTGTGTGTGTGTGTGTGTGTGCGTCTATGTGTGCACCTATATGTGTGTGTGTGTGTGTTTGTGTACAGGTTTGGCTATACTTGTAAGGGCCAAAATGTATAGTGAAATAGTATGACAACAGTAGGCCTGTCGCGATAGTCAATAAATCAATTAATCGCACGATAAAAAAAAAAATTAGCTTTATCCGGCCGCGATAATTTCCATTTGCTTGCTTGTTCCTCGTCTCTCTCTCTCTCTACCAAAGAGACTGGATGACAACTCTCGGTTCCTTAGCGTAGGAGGAGTGAACTAGAGCTTATTCTGCCCGAGCCTGAACTTGGGGTCGGGCCGATATTTCCCGACACTATCCTCGGGCCGGGCCGGGCCCTTGATCTACAGACGTGCACTCCCAACGCAATAGAGTGCGGCGCGGCACTAGATCTGATGGCCGAGCGCGGGCGCGGGCGGTAATGCACTCGATCTGTGTGTGCGGGTTGCGGTAGAATAAAACGATTCGCGGGACTCCCGCAAACAAGAAATATCTATGAATAAAACATAAAAACGAATAATTTTTATTCATCTGTTGCAGCAAAGCAACAAGAACAACTAAAACAAAATGGAAATGATTTACAGGCCAGAGTTTCTATTCATAACATGTCTGCAGCGTTGAGCGATGAAGCCAATCACAGACATATGTGTTGATTTCTTGAATGCAATGGCCAATCAGAAGCATTTAAGATAGACTCCCCTCACCGCTCAAAACTGACTTTTTTTCAGTGCTGAATTCTGTATGCTGGCAAATCCTCTAATTATAACAAACAAAGTGTGAATATTATGAAAGATTCATTGTGCAGTCAGCTTCATTGATAATAACAGAGATGTGTGAGATCGCGATGAACCGTCAGCTTTTTAGGAATTATTAAGGGATCATTCAGTCATGCCAGACCATGCACGCAGTAGCTGCTTGCTTTTATGTTAAATTAACAGTGGTTTGTGCTTTAATAACAAATAATTTATCATAGGGTAGGGTTGGGTTTTGTTTACATTCATTTTATTTATTGTTTTTGGTATTTATTCAAGTGCATTTTTGGTTAACAGAGACTGAGAGTCCGTTGGTTTTATTGTTTTTGGTTGTTTTGTTCATTTATTGTGGATATTTAAAATGTTTTCCATTTTCAGTGTTAAATAGTCTTTAGAAATAAAAGTTTATTGATTTTTGAAAAGGTGTACCTGCATTATTATGCCATTATCATTATTTTAGATGTGAATTGTCTCAGAATGACAATATTATCGTTTATCGCAATAATTTATTTATCGTCCAGCAAAATTTGTTCTCATGACAGGCCTAGGCAACGACATTTTTACTGGTCCTCACTCGTTAAGAAGGTTTATAAATTGGCCAAACATGTTTCTGTGATGGGTTAGGCCATAGACAATATTATTCACCTGATATAAAATCAATGGAAATCTATGCAATGTCCTCACTAATATAGTGAAACAAGTGTGAGTGAGTGTGTGTGTATAAAGTATAAACTAAACTGTACATGTTGATCCAGTAAAATCTGTTGATGTCAAATGGATTCACCATAAGAAAGATTATCTTCTACTTCCTGTTCCAAACGTTTGCTGGCAGGTGCAAAAAGCGAGTCTCTGCCTCCACTAGACGGGTATGCAAATGTCACAGCCACTTTCAAAAAATTACACAACAATGTTTGGATCTGTGGCTCTCATGTGGAATATTAACACATGCGGTGTGAGCCACTGCTGTCTCTCTGCTCAGATCTGTCTCTCTCTCTCACACACGGTGCATCAGCTGAAAAGGCTTGGTTTCCAGTGAATATGTAAAATTATGTGCATAGGTTGTGTTATATACAACTAATTGCGTATGTATGCATGGGTGTGTGTGTGTCCGTGCACATATAAGCTGTCTTGATCATCTGTTGCCATGCAGGCCGAGTGTGTGCGATGAATACCAGTATCCGCTCGCATCTCTCTCACCCACTCATCAATATCCCACAATTTATCTCCAGTACTGTATGAAAGGAGTAGCTCACCCAAAAAATGAAAAATCTGTTATTTACTCACCCTCGTGTCGTTCCAAACCTGTACTCTGTTATTTTTTTATCTGTCCAAACAGGGCAATTTGTGAAGAATGTTTATGCATTTCTTAGTAACCCAAAGATTTTTATAAGATTTAAAAAAGAAAATGTTTTTGAAAGAAGTTTCTTATGCTCAAGAAGGCTGCGTTTATTTGATCAAACAGCAACCGTATTATTGTAAAATATTATTACAATTTTAAAATAACTGTTTTCTATTGTAATATATTTTAAAGTAATTTATTCCTGTGATGAAAGCTGAATTTTCAGCATCCTCCTTGCTGAATAAAAGTATTAATTTCTTTCATAAAAACATTTTTATTGACCACAAACTTTTTAACAGTAGTGTATATTCTCACTATATCCGCAGTCTTCTGAAGTCACATGATGCTTTATTCGAGGAAAATGCCATTTTTAAGTTTCCTCCATCAAAGCTCTGAAATCTCATTTGTGTTTGCGTCATTGAAAAATGCACGACATTCAACAACATTTGCACTGCTTTTATAATGTTTTTTTGTCTGTTTTTGCCATGCACCATAAAAGTATCATGAAAGCAATCAATACACACACAAGTCATTATAAAAATATCTGTACCATGAATGCAAAGCAAGTTGCTTTGAGTGAAAGCGTCTATGCATAAATGTAAAATGTTCCAAAAATGTTTAAAAGGATGTCGGTAGCCAAACAGTTTATGGACCCCATTGACTTCCATAGAATTCCTTTCCATACTATGAAAGTCAATGGAGTCCGTCAACTGTCTGGTTATCCATATTCTTCAAAATATCTTCTTTTGTGTTCAGCAGAAGAGAGAAACTCATACAGGTTTGGAACAACTTGAGGGTGAGTAAATGATGACAGAGTTTTCATTGGGTGAACTTTCCCTTAAAATGTCATTCTGTTTCTCATCCAAAGTTATCCCCTGACTTCAGGAAGCCACAGTGTATGTCATTTGAGATACTTTGACAGCCCTTGCTCACTATATGCTTTCATCATATGAAAAAGAGCAGCGTTTCACAAATCATACAGGTTTGAAACGAGTGCAGGATTCTCGTTTTTGAGTGAACTATTCCTTTAAAGCATGTTTCTCTCCCACACTTGTTTCTTTCGTTCTCTCCCTCCTCTTTTTTCACACAACCCCTCCTCGTTCTATCTCTCTCTGAATGTCGCAGTGACTGAATGTGAGCTCTGTTAAACCCTCCCTTTCTCTCTCTCCCTCCTCCTCCTCCTCACTCGTTCTTAAGCATGTAGGCTCTAGGTTTGCTCGGTGTCTCTCTCTCTCTCTCTCTCTCTCTCTCTCTCTCGCTCTGGCTGTGTGTGCGCTGAGAGACGAGGGGCCGGAGAGGAGGAGGACTCAGAGGAGGGGGGGGACATGGCAATGGGGGGATACGGAGAGAAAGACCTGTCTCTCCCTCTCTCCCTCTCATCCTCATGGCCCTCGCTCGGTCCCCAGAACCGCAGCGTCTGGTTCATTTACAGGTATCGGCTGCTCCATTCTTTTATTGTCGCTGCGGAGAGAGAGGTAGAGCGAGAGAGAGCGAGAGAGGCAGATGGATGCTCTGAAGAGGTAGCAGACAGACTGTTGAGCAGAATCAATGTTTTCATATACAGTATATATCATCTGTGTGTGTGTATGTGTGTGTGAACAGTCTGCTCTTTTATCGTAATCAGATCCCTCTTCTGTGCGTGTGTGTATGCGTCTATACGTGTGCATTTGAGTCGTGAATGTGTCTGTCATTGTACATACGATGGAGGAACAACACGCCAGAAAACGTTTTCCTGCTGTGCGTGTGTTTTAAATGAGTTCATGTGACATGTATGTGTGTTTGTGAATCATTGAAAGGGGTATGAGTCACTATGGGTGTATATATGTGTGAAAGTGTGCATCATAGAAAGTTGCGATCCTTCGGGGTTGATCATATACGGCATGAATGTGTGTGAGTATTCCTGGCGTATCGTCATCTATGCATCACAGTCCTTCCCGCTGTCATTCCTACACAGATGCGATATGATGATGCTTTTCAGAACGGTGTTAAAGTAGGAAAATGCTGGTAAAATTCGAGACGGATCAACTTCTAGAAAATGAGCGAACTTGTCACGTGAGAGGATTTTGTATTTGAAAATCACAATTTCAATAATAATAATAAAAAAACGTTCAGCTTATGGTAAAGATGTTAAATTGTAATCATCTTCAGTTACAGAAACTGAACTCGTTTTATTTTTCCAATGCTGATATAATCTGAATATCATTTCATTAGCATCTTGTGATGCTCCTGGATTGAACAAATGTGGCATAAATTGGTGGATTTTAAAATGTTGGGATTGTCGTTGGTTGGAAAAATCTGATTTTTTGACATCTAAAATTGTAAAATGTTCTGTTTGTAGTGGGGTTTTGGCTCGGGTTCGTCATAAGTGTTTATAATTAGCTTTATGTAAGAACTAGAAGTCTAAAGTGTGTCATTTGTTAGTCAAGTACAGTACAGTACCTCAGTACAGTATAATGATGCGTTTAAACAGATGGTTGCTCTTTCCAAACTCTTGTTAACATATTGTCATTTTGCATCACAGTGTTTTCCGCTGTACATCTGATATGTTTGTTGTTAGATGTGTTAAACCTTGTGTTTGCCAGTTCTGTGGGTCGTTTGCTGTATCCATGATGGATGATGATGCCATTCAGAACGGTGTTTAATTTGGAAAGTGGTGCTGTTGTGTCAGATTCAAATTTGAGATGGTTCAACCTCTAGAAAATTAGCAAACTTGTCATATGAGAGGTCAATTTTATATACAGAAACTGAACTTATTTTAGTTTTCCAACACTGATAATCTGAATATTAATTTGTTTGCTTGTTGTGAGCGAATGTGGGATAAATATGCAAATTTAAAATAGCTAACTGCTGTATCCATAATGGATCTCCAGGATTATGGGGATCTTATCTATATGCCCGTGGAAGAAGATAAAGAAGACTGTAATATCACTCCAGATTTAGCTAATGGAAAGAGCTCACAGGCACTATAAAGTCCTTTTTTGTTGATTTAGTAAATTGAGATCCATTTTGATCAACATAGGCAGCCTGACGTAAAGCTAATAATGGAGAATGTTTCACATTTGTTTTGGATAACATTATGTAAAGGTGATGTGCATGTTAGCAACAAATGTTCTGTGGTTATTATGTCAGATAAATGTTCTAAAAAACGTCCCTAGTTCAGCATTGTTGAGTTTCTACTCGCATTAGGCAAACTGTATATTTAAAATTGGAATGTTCCAAAATGGAATGTTTGGAAAAGGTTTTTAGAATCTAAATTTGTTGCAGCTGATCCATGTGGTGATTCTTGCTAGCTGATAAGAGTACAGGCTTTACGTTGTGCCCGCCATTGTGGCATGAATTCAGCTAGAGGCATTTAAGCATCAGAACAAAGATATTTTGCACTGACATCGCAGTCAGAACACACAATGTTCAAAATGATAGAGCTGAGCTGACAAAACATAATGTTAGTCTGTAACTGTCATTGTCTTTGCTCTGAACTAACTGCACACTTCTACAAACCCTCATACATTCACCATGGTAACCATAGTGTCCGCCAAAATAGCATAGTTACTAACGTTATCGTTGCTACTGTAAATCCAACATACATGACATTTCAAAATCTATTTTTGAGCTTAAGATAGAAGCTGTGTTTTAGAACATGGCAGCTGGTTTCTAACCGGTCCAAGCTGGTCAATGCCTAACGAAACCTGTACTTTAACTGGTTTACCAGCCACAGCTTGACCACTTTATGCTGTAACTCGTTTTCCGCTGATTCAAGATGATTAACGTGCTTGAAACGGTTAAAAATTGGCTGTTTACAAAGCAGCAAAATTTTCCTGTGAATTCAGAACGGTGCTATTTTAGTATCATTAATGTACAAGTGTAGTTTTTATATGAATATTTTTATTTTATTTTATTGTTACATATTGTTTTCATTAAGTTTTAAAATGACTAAAAAGTTATTTTGTTTTATGTTTTTGTCATTTTTATTAGTTTTATGTCTATATATATTTTTTTTTAATTAATTTTATTAATAAGGTATAGTTATTTTAGTACAAAAAAAGTAATTATTTATTGGCTTTGGCAACTAACTGAATTAAAATATGTTTATTTTATTTTATTTTTGGTTTTAGTTTACGATCATAACCCAGAGTGATATTCTCAAATGATGACACTTCTTAATTTTGATTCTAGGTTGTTCAAATGAGCTGTGAGAGTCTTTCATGTGAGCTTCGAAACACCTCTGTCTTTTCTCTCTGACAGTGACTACATCATAAAGGAGAAAACTGTACTTCTGCAGAAAAAAGACAATGAAGGCTTTGGTTTTGTGCTCAGAGGGGCCAAAGGTGAGTGATGGACATCAACGAGCTCTTTTCTGGTTTGATAACAGCAGGACAGATCTCATCTGTGATTATGATCTATGATCTCTAGCCCAGACTCCTGTGGAGGAGTTCAGCCCGACTCCTGCCTTCCCTGCTCTGCAGTATCTGGAGTCTGTCGACGAGGGGGGCGTCGCGTGGCGGTCCGGTCTGCGGATGGGGGACTTCCTGATCGAGGTCAGCAAAGAGGTCGCCTCCTTAGAAGCAACCATTTTAGACGATTAATGCACGGGTTTTATTAGATAAAGAGCCACAGACAGTTATACAAATCCAGATAGCAGACTGAACGCAAAGCCAAAACGAGTTTAGCGGTATAGTCTCCTATCTGTGAGGTGTTAAACCCTAGACTGAACAAATCTTAACACCTACACTGAGGTGATAAGCCTCACTGTGATACTTGTGTTACTGACTTTAATTTGATTCTGCAAGAGAAGATGACGTGGAGCTTGTGTACCCTGTATATGCCATCTTGACTATTTGGTATTGCAAAATATATTTGTATTGATGCATCTCCAGACGCTTCGGCCTGTTAGCAAACACCTTCACCTCACGGTTCCCGGCTGGTTAATGTGGAGTGTGAATCATGTTGAATCATTTTGAAACAAGTCTGATGATAATACTTAAGACGCCCACTTGTGTTTCTCTCTCTTAACTGCAAATCAAATTTCCTTTCTTATATAATTGTCAAATATAATTTTATTTAAAAACAATCTTTGTAAAGCTGTGTTTACCGTGAAAGTCACTTGAACTGAATAATGAGGTAGAAAGTTTAGGGCCGGTAAGATTTTTTAAAATGTTTTTGAAAGAAATCTCTTATGCTCACCAAGGCTATATTTATTTGATAAAAAATAAAGCAAAAACAGAAATATTCTAAAAAATTATTGCAATTTAATTTATTGGTTTTCTATTGTAATATATTGTAAAATGTAATTTATTCCTGTGATGCAACGCTGTATTTTCAGCATCATTACTCCAGTCTTCAGTGTCACATGATCCTTCAGGAATCATTCTTATATGCTGATTTGCTGATTATTATCAATGTTGAAATCAGCTTTGTTGCTTTTTAAAATATTATATTACATATTATAATATACTGTATTATATATTTGTGTGGAAACCGTGAAAAGTTTTTACAGGGTTCTTTGATGAATAGAAAGTTAAAAAGAACAGAATTGATTTAAAATAGAATCTTTTGTAATATTATAAATGTCTTTACTGTCACTTTTGATCAATTCAAAGCATCCTTGCTGAATAAAAGGAATGAGTAATGAGACCCCAAACCTTTGAACGGTTGCATATCTTACATTATATCTTAAAGGGTTAGTTCACTCAAAAATGAAAATTCTGTCATTAATTTACTCACACTCGTGTCATTCAAAACCCGTAAGACTTTCGTTCATCTTTGGAACACAAATGATGATCTTTTTGATGAAATCTGAGCGATTTCTGTCCGTCCATTGACAGCTAGGCAACTACCTCTTTGACTCTTCAAAAAATTAAAATTTCATAAAAAGATCGTAAAACTAATACATATGAATTGAGCAGTTTAGTCCAAATTTTCTGAAGAGACTCAATAGTTTTATATGATGAACAGATTTAATTTAGGCTTTTAGTCACATATAAACATTGTTTAGCGAAAACAGAAGTTTAACCGAACCGACTTGACGCACGAGAACAAACCATTTGCTGATGCGTAACACGAGAATGAGCCTCATTGTTTCTCACACGTCAAGCGAAAATGCTTGAGCGTCCGTTTACCACAACTGATGTGTGATTTGACTCAATTCATATGGATTAGTTTTGCGATCTCTTTATTAACTTTTTGAAGCAGGGGCGTCATGCAAGCCAAAATTCTGGGGGGGCACAATCTGAGACGTTGCAATTGTTTTCTGACGGGTGATATGGATCATGTTAGGAGGGGTCAGGGGGTTTTTCCCCCTGAATTTTTTTTAATTCTGGCTGCGAAACATACTATTTCAATGCAGTTTGGGAGGGACAGAAATACCTTAACGGAGCTAGCAGCAACCCTCCTCTATCTGAGGACTAAGTTAAAGTATATGTGTATCTTATATGTGCATTATAAGATGTTTTGAAGGCCAAAAAAACTCCTAAAGTTGAGCTTTGACTGATAGGCTTTTCATTTTTGTCTGTCAGTGAAGAAAGTAAACATAGGGTCAACTGATAGGTTGATTTATGAATCATTTTCTCAGACGAATTTATTTACTGAAAGCTACTAGGAAAGCTAGGTAGCCTAACTAAGTTTATTAAATTCATTCACAGTACACATTCATTATTGATCTTAAGCCTAATACAGGGCCGTAGACAGGGCTTTATAATCACAGAGGTCCTAAATTTGAGGTGGGTAGGGGGTTCAAATTTTTTATTTCTCTGATATGTGCATTTCAAAAAGTTTGAAGGCCAAAAAAAGGATAAGAAATAGCTTTAAAACCATGTCAGTGGGCAGATTATTTGTCAATACCTGCTCTCACTTCTTATCCATCACTCTTTCTTTTTCTCTCAGTCTCCTGATCTTGCCTTCCCCTCCTAAAGCTGAGCTTTTTTAATTTACTTAAGGCTACAAATTGTACTATATTAATTCTCAATATGTACACATTCATTATTAATCTTGTGCCTAACAATGAAAACGTTTTTTCCCCTCACAATTACAGTAAACTAATTATTAGCCTACATTACGAGTCATGTTACATAGGCCTATTTTCAGCTCAAAATGGCGAAATTAGACAAAAGTATATTCGTGTGCCTGATCATTTTTGTCATTCGTTTAACATTTATGAACTAAAAAAACTGTCAAATATGAAATGTTTAGTTTAGCTACTTACATCTCGCACTTGACTGTACACTGAAGCGTCGAGTCTCACTGCTAAAATTCGCGCTCAGCTTCTGTGAACATAAAGCCCGCCTACTTTGATTTGATTGGTCATCTCAAATATTCTGACATTGACGAGCAGTGACAGACCAATGAGGCTCAGATGAACCAATAGTAACGAACACGCACGCGCACACACACACACACACTGTCCTCTGTTTCTGACGTGCGCTCTGCTCGGCGCCGCTGCGGATTGAAGATGAACAACGCGCTGAATCTGATTATAACAAGACTGAAGAAATAAAAAATTATCAGGGAGGAAAAATCTGAGGGGGCACGTGCCCCCTCACTTTGAATGGGCATGACGCCACTGTTTTGAAGCATCAAAGTGGTAGTTGCGTATCTGTCAATGAAGGGACAGAAAGTCTTACGGGTTTGGAACGACATGAGGGTGAGTAATTAAAGGTTTAGTTCGCCCATTTAAGACATGAAGTTGTATGCAATCCTTACCAGCACTATAGTGCATACACACTGACCCACTCTGTTGTCACCTCCCTGGTCAGAGTTCTGGCCGCTGGAAGTTTTTCAATAAAGTACTCCCGGTTATTTTCCGGGGCCACAAAACTGTGCGTTTTTATGTGAAAAAATGATTTGCGTTTCAAAGCTTGATTAATTTACCACACAAAAAACACGCCGGTCAAAATTCATACCTCAGTTTTAATCGGCACTATTTTCTATCCATTTCTATCAATCCGCGCTGCTGTCAACGTCACCAGTGCGCACGTTCCGATCAGCTGTTGATAGCGCGACTCGCTGACAACATGTCTGACTGCGAACTTCTGATGATGAAACCAATTTTAGCACAATGCCAGACGGATCAGATGATGAAAGTAATTTTAGCACAACGACAATGTTATTGATTGCAACACAAAACCTCAATTGTGTGTGTGTTCAATCAAATAGTTTTCTAAGCAAATTGTACCAATATCCCTATATACTGTTTTTATATTAGACATCTTTTCACGTGTTTTATAATGGAGTCTAAACATCAGCTTGTTTACCGTACAGTTTAGACATGGGCTCATAAAGTTAGTAAATAGAGCTTACCCGTGGTACTGGTACAGCAAAACTCTTTAATTTTCCTTTTCCTCCTTGGTTGGGGATGTAATCGTCTTCGCTGAAGTGAGCTCTACACACACGAAAATCCGATGGCAACCAGCCAAAGCTGTCTCATATTCGAAACAGGAAAACGATGGAATCTGAACTTTGATCCCGGCACATCCTTGTGGTCACCGCCTGGGAATTTACAAGTTCGCACCATTGTTAATTTAATACTTCTTACGTTGTTGTCAATCGATTGTGTAAACACTATGGAACAGCTGATCGGAGCGTGCGCACTGGTGACGTTGACAGCAGCGCGGATTGATAGAAATGGATAGAAAATAGTGCCGATTAAAACTGAGGTATGAATTTTGACCGGCGTGTTTTTTGTGATGTAAATTAATCAAGCTTTGAAACGCAAATCATTTTTTCACGTAAAAACGCACAGTTTTGAGGCCCCGGAAACTAACCGGGAGTACTTTCTTGAAAAACTTCCAGCGGCCAGAACTCTGACCAGGGAGGTGACAACAGAGTGGGTCAGTGTGTATGCACTATAGTGCTGGTAAGGATTGCATACAACTTCATGTCTTAAATGGGCGAACTAACCCTTTAATGACAGAATGGTCATTTTTGGGTGAACTAACCCTTTATGTTACTATTGATTCAAAGCACAGTGTCGTCATTATCGCTGTTTTCTCTCAGGTGAATGGGATTAATGTAGTGAAGGTGGGTCACAGGCAGGTGGTGAACATGATTCGCCAGGGCGGGAACAGTCTGATGGTGAAGGTCGTCATGGTTGCACGAAATCCTGAGATGGAGGAAATGCCTAAGAAGAAAGGTCAGGGTCTGCTTTTACTGTGGATTTGTCTGTGGGAGTATGAATGAATGGCATTGCAGACAGTTTTTGATTTGATTTAATAGCGCTCTCTCCTTACCTTTAGTTCCCCAGCAAAGTAAGCGGCTGACCCCTCCGGCTATAGCTCTGCGCTCCAAATCCATGACTTCAGAACTGGAGGAGATGGGTACAAACATACAAACACATATCCTCACCTTACATACATATAAATGCATGAAATACATGTTAGTATATTAAGCAGTTTTATCCCAAAACTTGTTATCATGCATTGTCATCTTTTTGACTGATAATGTGCTTATTTTTCTCTCTTCTTTGCACACAGTGGAGAAAGGTCTGTGCAATCTCTTGTCATTTTGAACCATTATATTATTATTTTAGATAGAGATGCACCGATTGATCGGCTGGTGACCGGAATCGGCCGATTTTCACGTGATCGGCCATGATCGGCGACCGGCCGGTCAGTCTGACAATGCCGATTTTATGCCGGTCAAATCTGCACTCGGGCGCCGCATGATTAACATCGCGCAACATCAGCATCACACGTGCACATGGAACACACATGTAGGAAACCTCGTGAATTACGACCGTTTCACACCGCAAGCGTGAGCAGCGGTTTTTTTTCTTTTCTTTGGCGTGCATGTTAATCAATGAGTGCATTCACACCGGGAGCCGGAGCAGCGCGTGAGCGTCAAGCAGGAGCGTCGCGTGAGCAACAGTGAAGCGCGGGTTTCGGCGCCGAGTCTATTCTGCTCGCGCTCAATTAAAGTGAAAGCATACTTTTGATGGACAAAATAAATATGATTTCACCCCAAGAAGTGCCCAAAATGCACAGAATTTGCACATCTGGTGTGTTTTAACAAGAACTGAAGTAGCCAGGCTATGTCAGAAAAGAAAATTAAGACTCAAAAATATTTATAGAAAATAACTTGTTTTTATTCCCAATCGTTTCCCTGCACATGCTCCACTTGTCCTGTTTAGCCTGGCTGGACATGTGTCAGAGAGAAGAAATGTTTGAGAAATATAACTTGCCATTGATGTACAAGTGATTGCAATAGGCCTGTGTGTGTGTGTGTGTGTGTGTGTGTGTGTGTGTGTGTGTGTGTGTGTGTGTGTGTGTGTGTTGAGAAATATATACTGCAAGGGTAGGCTATATTTATTTTATTTTTATTTGTTATTTATATATTATTTTATTGCCATTACCTGTTTTCATACAAAAGTTTAGTTTGCTAAATATATCTTTTTTTTTTAGTTGGATATTGGATGTGAAAAGGAAATGGTTCTTCCACAACACTGCACTTTAGATGTGTGTGGATTTCCCACACCAGGAGTAATTTATATAGTCCTATTTTATAGCGATTATCTGTTAAAAAAATGTTCTATGCAAAATGTCCTATTAAAGAGAAGATAGAAAATAAATATTTGTGTGTGCTGTAAAGTGGTTTAAAAAAAGAAAATCGGAATCGGCTAAAATCGGTATCGGCAGGTCAAACTCAAGAAAAATCGGAAATCGGAATCGGCCTAGAAAATTGTAATCGGTGCATCTCTAATTTTAGAATGAATGACCTAAAACTATACACAATTCACACACAAAAAAAATAATACTAATAATTTACAAAAAAGAATGTACTTAATTGCCACAAAACTGACTTTTGTGTGTGTATACTATATATACGTATATATATAAGTTTGTGGCAATTAAACTTTAGTTTTTTTGTAATATTCTCATCATTAGATTTGCATTGATGCAAGTTTTTTTAACGATATTTGTATTTCACAACCATAATGTATAAATGCTTCACTTTTTAAAACATAGTACATTATCCATTTTTTTGTCATGAAAATGTCACAATGAAAAACCAAAATTAAACTTAAAACAGGCTTAATTTTTATTAAGCAAAAAAATGAAATCAACTGTTTAATCTCATCAAAATGTTGTAGAGGGTTCTTTCAGTAATCTGTCTTCTCATATAAAATGTTTCAAGGATATGAATTTATTATTCTGTTGGTAGTAGTATTAGTAATAGAAATTACACTGTGCTTTTAACTTTACCATGTGCTACCCAGAGGTTGTGGTAGATTTTAAACAACTGTATGTGATTTACATTTATTAGTTATAAGATGTGTCTCTGGTCAACGACAATGAAAACATGTTACAATGTTTGTTGGCTGTCAGTTGTCATCTCAGTTTGTTACCATGACAACTCAAAATAGATTGCAAACTTGAGAAACATACTTGATGAGTGTTAATACTGTTACAAGGGAATCATTTAAATGAATGATACAAAAATAACTAAATATGAAAATATTACATTGTCCAGTAAAGCGTGCACTTGTGGAACGTTATTGCATATGTAAGATTACTCACTTTCTGTTATAGCTGCCACCCCATGGAAGAAACCAGGTGATTTATCTTTTGATTTTGCTTTAATGAGCATGTGGATGTCAGTTATCAAATGCATGATGATGATGAAATGTGTACTGTGACTGCCTCAAGTTAGCACAATTATCATATGGGAGGCATTTACTGTAAGAGCAATTCATGAAAGTTTCTCTGGGATGTATGAATGTGCCTTGTAAGCTGTTTGTTAGGATCATTATGGACAGATACACGTGTAACTGTCTCTGTTTGTGTATTTGTGTGTGAAGTTGCAAATTTTTTTAATGTGATTTTTCTCTATGCTCAGATCATTCAGAGAGTTCTCAAGCTCCAGAAAAGAAGAAGAGTGTCTATCAAATGGCCCTTAGTAAGAAATCTTCCTTTTGATTATGACATCTTTTATATCCATCTCCTGCTATACATTTCTCTTTATATCTTAAAGGTGCCCTAGAATGTTTTTTATTTTATTTTATAATGTTTCCTGGGTTACCCTTATAATGTTAGTATGTTTTTTAGATAAAAAATATTCATAATTTAGAAATAAATGGCATTTTTCCTAGCCTGCTTTTAGCCTCTGATTTGAACACTCTGTTTGAAGGGGCGTGTCTCTGTGGGATTCAGTGTAACCGCGGCCACTGCTGTGATTGGCTGACATGCTTGCATATGAAATAGCAACGCATTACATGTGAAACTCTCTCCCGAATACTTTTACTACTGCTATTATACGTTTTTACTATAACAGCTATCGAGATTAACGAATCGTGAGATGTTTTTAAAGTATTTAGATCTATTCCCATCACATAAAATGTTGCCGTGATGAGCATTGAGCAGATGACTGTGTGTTGATCGCGAGAATGAAGATCTTATCATTGCAAAGCAGTTTCTGCACTCTCTCTAAGGCTTTCCCCAATGCAAACACGATGATGTAAATACAGTAAGAGCTTCGTTGTGCAGTAACGTGCGTCATTGATTTCATAACGAGTTTGGCAAGTGTCCAGATAAACTCGCGCTGTGTGGAAAGATTGTTCTTTGATCGCTTTCTGTATATAATTTGTTCACAATTTAAATACGATTATTTTCATCCTACTAAAAGAAACGATGTGAAGCTGATATTTTAGTCACTGGCTTGACTTACTGATGCATAAACAGTATTGAACGATTTTGAGAGAAAGATTACCTGTCTGAACTTGAACAATTACACATCAGAAAGTGTTGCTTGGTAGCTCGATCCGAGGCCAGCTCTGTATTGGCCCAAGTTGAGGAAACACTCGGTGAAATGTTGGGAAATTTCCAGAGAAAATAAAATTAACCCATTGTTTCTCCAGAGGCTCAGATGAAGGAACTAAAAAATACTTTTGTGTTCATGTGTACATCCACACTGAGCAACTGCCATGCTTCGGCTGCGCAGTTCTGCCTGGCATTGAGGGCTGGCATTATGCAAATATTTGGAGGCGTACATATTAATGATCCCGACTATTGCGTCACAGTCGGTATTGTGTGTAGAACCGACCGTTTTTCAGGGGTGTTTTTCATAAACGTGAATTAAATGAGAACGCGAAAACAGTCCAGTTTGAGATTCACTCTATGTCATGTCCATGCACTGAACTCTTGTTATTTGACTATACCAAGGTAAATTCAATTTTGAATTATAGGTCACCTTTAATATATATTTTAATGTATATTATGATATATGCACATGGCTTCACCTCCAGTCTGACAGTCTGTTGAATAAAAAGACCAAAAGGCAATGTACGTATATGTTTTCATGATTTATAGCATGAATGGCGTCTTTTTTATCCTTTCGTTCTCCAGATAAGCTGGACGAGATTCTAGCCGCTGCTCAACAGACAATTAGCACATCAGACTCTCAGGGTCACAGAGGTCATGGGGGCAAGAAGGAACGAAACAAGGGCTTTAACGCTAATGAGGTAACATCTCTGTTTCATTTATCTCTGTACTGATTAACAGTGATTCGACAGTGTTGAGGAAGCTACTTTTAAAGCTAGCTTGTCAAGTTACAAGTTACTCATAATTTAAACTACAGTCAAAGCTACTCATTTGAAAAAGTGGAAGCTACTTAAAGATGAAGCTATTGATGATATCTTTTTTTATTTATCACCAGCATAAACTTTAACAAACTACTTTAAAAACATTGTAATGATCAGCAGCATATAGTTAAATATTTCAGCATAAAAAATAAAGTCTAAAATGCTGTGCAGAGATTCAAATCGGTGAACCATCCGAACAAAACAAGTCGCTAGAATGAATAGGACTTTCTAACATTATACATGAGAGAGAAGTTTGGAGAAGCCTGTTTGATTATTGCATACGCTTACTCAGCTGTAGAGTTGCATATGACATAAAAAACCACAGCTACTCGTTGGAAAAAGTAGCTACAAGATAAGCTTCAAAAGAGTTATGTACAGTACACAGCTTTGAAACTTGGTAGCTTTGGTTGAAGAAATGGGTTCTTTATAGTATGTTGCTACAATGACCATTTACGTTTGTTTGCCCGATCGTAGGTGTTGAAAAGCTGTGTTAGTAAGGCTTTTCGCCTGGTAATAAGTGTAAGAGTGCAACAACCTCTATGCTGCATTTGCTGAAAAAAGTACATTTACAAGCAGTTCATGTGTGAATATAGTGCTGTAATCCGTATTTCACTGAGGCAGCAAGGAAATGTGATAAATATTTAATCCCATCAGTCTCTTTTCTTTGTTCACAGCAAACTTTTGAACAATCAGGTGTTGGCATGATGCCATCAGGGTCTGGGTATGGTTATAACCAAGCCCAGTTTTCATCAGGCCATTCAACTCAGCGTGCTATGATGATGCGTCAGAAATCCATGGGTGAGTTTAAATGTTATCATCTCTTTAGTTCAATTGCATTGTAACTAGGGCTGCACAATTAATCGAATTTGTAATCGCAATTACGGATGCTAGTTAGTTAGTTAGTTAGTTAGTTATTTTTAGGTTTTAGTTTATTTAGCAACTTCAAAAGAAAGAAAAAAAAGAAAAACTATTTACAAGCAAACAGAGAAACGAAAATTGTACGGTGTAAAAGTTGCTTGACCGAAAAGGTGTCGGCTGAAGCTTATGCTTATTGTGCCGATCCTTTTTACATTTAATTTATTTTACACACAACACCAAAACACCAAACACCAAAGTCATCTTGCGTACATAAAGAATGACTAAAAGAAGAAGAAGTTTTATTTATATAGCGCCTTTCCGTAGCTCAAGGTCGCTTTACATTGTTCACTACAATATATTTACACACCCGCACACACATTACAATCACATAAGGACACATATAGTCACATTATCCAAAATACATGTTAAATAGATATGTTTTTAGCTGAGTCTTGAATGTAGCCACAGATGAGATATTACGAAGTGTATGGGGTAGTGAATTCCATAATTTAGGAGCATTAACACTAAATGACCTCCCACCTACAGTAGACAACCGGAAACGAGGGATGGACAATAAACCAGGTTCAGCTGATCTAAGGGGTCGGGCCGGGGCGGTAAGAGTAAAGTAGATCAGACAGATATGGAGGTGCAAGACCATTTAATGCCTTAAACGTTAGAGGTAATACCTTAAAGTGAATACGTGATGCCACGGGTAGCCAGTGAAGGTCATGAAGCGGAGGAGTAATGTGAGCAGAACGCCCGCCTGGTGGAGGAGAGAACACTTGCTGCTGAGTTTTGAACATACTGTAATCTTGCAATACGTTTTTGGGCAGACCAAGAAATAAAGCATTGCAATAATCCAGACGTAATGTGATTAATGCATGAATTCAGCATCAGCTAAAGTGAGAGAAGATCGAAGACGTGCAATATTACGAAGATGGAAAATATGAGAGCCAAGAGAGATGAAATATGAGAGCCACAAGATAGAGTTGAGTCGATTAAGACACCAAGGTTACGAATAGATGAATAGCCGTGACCTGTCGTTGGTGAATTGCACAAACTTTATTTAACTGTGTTCTGTATGTCTTCTCTCCAAAGGAGTTACAGAAGAGGAGAGGGTACATCTCCATCCTCCTACTATGAAGTTGTCCCGTAGTCTTTCTGTGCCTGGACCAGAGGACATTCCCCCTCCACCCGACACCTCAGCGCCTGAGCCGCCCCTGTCTGCCGGTGGCCACACAGATAGGAGGGCAGCACCAACACATTTTTATGCTGTCCCTCCTCTGCCTCCATCACACCACCAGCCTCACACCCAGACACAGCATAGGGTCCCGCCCAACCGCAGGGTAAGAGCTTGATACCATAGGTCAAAGGTCCCAAGAAGTGGCATCGGTCATAGGCTTTGTTCTTTCTTGTCTTTTCCTTTACATATATTTCCACAAAAAAAGAGTATTAAATCTTGTGTTTTACAGGCTGAAACTGATACCAGCAAGATGGGAGGAGCAAGAATGGGTGGCATGAGACGTGGCTATAGCAACGCCACACCTCCCTCTGATGTGGGCTCCAAACAGTCCACCACACAGCGTAACCAAGCGCAAGCGGTGGCTAAGATTGCAAGTCGGCAAGTTGGGAAGGGGCTGTTGGTGAAGCAGCGCAAGGTGGAGGAGGCAACAGGCAGAGAAAAATTGCAGAAAAGTTCCATTTCAATCCCAACGATTATTGTTAAAGCGCCATCTACCAGCAGCTCTGGGCACAGTAGCCGTGCAAGCAGTGAGGATACAGAACTGTCTCCTGAGATGAATGAAGAGCAGGAAGAGGAAAAGCCTCAAAACCCAGTCATGGCTCCTACGCCCACTCCACCTCCACCACCTAATATCCCAGGTAAACTGGAAACACTGGGCAGGAGCACAGCACAGCGGGAACGTGAACGCTTCCGTGATTCCCGTCGGAAAAGCGCCTCATTTTACTACTCCTCTGAGGAGGACATTTTAGATGAAAAGGAGTCTGCTCAAACTCCACTGGAGGCCAACACCACCTCTCGTTTGCGCTCTTCTAAATCTATTGATGAGGGATTGATCTCTGGTGATGCCTTAAGCATGCCGCCTGCGTTTGGGTTGCCGCAGTACGCATCAGCTACACCTCATCAAGCAACTACCTTCATCCACCCATTGACGGGGAAAGTTCTAGACCCAACAAGCCCGCTTGGACTCGCACTGGCAGCACGTGAGCGAGCGCTGAAAGACGACCACCGTACACGTAGAGAGGAACGGCACTTCGGTCGCCAGCTGTCCAGCACTGGAGTTTTCCCTTCTGCAGTCTCCCCTCCAAACCAAAAGCCCGTTCCTCCATTCTACATATACCAATCACACACCTCACTCTACCTTAGTGGTGCCTCTCCAACAACAGGTGGACCAGGCCCACAGAGTCGCCCCCAGTCTCCTCGAATGCTGCGATTGACTGGTGGTGGGACGGGGAGCTTGGAGTGGAATGAACAGAACCTTATTGATAGAGAGGACAGAGGGGCACCAAAGGTGCGGTTTACAGATAATCAAGCCAGTCAGTACCAGTCTCACCCTCAGGACAGGGACAACAGAGCCAATCAGTACCACACTTACCTGCGGGAAAGAGAGAGAGAAGGGCACAAGAGGATACCTCCCAAGCCTCCTCCCCGCAGGCCTTCCTACATAGATAAGGAGAGTGAACTCGGCACAGCTGACAAAAGTCCCACCAGTAATTCCCAGGATGACAGGGGAGGACAGAAGAGGGGAGAGAGTGGGATGGAAAAGGAGGGGGAGAAGGATGTGAAGATAGGGGGAAATCTAAGGGTTGGAGAGGGTGGCGATGTGATGATGCTTCCACCTCCTGCTCCATCTGTGGATGTGGATGATGAGTTTGTGTTTGCAGAGCCCCTACCTCCCCCTATACAGTTTGCAAACGGAATAGAAATAGACACCCATGGAACAACAGAATATAATCAACAACAACAACAGAAGGAGCTGTCAGGATCTCAGTCACTCAATGACCAACAGTCCCTGCAAATGGTTTCCAATCCCCCGCAAGATGCCATGTCCCTACCAGACAACATGCATGCTGACTCACAGCAGACACCCATCCATCCTTCTGCTGTGGTACATCCATATCTTTTCCCACCGACTTCTCTAATCCTGCATCCACAGCTGTGTCCTAAAATACCTCCTGCAAACCCCCCTCAGTCTCAACCCTCTGGCTATTCCCAGCACCCAAACACTGGCCAACCCCAACCTTTATCCTCGCCACAAGCGGGAGACTCTGCCACTTCTAGTCTTACATCTTATGACAGTGAGGTGGCCAATCTGACTCAGTCAGCTCTCTCCCCATCTCTTCCTTCTCCTCAGATTTTCCCTCCTTCGAGTTCCCCTTCCGCACCAGCCACCACCTCCTCATCTGACCCTATGTCATTGCATCGACCTCTACCACTTTTCTATCAAAACCAAGGTCACACTAATGTGTCTCTGTCGTATTCCACCATGGCTGCACCTGCTGCTGTAATGACCGTCACCACAACTATGCCTTTGGAAAGTACATCAGTCATAGCAAGTGATCGACTTCCTCCGGCACTTAAGGGGCGTGATTGGTCGGAGGCTGTGGTTGATTCTGGAATTGAGGAACTGGAGAGTCACAGCATCAGTGATCACCACATGGAAAACTTTGCAGAAAGAATGGATCGAGAAGGAGGCCAAGAGAAGGAGAGGGAAGGAAGGCGAGAAAGTATGGAGAGCGGGATAGTAGGGGATGGTTTCAAAGGAGACGGAAGAGTGTCCCTGGATTTGTCTCTTTCTCACACCGATAAATTCGCTCAAAAAACACACAAACCGCACATACATAAATCCAAACCTCCAAACCAGCCACTAGCTAAACCACACACTCAAAATATGTTAAAATACCACGCACACACACAGAATGGGCGAACCGGACCACCGCTACAGCGGCAGGCTAGCACTGCTCCCAACATGTACAGGTCAAGGGAAGAGGAGGAGCAAGAACAGGGAAGAGTAGGTGATGCTGAAGTGAAGATTCCAGCGTTTATGGATCGACGTCTGAACTCTCCTCTCTCCAATGTTAAGGCCAGCATCATAAATGAACTCAGCAGTAAACTACAACAGCTTGGTGGCTGGCAGGGTCAGGGACCACCGCCAAATCATAGGTGAGACATCTTGTGAAAACAATCACACACATAGACACACATTCTTACTAATAATACAGTACAGCATTTGAAATTACCTGAATTTTTGCATTGATAATGAAGTCACAATTATAGACAAATACAGTCTGGATAAACTAACGCATGCAACCAGTTTTTCAAATAAACAATCATTTGAACAAATCCTTACCCTGTTTGTGCTATGGACAGGGGTGTAAAGTCCAGGGGTCATAAAGTAAAAGTCCTGCCATATGTTTATTCCACCCATGAACTCAGCCAGCTGATTTCACTAATTAGTTCTAGCTCCTGTCTGAAAAACTGTGCTAATTAGCAAATCCAGGTGATTGGAACAAAATACTGAGGAGGACTTTTACTTTCTGAACCTGGACTTTACGCCTCTGGCTATGGACACCTCAACTTCATAGCAACCCAACTAGTTAAAACCTCTCAGTTCTCTTTGGCAACCACACACAACACCTTAGCATTGTTGTGGTGAACTTTTTCACTGGCATGCATCTTTGATTCTGGTTTACATACTTTTATTTTCTCTTCCTCAGGTTTCCAGGTGATCCCTCCTCTGGCTGTGCACCTCTCATCCCTGCTTCTGTTCAGTCTCTCCAACGCTCCTTCTCTCCAAACCTGCCCCCTAACTCTTTAACATCTAACTGCCCCGCTGTGGCTCTGAACCCTGTACCTTCGTCTCCTCTTCCTGTAACAGCTCTAACCCCAGTCTTAATCCCGATCCCATTACCTCTAACCCCAACCCCAGCTCCACCCCCTCTCAAAGACTGGACACCATCTAATTCTCCTATTTCTTTTCCTCACGGTATTTTGTCCCCTCCGTCACTGCCCCATACCCCCCTCTCTCCTCTTTCCCTGGCTCATGCACCCCTCTCTCCTCCATCATTACCTCATCCTCCCATTTCTCCAATATCTCTCTCTCATGCGCCCATCTCACCTTCCTCTGTCTCTTATCCACCGCTCTCTCCATCCTATTCCCCCTATCCCTTGTCTCCGAAACTTCGCTCTAAGTATCGTGGAAAAGTTTCCGAGTTTCAGTTCTCCGGGCCAGAGCTGCGGCGTTCTGAATCTCACTCATACACTCAGCGCCGTCGAGCACCCAGTCCCCTCATCTCCTGTTCGGACCACCCGCAGCCTGGACCTCCGCGTCCATCCTCGCTCCCTCTCTTTCCATCTGCGCCTCTTTACAGCTCTCTGTTTGAAATCCAACCCCCTTTAACACCCCCATTGGGAGTCGCCCATCAATATTCAGACCAGTTTTTCCCCCAAACTTCTCCTCTCTTCCCGCTCCCATCTCCGGTGGCTCCTCCTAACCCTGCGCTTGTCTCTAGGTCACTCTCCCCTACCAACTACCTGTCTGGAGGCTCCTCCCCATCTTGTATGGGCTACCCGCCCTTGACGCCTCTTCCACCCAATCAGCCATTTGTGTCTAAGCCCCTCCCCTACTGGAGCAAATATGATGTTGCTGATTGGCTGACTTACCTGAATCTGGCAGAGCACCGAGAACGTTTTCTCGACAACGAGATTGATGGCTCCCACCTGCCATCTCTGACAAAAGAGGACTTCCTGGATCTGGGTGTGAGTCGGGTCGGACATCGCATGAACATTGAGCGTGCGCTTAAGAGACTTACGGACAGGTGAGATAGGAAGATGAGGAAAGGAGGGGAAATGAAGGGTAGATTCAGACGAGGACTTGATGAACAAGCAAAAGAACATTAGAAAGCAAACTAGACAGAAGTAGTGAGGGGGAAATTATTATTTTTTAAACTGGAAAAAAGCCTTTACATTTGTTTTTCTAAAAATGGTCCACCATTTCATTAAAAATTAGCTCTGCATGGATATTTCTGCCTGCAGCTTTACTCGACAAATAAATAGTCTGCCCTCAATGTTTTTGTATGCTTAAGATGAAGATTAGTTAAGGAAGACTTAATTTGATCACAAAACCCATTTCTTGAGACTGTGACGTTCATGTATACATTTTATTTTGCACTACCAGTCAAAGGTTTGTACATCTTCTCATTCGTTATGTAAATGATTCTAATTTTAGCGTTATAGTAAAGTATGAAAACTATGAAATAATACAAATGGAAATCTTTCTATAATGTAGTGACTAAATAAGTTTTCACATTTTTGTTTTCACCACGTGCAAACGTGTAGTTTCTAGTTTTTTATTTATTTATTTAAACAGAGAGAGAAGCCTTTAGGTCAAAAGTCAACCTAAAATCAGGTTGAAAGAAACATAAAATCAGTCAAGTGTGTCTAAACCTTTGACTGGTAGTGTATATTATAAATGCATTGAGTTATGATTTTTCATATTCCATTTAAGAAAACACCAATCAATTGAATTACATCTCATTCTTTTTGTTAAACATGGCATTTATTTAAAATTGCACACCTGGCACATGCCCTATAATTACATACTGCACACTAATGTAACTAATTGCTTTTTGAATGCCAAATTCTTCATCTTAGTCTCTAGATGATCAAGCACTTTTGTTTCTTATACCTCATGCTGTGCCTCCTTTCTTTTCCTTTCCCCCTTCCATGTTTTCTAGGCTCTCCTCTGCTTTCTCTGTCTCCACTGTTTCTTCTGAAGGGCAGAACGAACGCATGAGAGATGATACGACTCAGAGCTAGAGGAGAATTAGAGAGAACTAGTAAGAGGATAGAAAGAAAGAAAGAATGTGGTTAGACAAAAAGCACTTGGGATGAAAGGGAAAGACTTCCACTGAAGGACAGAGATGGGGATGATTGCAAAGGAGAAGTGCTATGAAATACTCAAACACTCTTGCCGAGTGAAAGCTAAAGTCATCGTCTCCGTCGTTCTGAGCAAATGTTTGTCATCTCAGCTGAAGCCAGATGGGCAAACTTCTTCAGCCAATCAGAGACACACAAAGAATGTACTTCTTTCATTGTTTTTTGGGAGGACTATATCAAAAAGTGTAATGAATTTTAGTAATATTATATTATTATATTGATAAAAAAGAGGCTACTGTGCATATTTTAGCATCATGACGTACAGGCTTTGATTCATCTGATAATATGATGATTAAGGTCAACATGAAATCAGAATAGACCCCATTTACTTTTTTTAATACACATTTCAAGTGCACATTATTCCAAAGAAAACAAATGTAATTGCTTTTTGGCTGATGTCATCAAGCTCTCTTATTTTTAACCATCAGTCATGTTGAGCGACTTTTCACCATCCAATCAATTTGCGATAGATAAAATCAAGCCTTACCTTACATTTTTATCATTGAATGTCCTTTTTTAAATGGAAAAATATGTTGGATTATGAAAGAAAAATGGGTTACAAACTATTTCGTGTTGACTTTAAGCACTAAAAGCTAAAAAAAAAACAGTCATCGTAATGCCAATAATAACCATATAAGGATTAAGTATGTAAGCATTTTAATACCATAAGCAGAATCAGTCTTCCAAAGATCAGAACTCAATGAAAGAACCCATCGTTTATATTGCTTAAGTGCGCTCTTTTTAACCTACACACACATACACACAAACACGGACTGTGTGTATGTGTGTGTTTTGTGATGGCGGTGGTGGTTGTTTTATAGGAGTAAAGCATAACTCCATTTCATTTGAAAATATATTTAAGGAATTAGAAACAAAGGAAATATATGAATATATGTGTGCGTGTGTGTATGGAAATGAATGCAGAATTAAAGTATATATATATATATAAATATCAGATATTTCTATTGTTCTGTACAATAATTGATGAATATGATGATACATAAGCTCTGCTTAAGAGGTTTGAATAAATTATTCTCGTTGAATTTATTCTCATCTGTTCTTGAGAAAACATACAGTAAGTGGTTATATCCCCCCCCCCCCCTTCCCCCATTTTTTTGCCCATTTTTGCAGCTTAACAGCCTATTTTCACTGTGTGCTTTATTAATTGTATGCTTTAACATTGTTCCATGGAAGAAACAACCATTAGGGTGAGTAAATAATGTCATTTCTTTATTTTAGGATGAACTATTTCTTAAATCCCCACAGGCCACGATTGACTGTGTATGATGCAGTAGAGATCACTGCGGGTTCTTCACCGTTCCTGTTTCTGAGGTGATGAACTCTGATAATAAACAGTCATCAACATTCACTCAGCCAGTGTTACTATGCTAAGTTAAGCACTTTATAACTTTAAATGCTTTGATATAGAAATTGCATATTTTGTTTAGGCTGTATTGTTTGCTTTTGAACTTATGAACCACACTGATACATACTAATTGCTTCACATGTTGGCGGTTTTTCGTTCTGAGCTGTGGTTGGCAGAGAGCTGAAATAACTCTCACATTCTACAACACACTTAAATTTCACACCTGACAACTCATTTACACTGAGATGAGAGATTATGTGTGTGTCAGTGTGTGTGTGTGTGAGAAAGAGAGAGGAGGAGAACACACACTTGCATGTACATATGCACTTTGGCAACAGCTGACTGACTGCACAGACACTGGAGTGAACATCAGACAGACAGACATGGGAGAGAAGTGAAGGATACTGAAGGAGGACAGACAAGCCAAGGACTGGAGGTAAAAAGCCTTGTTTTTGCAAAGCGTTTGCTCCTTTTTTTCTATTCAGTTTAACTTAAGTTTATTGGGTAATTGACGAATAACATGTTGATGGGTTTTCTTTCAACATCAAGATTTGAAGCTAAAATTGACATGAAAGTTTTTATTTTAGGTGCTGCAACTGGTCTTTTTTGATATTTTTTAAAAATGTAAGTAGGTACAATTAGTTCATTCTCAGTTAATATGAGCTCATAAAATATGCATGCATGATAATCATACAAAATAGTTTTAGATGTGTTTCACGTCAACTGCCCATACAGTGTAAAGAGTGTTGCACACACGCTGATTTATTGGAAAGTGAAAAAATAACTTTTTTGTGTTATTGTGTATATTTAGCTCACACAGAGCTTGATCAATAGATCAGTGTTGAAATGCTTTCATTATGTTTTTGTACTTTACTAACAATTGATTGTTACGCGCAATAACAAAAATGCTAGATTTTGGGGCTTTATGAGTTTATTTAAAGATGTGATTTAATTTTGATATGATGCTGTATATTTGTATACATGTGTTTTCCCCTATGCCATTCTTTCATATTAGAGATATGATTGTGATCTCATGTATGTAACGTACATTTAAAAAAAAAAAAAAAATTAACACTGCAGAAACACGAGTATAAACGACAGTTGAAAACACTCTATCCATCACGGGCAAAAATGAACCTGGACTTAAGGGAAATCCCTCTGATGTTTTAAATTTCTGGGCATTTTATTAAGTGACTGTTATCTAATAATGGATATATTTGACAATTTTATTCTGGCTTCTAATTATGGGTTTAGACTCCACAGTGATCATTTTAATTAGTTTATTTAATTTATTTGACACAATGGGCATTGTGTTAGAACATATTCTCTCATAAATAGAAAATATCACTCCACTTTGTGACTCTGTTGTATTTTGCACTGTGTGTGTGTGTGTGTGTGTGTGTGTGTGTGTGTGTGTGTGTGTGTGTGTGTGTGTGTGTGTGTGTGTGTGTGTGTGTGTGTGTGTTGAAGCATGTGTAAGATGACCTACCAGCTCTTGTTTATTTGGAGTTCGCTCGGCTGGTGCATGGAATCCAGGGTGGGGGAGACTTCTATTTCTGATCCCAGATTCCAGTAGCAACACACACACACACACAGACACGCCTTTACAGTAAGCTTACACATGCATGTATTAATACATACTGATGCAGTTATGTCCATTCATTATTTTAGCATTCTTTAATTTGGCTATAGTTCATGTGATTTTGTGAGCCTTATCTTTAGTATAAAGATTTCTGTCAGTCTTAATCATATTAAATTCACAGCACATTTCAGAGATGTTTATCATCACAACTGACTATATCCAGTTGCAGTCTCTCGCATGCAGCGAGTCCCAGGAGTGATTCACATGGACAGTTGCATGCTCTGGATAACGGCCAGAAACTCTCCCACAACCTATTTTTATCAGATAGACTTTGCAAATGTATGCATTGGGAACACTTTACAATAAGGGCTCATTTGTACCTCACATTAACTAACAGCACGCAGTTCATTTTTTACAGCATTTATTCATCTTTATTAATGCCATAAAAATACAAATTAATTCAATTCAATGGAAATTGAATTGAATTTCTATTTAATTGAATAAAATTGACCAACTGTAGTTCACAGTGCATTAAGTAATGTTAACAGATACATTACTGTAGAAGTATTGTTCATAATTAGTTCATGTTTAATTTTAACAAATTAAACCTTATTGTAAAGTTTCACCCATGCATTTAGGCACAAGTCATATTATGTGTCAATAGTTTAGCAGTGGCTCTCATACACTTATCATCACTTATCACTTACTTTTACCAGTGCATCATTTTTTATTTTAATCATCATCCAATCAAGTTGCAGTGATTTATTGAGAACCACTGCTCTACAGTTTTGTGTCAAGTGGGCCGCAGGACTTGTTGCTCTTGTCATGTGCTATTTTGCATCTTGTGACTGTGTGTTTTTGACCCCAAACCACAGCGGATGTAATTTTAGACTTTGTTACCTTGTGAAAAAGTTCTCTTAATTGTATTTAATATGCACTTGTAGTGTACGCTAAATCTTAAAAGTATATTTTTAAAAAGCTGTACTTGCAGATATGATATTAATGAAATAAAAGGCCATTTAAAGGGGGTACACTTTAATGATCTTTTGCCGTGCTTTAAAGGGATAGTTCACTTTGAAATTAATTTTTGGTATGTTTTAGCTTACCTCAAGGGCATCCAAGATGTAGGTGTCTTTGTTTCCGCAGTAGTTTCAATTTTGATATTTTTAGGTCAAACCGTTCTTGTCTGTCAGTCATATAATGCAGGTCTATGGTCACCACCTCAAAGAGCATGCACAGAGAAGTCCAAATTAAACATGATTTAATGACTCGTAAATGTAAGTACACATTGATGGCCTAAGACACGAAACGAGCGGTTTGTGTGAGAAAACGAACAGTATTTATATCGTTTTTACCTCTTGTAAACACAGCCACGTCCAAGTGATCTGAGGGCGCCGGCGCTTCGGTCTGCGCATTTACAATAATTAATTATTATTTACAATAGTAAATATTTTCAATAATTATTTTTGTGTACCATACATTTTTCAGTCGACAGTGCACTTTAACCACGTCAAAGAGAATAGAAATAATTATGAAATGACACATTTAAAGATAAATTTAAACTTTAATACATTTTCATTCATTTGCAAATTACATGCAATTTAATTTTTCGAAGACATTACATTCAGTTCATATATTAGACTGAAGTTACTCATCAACATGACTAAAATGTTGGCTGTTGTTATATTGTAAAAGGCAAAAGGAACAACCTGGCTGTACAAAGGTGACGTCTTTTTCTTTTTCAAGAGCGTCTGTACTTGTTAGTGGTGTTTGCAAGTCAAGCATTATTAACATTGCTCATGGTGTTCTGAACAAATCTCTAACACTTTTAAACTGCTGCATGTAACTCATTCTGCAATGTGTCAAAACAAGGAGATGTTCACATCCGATGAGACAACAGGCCCGGGGAATGCAAATGTGCAGAAGGTTCAAAAGCTTCAGAGACGCGGCCGTCTGTTTGCCATGAAGCCTCTCGGAGGATTGTGGAAACAAATGGGTAAACATACCCAGATGCCCCTGAATAAATGTCACCTGATGTGTCAAGGCGGGTTCTGATAGTGCAGGGGTAACAACAACAGCCTTGAGGCTGCTGCAACAAGCAGGAAACTGGACAAAGACAACTTTGGACTTCGATTGGTTTTATACTCCATAACATGAAGCATGCAGATTCTTCCTCACTTACACACATGCATGTAATCAGACTGTCTTTTGCAGCCAGCTGCGACCATGGCGGACCCTCCCGCAGGCCCACCTGAGGATCTCAACAAAATCAGCTTCTGGATGGTAAGAAAAAAGCTGTTCCAACACCTAGTGAGCTGCCTTGCTGTTTACTCCCTACATAGGTAGCTTCCTTCTAAGGCAGCACCATAGATCAAAAGTGGATTGCACTACATAGCATGTGCCACACAAACATAGCGCTTTTCATGGGAGACTCAATTCACATAGATTCAAATTGGCATCTATCATTCAATAAACAACCTGTAACATCAATGGAGCCTTTCTAATGCAGAAAAGGTTCTTAATAGTGGAAAAAGGTTCTTCAGATTATTTAAATATTCTTCCTAGTAAAAAAAAAAAGAAAGTTATTATAAGAACTGATTACTGAAAGGTTCTTTGGGGGAAACAAAAATGATTCTTCTGTGGCATCACTGTGAAAACCCACATGTGGAACCTTTATTTTAAAGGGGTCATGAACTGGCTTTTTAAATTGTTTTATATTGTTGTCTGAGGTCAACTTATGACGTTCGCTTGTTTTTTACATTCAAAAACATCAAAATGAATAAGTAATAGGCTGTTTTCTACCCTAGTTTTGAGCCTAGCTCAAAAACACTCGGTTTTTATGGGCGTCTCTCGCATTGAAGACTTGGAAGTAAACGCCCACTGCTGTGAGTGGATAACAGTTTTGCATATTATAATGAGTTTCGTGTAATGCGCGAATCGGTGGGCGGGGCTAAACCGTCCGTGTTGAAGTAGGCGTTGATCTTCTTCTGCGGGGGTGGTGTTTTATCCTCTTTGTCGTCATAGTTCCCCACTTTGAAAAACGAGTCGTTTGCTGAACCTGGTGTCAATAAAAGCTTTTATTGGACTAAAAAGGATGTTTTCAGTTCTGAAACTTACAGGATATTCTTATAATATGATGACCTCTTAGATGTCAAAAGCTCAAGGAAAATTTGATTTCTCAGTTCATCACCCCTTTAAGAAGTGTGGCACACGAATATATGACAATTTAACTATTGAGCATTAATTCAATATATTCTCTCTAAATCATATTTTTTATCTTTTACATTTTCCTTTCTAAAAAAAAGCCTATTGCTTATATATTGTCCTCTTGGATAGTATGTAGATGTGCTAACTTTGCACGTATTGTGTTCCCAATCCCCCATGTGGGAAATTATATATTATTATCTTTGTCATATAATTTGCACAATTATTTTTGGGAAACATGGCAAAAATCACTCTTTAACATATCTAAATTTGGTTAGTCCAATCAAGATCATTTGCTTTAATCTGGAGATGCTGTCATCATCTACCCACCATTATTTTGTAAACGTTGCTCTTTTACATACTAGGGTTATTATAGTTAGATAATTTATAAAAACATATTCATTAATTGAGTATGAGTTTTCCTGTTCAGTGTTGATGACTTAATGTTCAACAACCTCTGTTGGCACATGTTAAAAAAATCACACGAGGGAGTTTTACCGATGCATTTTATGTCACAGAATAAAATGTGAAAATATCTTGGGCTTATGTTCACCACAGACCTTATTTCGGGTATTTAACCAAAAAAACATTCAAAAGCCCCATTGACTTTAGGACAATGGAAGTGCTAAAATGCTAACTTGTTTCTGGGTTTTGGCCTACAAAAATACGCCATCCATTTCCTTCTGTTCTTGTCTCAAGCCAGGAAATTTCGTGCGGACAGTGCGGAGGACATCAGAGTCGCACCAAGCGTGTAATGACATCATAGCATGTATGAAGGACCGGGCTCGTGTGGAGCGACAGTACGCCCGTCAGCTGACTGAGTGGAGCAGCAAGTGGAAATCAATCACTGACACTCGTGAGTCAAAAACTGTCAATAAGTGATCCGTTTAAAATTCTGAGTAGCTCCGCCCACAGTCAAATCTCATTGGTCCGAAATTGGTCCACTATTTTCAGAAGCGTCACACCCACTGAAACTGGCGTAGGTGTTATTGAATCTTTGCTCATTTTTGAGTTTTTGTATTTGATGTTTTTGTCAGTTATTGTACAGTAGTATCATTTGCTTTAATCTGCAGATTCTGTCATCATCTACCCACCCTTATTCTGTTGCTCTTTTACATACCAGGGTTATTATAGTTAACTAAAACCATGAAAAAAAAACAAAAAAACATTTTCGTTACTTGAAATAAAACAGATTTTAACTTCATTTTAAAATAAAAATTAATAAAAGATGCATTTAAAAAATATTAAAACAGAAAAATATACAAATGAAAGCTAATTCAAAATATTAACAAAAGCTAACAGTATCTCAATGATATTAAAATAGCACTGTTACATAAAAACAAAAATCTGCTGGCTGTCAAGTTCAGTTGCAGTTTTGCTTAGTGTGATGTAAATGGATAAAAGTGTTTGCAACTGAGCTGATGTCTCTCTCTCTCTCTCTCTCTCTCTCTCTCGCTCTCTCTCTCTCTCTCTCTCTCTCTCTCTCTCTCTCTCTCTCTCTCTCTCTCTCTCAGGGCCGCTGTACGGGTCCCTCTTGCGAGCGTGGCAGTGCTTTTTCTCGTCCACCGAGCGTCTGTCTGCCCTTCACACGTCCATCTCCCAGTCTCTGGTTTCAGAAGACGGAGAGCGCATTCGCTCGTGGAAGAAAGAGACGTTCCCGCGGAAAATGTTCTGCGGCTTCAGGGAGTCACATGACCTTGGGACGGCTTTCTCACGTGCTCAGAAGCCCTGGGTGAAAAGATTAAAGAAGGTGATAGTAAGAAGGTTCCTGACGATGATATAATGGCCAACTATTTCAAATGAATAGGCGTTAACCAACTGAACCATTTGTTTTAAAATCCCACTCAGTATTTCAGTATATTAAAGCAAGATAGTGCAGGAAAAAAACAGGCTTACTTTGGAGATTTCAGGCTATTTTGCTTCATTAACTAGTGGAAAGAAAACATCCGAAATAAACATTTATTACACGTAGATCTATTAGCGTAGATTTCAATTACAATACATAACATTAAAGGCCATTATTCTGAGAGTTTTTTTCTCCACCTCAGTATCACTTATGTACACCAAATTTTACAGTTTTATTCCCATCTATACTCTGAAGGCTTTTACTGAGGAGTTTGTTCATACAGGTGAAACTCGAAAAATTCGAATATCGTGCAAAAAGTTCATTTATTCAGTAATTCAACTTAAAAGGTGAAACTAATATATAGACTCATTACATGCAAAGTGAGATATTTCAAGCCTTTATTTGTTATAATTTTGATGATTATGGCTTACAGCTTATGAAAACCTCTTCACAATATTCTAATTTTGAATTTGGGGTTTTCATAAACTGTAAGCCATAATCATCAAAATTATAACAAATAAAGGCTTGAAATATCTGACTTTGCATGTAATGAGTCTATATAATATATTAGTTTCACCTTTTAAGTTGAATTACTGAAATAAATGAACTTTTGCACGATATTCTAATTTTGCGAGTTTCACCTGTATATCATTTGGCTGATTTTATACATTTTATTCCTAAAAAAAAAAAAAAATTCTGTCTGTTGACTGTATATTTGGGGGTTTATGGAATGATAAAAATAGATATCCAAAATCCCTTCTGTAAAAACCTTTAACTCTAATATGCCAATAAAAGGAAACAAGAAATTTTCAGATTTCAGCTCTGGAAATGTATGTGCAAATTTTATTAGATAATGCCTCACAGCATATTTAAACAACATTTCAGGAAACTTGTAATTCAAAACAATTGTCTTATTGGACTGTGATTAATCAACTATTGGCAAATTGTGGTGATATCTATTAGTTCAAATTTGACCCTATTATTATCTGCATTTATTTCCTTTCATACAGTATTCAGCTTTTAGTGAGGGAAACAAATATTACTTGACGCTGGAAACGTCCCGGTTAGAGAGAGACGCATTTCCCAGTGCATTTAACAGCATAAGTTAGAGCTGAATATGACATGAAAAGCACTAGGTGATGCTAATAATAAGTTTTTGTGTATCCATTAGCTGGAAAAGGCTCGTGCGGCGTATCATAAGTCATGTCAGAGGGAGCAGATCGCTCAGGAAAAAGAGAATCAAGCCAAACACAACGCCAACCTGAGTGAGAGCAAACTGTCCAAGATTCAGCAGACGAGAGAGAAAGCCACACAGGAACGCAGCAAGGTCAATGAGCAATAAGACTTTCTACACAAATATATTATATTCATTATATATAATATATTACTGAATTATTTATGCATGTTTTTGCAGGCACGTGATCGTTATGAGAAGGTCCTAGAGGACGTCACCGGCTTTGCACCGCGATACATGGAGGAAATGGAGTCTGTGTTCGACCAATCACAGGAGGAGGAGAAGAAGAGGATCAGCTTCCTGAAACAGGCCTTCCTGTCCATTCACAGACACCTCGACATCACCAACAATGAGAGGTTTAAAATGGCAACACGCATTTGATTACAACATTACATTATCGTTTTTTTTTTTTTGCAGTGGATACATTAAAGTGATCCGTTCATTATGAAGGGAACAAAAACAAATAGTGTTGATTTCAGACCAGTTTCAATTGAAATTGAAATTTAACAAAAAATGATATGTGTAGACAGGGTTTGAAATTAACTTTTTCACTCACCGACCAATTTAGCTACTAAAGTTACCGGCCATTCAGAACTTCTACTAGCCAAAAGAAAAAAAAATCCAAATGAACTACGTCACATATATATATATATATATATATATATATATATATATATATTATATATTATAAAATCTGGATTTCATACATTAATTTCTTATTTGAACAAAATCCTGTCATCCAGCCATCTCCTCTCTTCCTCTTTTATCCTCATCCATTTCACCAGAAATGCGTTTTAGCTGGACAGATCAATACAGGACAAAGAACATAAAAAAAAATTGAGGTTTTCTGTCTTTTCTGTTCACCAAATGCTTTTTAATCTTCGCTATTGCTTCAATGCAAATGAACAAGCGCACCATTATTTGTTGCGTAGTGACGTGTGTGTTCAAGTAAGCCAGATATGAGCAGATTCTGCGCAATACGCTGGATTTAATATATCATGATGACTCACGAGTTGAGTATTTGCGGTAAATCTGCGCAGATTTGGCTCACACGAACTTCCCCAGCAAAGTGAGTAAACATAAAAAGTAACGCCAAATTGGCTCGTGATTTAACAACGTTACCCGTCATTTCAAACCCTGTGTGTACATATATATTTGCTTTCTGCACTTTATGTATTTATATGTATATATTATGGAGGCTTGTTTTCACCACGGAATAAAAAAAAGGGTAATTGAGAGTTTATATCTCTCAATTTGGACTTTATAATTTGCATTTGCAAACTTGGAAAAAAATCTGAATTACGAGATATAAACTCACAATTCTGTCTTTTTCCCTTGCAATTCCAAGTTCAGATATAAACTCTGAATTGCAAGATATAAACTTGTGAGATTAAAAAGTTATACATTTAATATATATACACTCACCTAAAGGATTATTAGGAACACCTGTTCTATTTCTCATTAATGCAATTATCTAATCAACCAATCACATGGCAGTTGCTAATGGTGTGGGGGTTGTTTTCTTGGCACACTTTAGGCCCCTTAGTGCCAATTGGGCATCGTTTAAATGCCACGGCCTACCTGAGCATTGTTTCTGACCATGTCCATCCCTTTATGGCCACCATGTACTCATCCTCAATAACAATAGCAGGATAATACACCATGTCACAAAGCACAAATCATTTCAAATTGGTTTCTTAAACATGACAATGAGTTCACTGTACTAAAATGGCCCCCACAGTCACCAGATCTCAACCCAATAGAGCATCTTTGGGATGTGGTGGAACGGGAGCTTCGTGCCCTGGATGTGCATCCCACAAATCTCCATCAACTGCAAGATGCTATCCTATCAATATGGGCCAACATTTCTAAAGAATGCTTTCAGCACCTTGTTGAATCAATGCCACGTAGAATTGTGGCAGTTCTGAAGGCGAAAGGGGGTCAAGCACAGTATTAGTATGGTGTTCCTAATAATCCTTTAGGTGAGTGTATATATATATATTCATAGACCGCTATTAACCCTTTCTCAGACGAGCAGATGCGATGAGACCTGTTTTCCTGTTTGTTCATGTGACGTTCACCATAAAGCCTATTAGCTGCAGTGATGTTCATTATCCTGTCGAAAAGCCTGAGGGTCTTTATACGTGTATATGGGTGTGTTTCAGTATAAAAGCAGTGTACGGTGAACTACATCACACACTCATGTCCATCAGTGAACCTGATGATCTCCGCTGGTGGAAGAACAACCATGGGCCGGGCATGCCAACCGACTGGCCCAAAATAGAGGTGTGTGTCATCATATGCATTCAGATATTATGAGGGAAACTATCCTATATTTATTTTTGTGTCAAAAACTGTTGTAATTTAGTGTTTCACGACTTGACTATTCACAAAACAAGTTTTAAAATGACTACAGGACCCGTTTGAGTCTTCTTTCTTTCTGTGTTTTTGTCCTGTAATCTCGTCTCTGCGTGTTTTTGGTCCAGGACTGGAATCCTCCGATTAAAAAACATAAACCGGGAAAGAAACCAAAAGCACACAGAGGACCTGAGGAGAAAGCGTAAGCTCACCACACACACACACACACACACACACAATTACAATTGTGTCAATTTTCAACTATGATGTATTTAAGGCTAGACACTACAAGGCAAAACCATTGTTTTTTTTATTAATCTCCACTTCAGTATCACTTTCATCCACTAAACTTTACGGTTTCATTCCTATCTATATTCTGAGGGGTTTGTTCATATCCAATTTGCCTGATTTAATACATTTTATCCCTAAAACATGGTGAATTTTCTGTTGACAATATTTTCTGATTTATGATAAAAAGATGTAAAAAAAAAAAAAAACGTTAGCTCTAATATGTCAACAAAATGAAGCAACCTGGCTTTAACAGTGTTCACATTTGTGTTCTGGAACTGTATGCAAATTAGGGCATATTTAATTACATAATGCCTCATTTCAATATTTCAATATATTTCAGAAAACTTGTAATAAATTACAATAGTCTTGATGTGATTAATCAACCAGGGAAATTATGGTGATATTTATTAGTCTACATTTTGACCCTATTCATCTGTAGTGTCTTGCCTTAACTGAGAATTGTTGCGCTCAACGTGCTCTATTATAATGTCAAAGGTAATATTAATTAATTCAAGTTAATTAGAAAATGAATCATATTACGAAATGAAATGTGTAAGTATTGAGCAGCGAGTCTCTTTGGGTTTCCGTCTGTCAGCGGTTCAAATCCTTCTTGGCTGAACTGATTCGGTTGGATGAGGAATGATTGTGAAGTGCAGTCATAAAGGTGAAGTGTGTCATTTGCAGAAATGTGCAGAATACTGTGTGCAAAACCATAATGCGCTCAGCTTGACCTTCATTTCCACTGTGATGAATGAACTGGAGCTGATTTCATCTGATCAGCCGTCAAGAGTGAAGAAATGTTTGTTTTTTTACACAAAATGCATTAAAAATGCAGATTTGTGTTTCTAGCATGACTGGGCTGGCAGTCACTGAATTAAACATGAGGTCATGTGACAATAATGTTGCATACTACTTTTTAAAATGCTTATTGTTGCACAATGCATACCTAAAAATAGCTTGTAGTGCATGCTGTAAACATTGCAATCTTTTACTTTCATTTTTCTTTGATTTTGATGTTCAAAAATAATGATGCATTGAATAGAATTGAAAAATTAACGTGTTTTTTTTCTTAGTCAAAATATGATTGACGATCACTGAATCGACCTAAATACACACTTTTATACCAACAAAACTCATTTTTATGGGTTAAATCAGGTAGAGATAGCTTTTTAAGGTAACATTATCTTTGGTTTCAAATCTCTATAGTTTAGTTTGTATTTTGTATCAGATCATTGATCATTATCAGTGCCCCTTATTATGCTATTTTATAGGTTCCTAATGTTGCTTTGGAGTCTCCCACAATAGGTTTACATGCATCCAAGGTCAAAAAAAGCTTTTCATTTTCTGCGGATACCTATTCTACATTGCAGCATCAGCTCTTTTCTCAAAGAGTCTGAAACCGGTTCGTTTGAAGGTTCAGTCTCTCTAAAGTGTATTTGCATTGCCGAAAACAGCGTCTTCTCAACAACACCACGAACCAAACGTCACAGCTACAGCTACAGCGTTTGAGGGCGGGCCAAAGTAAATGTAGTTCACAGGCAACCAATTATGCAGATTTGTTAAATCTTTAAAACTTTGCAGGCCCTTTACATTCACAAACTGCTATGTTACACACCGCATGAAAGGTTATGTTGGAAAAAAGCATAAAAGAGGCAGCCAGCCAGGTATTGCAACATGACTTTTCCTCCAAGATCTTGTGTGTGTTCCGCTCCTTCATGAGTTTTGTAGTCCCTTCCTCAGAGACGCATCTATAAAACATGCTGCTGCCACTTCCATGTTTCACTGTAGGGACGCTGTGTGTGTTCATTGTGATATACTGACAATCTTTAGCACTTAAGCATGAAGGCCCAAAAGTTGGTTTTGTCATCTTCCTCCAGTGTGCTTTTGGCTGAGCTCCAGTTGAGATGTTTTTATTGTTGTGAACTGTTGTCTGGTGTGTTTTATTCTGCCATGACGACTGTAACTCCTTTAGGCATGAGTCTCTTTCGTCTCTTTCTCGTATGCGGACACTGTGTTTGGAGGGCAGCCAGTCCTGGGCAGATTCACACTTGTGAATGTCACCTTTTTAATGATGGTGTTCGCTGTGCTTTAAGGCATATTCAATGTTAATGGCTGCAAGTTGTTTAGTGGGTTGAATAAACGTTTTTGGGGAAGAATGAATCAGTGCCGGCGAGGTTTGTTTTAGTGTTATGCAGGGTGGGAAATTAGCACCAGCCACCAGCCAATGGCTGGTACTTTTTCAAAGTGGCAGGTGACTTTGCCTTGTATACCTGCCACAGTGGCGGCTAGATTGTAAAACATTTTTATTGGTTACTAAAAACATTCCTTGTAACGGATTGGACAGCTTTTGTCAAAGAATGCTGTTGCTAAGTAACAATAATGCACTTTTGTCGAGTAACTAATTTGATTGGTTTTCAGCGCTGTACATCACGAACACGGCGCTGAACGGACCGTGACACATATAGCTGAGCTGAGGTACAGACGAAAGGAAAATAAAAACAATTTGGCGACATATACCCGGCCCGCCGCGGAGTCAGCAGTAGCTATGAATGTACAAACTGAAAGGGTGGCTGGTGGGCAAAAAAGTTCATTTCCCACCCTGGTGTTATGTTTCGAGGCATATAGTAGATTCATGCATTTGAATTGCATATAACATTCCCATCTATTACACTGTATAATATAATAGCAGTATATAATATGATATACACACTATATAGCTACCTTCTGTTTGAAAATGAATTTTTATTGATTACTTTTTTTTGTTGAATTTATAAATGCTAGGTCTGTGTGTCTTTTAATCTTTGTAAAGCACTTTGGTCAACCTTGGTTGTGTCGTAAATGTGCTCTATAAATAAATGATTGATTGATTGATTGATTGATTGATTGATAGCATAATAGTAAAATATACGGTTTGGACGCCTCAGGAGTTGACGTGAAATTGAAAGTGCTGAGTTTCTCTGTCATCTTCTCCCGCAGGGTCATGATCGGAGGAGTGCGTGTGCGAGCGCTGTACAACTACACCGGAGAGGAAGAAGATGAACTGTCCTTCAGAGCAGGTGACCCTTGACCCTTGTGAAGTTACACTGAATCTCACTGAGGTGCTGACGGCTGTCGCTCTGTCTCACAGGTGAAGAGTTCCTCAAGATTGAGGAAGAGGATGATCAGGGCTGGTGCTGGGGGGTGAAGGAGGGCGGAGTCCAAGGCTTTTACCCAGCCAATTACGTGTTACCTGTGAAAGGACATCAGGAATCATAGATGAGGCACAACCATTCATATTTACAGTTATGGAAAACATTTATACGGTGCCCATCAAAAAATATGTAAATGTCTGAATGTCATTGCATTTTCTTTTAGACTTTTTCAACACTATATCTGTTGTTTTGTCATTTAACCCTTAAATGCATGAATGTTTTGCCAGTCATTACATATTCGGGTCTTTAGCGACCCGGATCTATATCTGACACGGATGGATCTCTGTCGATAAAACTCTCCTGATATTAGAGTAACACTTACAGAAGCATATTTTGTTATCTTTTGGAGCTTGGAAGGGGTTCAGTTTGAGCAGATATTTTACCATCATCACTGTCCTCATCAGAGCTCATTTCCCAGTACATTCAGCATCTGGCTCATATTCGCCAGCCCAGCCATAATCTCAAAACCATTGTTTTCATCTTCAAAACCAATATTTTGACCGCTGACAGCTCCTTTACTAGATCCACCATCATCAAGTGACAGTGACAGTAATATTTGATTGCGTCAGTACTCGAGTCACTGAGCCATTTCAAGTTTTCCTGATTATTCTTCCTATTCTTTTGTTTTCTGCCTGCGGCAACTATGAGTGAAACATCACGCCATCATTGTGGATCAGACATCGCCACCATGTGGAATAATGGTGAATTGCACTTATTCAGTCATCAAAGATTCAATTATTGTTGTGCAAAAAAAATATACTTAGATTGTTACACACCTCGGGTCGTTAGCGACCACATACAATTTTTTTTTACAAACAATGAATGGGAAAACACGCATCATTTTATGGGTTTTTTTCTTGTTATATTGTTTATGATGAATTGATTGAGGAATACTAAGAATGTTGATGTCTAACTTTAAAAAAACGAATGAGGTATGTGTTTAAGGGTTAAAACTATCTTAAAGTCTTTCTGTGATTTTTCTTTTTTTCTTTTTTTCAAGTGCATTTGCGTTTTATTTCTGTAAATTAACTTCTACTTAGTTTGCAGTGCTACTTAGTAACAGTGACATTCAGATATTTCCACCGTATGAATGGAAAGAATTAAGTTAACAAGTGTGTTCATTGGAAAACAACCTACAACTACAACCAGTGTTTCTAGTACAGACCAAAATGAAAATAAAATATTAATTCTGTTTCATCAATGGAACTTTTACCTCTTTATTTAATAATATGGGATGTCATTAATTTTAATTAACACATTTTTGCTTTTGGAAAACCTCCAAGAGAGCCAGAGACCTGCAGATGATTCAAGCAGAGTCAAGAAACGGCCTCTTTGTAATTTATATATTGCTTAATGAGGGGTTGTACAAAAACCAGTAGGAGCTTGTTAGAAAGATTACCGTGCACTGGAGAAAAGCCTCCATTATCGTCAGAGCCAAATCCATATTATATTTCACCTACAGGCATTCACACCTGAAAAAGTGGAAGGAATAAAACTAACATTTCTGTGCATTGAACACTTGACTATCAGCTCCGGCTCTGTCACGCACCCAGGACCGAACGAGCCAAGATGGGATTTTAACAGGTATCTGGTTAAACGTCAAGGAACAGGTGCGTAACTATAGCAACCAGTCAATAAATCCGGAATGACAGGGACCTCTGGTGGTCGATCTGAAATCACATCTCCATCTGTTTTAAGGTTGTTTTTACAGTCAAGGCAGAAGTTAAGCCTCAAAGCTTGTCTATTTTACTCTGGATGTTATTTTGTGCATATGAAATATTATAAATGCAGTTTAATTACCATTTAATTTTAGGGATTTTTTTACGTTGTTGAAAGAAGTCTCTTCTGCTCACCAAGGCTGTAATTATTAGATACAAAATACAGTAAAAATGTGAAATAATATTATATTACCATTTAAAAAATGAGATAAAAATAATTTAAAATAACTGTTTTCTATTTGAATATATGGTAAAATGTAATTTATAGTAAAATGTAATTTATTCCTGTGATCAAAGCTGTATTTTCAGCATCATTACTCCAGTCTTCAGTGTCACATGATCCTTCAGAAATCATTCTGATATGATGATTTAATGTTCAAGAAACATTTCATTATTATCAATGTTGAAAACACTTGCTTAATATTTTGTGGAAATCTTTTATAACATTATAAATGTATTTACTGTCACTTTAATGCATCCTTGCTGAATAAAAGTATTGAATTCTTTCAACAACAAAAACAATTACTGACCCCAAAGTCTGTTAATTGAAAATGTTAATTCATAAACGCACCAATTTATGCCTGCTTTTTCTTAGAAAATAAATAAATAAATAGTCGAATTAAATCTTTAGTTCATATATCATATATTAGTCTCTCGTGTAACAAGTTGGAGCCACTTTTTAATTTATTCAGGCCCAGAACTGTTCACAAACACTCACGTACTTCTGTGGATCATGTGTCTGGCCTTTACCACAGCCTAACACTAGTAATGGCAAAGTTTCCAGTTAGTAAACCATGAAACACCAAACCCTTGTAACGTACGGTGTTCGTCTGGATGCAAGCATTAAAATCTATAGCTAAATCCATTACATTACAATTAATAATTATTTCACAGTTACGGTCATGCATTTAAATTTCTTTCAAACCAGCACATTTAGATATATTATTTTCAGCTATTTTATTCTTGTGTACTATTTATTAGGATATAGCAACTGAACTGGGACGCCGCGATATCATTTCACAACAATAATATCTTAAAGGTTCGTGTTAATTAAAGATGTAAAACAAGAAGTTGTTGAGATTATAATGGTTAATAATATCAATATCATGCATATAAAGTGTCCAGTCCATATGTAGCAGGCGATAGCGTCAGGATTAGTAACAGAAGCACATAGCGTTTCAGTGAGGCAGATACAGAGAACTCATTCACACACAAGCACAGTCCTCCACATACACACACACACACACACACATGCATACATGAAACCCTTTAGTGGGAGGAAACACACAATAATATATGCCACAAGATGTTGACGCACATATGCACTGGAAGAAAAATGAAAGACTGAGGATCATATGACATTGTGAGGGCAGAAAGCAGCGCACGACAGCTGCGTTAAAGACATCAGCCAAACTGATGACACAGCTCCAGTTTCAGCTTAAACCAGAGCGAGTGATATAGACGCCGCAAACCGGGGGAGTTGTTTATTGTTTGTTTGTTTATATTTGTGTGTGCGTGCGTCTGTGCGTGTTGTACGGAACGAAGTGAGGTGAGGGAAGGCAGAATATCCACTGCACCACTGTGTGACTGGATTCTTAATGGGAGGGGGGATGGAGAGAGAGGGAGAGAGAGAGAGAGGTAGATGGCTTATCATTAAGTCATAATACATACTGGAGGACACAAGTGTGTGGGACGCAGACAGAGTTCAACAGAACCACAGGAGAGCTCAAACAGGGCCGCTAATGTGAACTAACTACCTCAAGCATGTTCAACATGGAGGCCGAGCACCATTACCATTACGCCCGCTAGATCTGGTCAAGACGCCCTGCTTATTCATTTATTCCTTTACTGGGAGAATCAGCTTTGCTAGCGGTCATCAGCATTTTCCAGGAGCTGCAAAAATACCCTAATACAAATGCAACTTTTTTTGGTCACACTTTAGGGTCCAATCCTCACTAAATAATTAACTACGACTTTTGCCTCAGTAAACTTCTAATCACTGCGTATTAATAGTTAGTAAGGTGGTTGTTAAGTTTACGTATTGGATTAAGAGATGTAGAATATGGTCATGCAGAATAAGGCATTAATATGTGCTAATAAACAGCCAATATCCTAGTATGCAATAAGTTAGAAATTGCATGGTGAGCAATTATGAGATAAAATTGCCTCTGAAACTGAGTTTGCATACATAGACATCAGCGTAAATGTGTGTTTTAGGCCCGCCTGTGAATTCATCTGTTATATTTTAGAAATAACTCGAACAAATATTGTGCTCTTAAAAATGAAGGTTCTTTATTGGCATTGATGGTTCCGCTGGGAACCTTTAACATCCACTGAGTCTTTCCACTGCACTAAAACAAAAAAGAAAATATGTTTTTATGTCTATCCACAGGCAGGACCTTCATGTTCCAAAGCTGAAACTAGACGAACTTGAACGTCTTATTGCTTCATGGTTATCATCTCCTGAAAACATTTAGTGTGAGTTATCTGTTATATCAACCCTCAACAATGGTGACATTTAACAAATATACATTTCGTTTATATACACCAAGTATAATTTCCATTTCATGCCATAACGCTGTGACTGTATACTTTAATAATGCACAAGAAAGAAAGAAAGAAAAACATTTTGTGAACAAAATAATCATTCTGTGAATATGATGATTAATTCACCCGCATACACGAAACTAATTTAGTCCATTAAATAGCCAGGTCACCAGCAACGTCAAGGTCATGGGTTCGAGTCGCAGGAAATGCATGAAAAATACCTTGTAATGCAATGTAAGTGGCTCTGGATAAAAGCATCTGCCAAATGCATATATGTAATGTAAAATGCAGTGTTCTGATAGGGTTGCAGACAGCAATGTAAAAGCACTTCTAACTGCGAAAGTAACTATATAATCATGCATATGAAGAGAAAACACTTGTCATGCATCCAATCAAACTCTATTTTGGTGCAGAGTTGCACTCGATGTCAAAGTTTTGTGACACCTTCATCCTCAAAAACATGCACAAAACTACACAAGGTACAAGAAAATAGGACCCAGATGACATTAAATAATTAACTTGCTGTGAGAAAAAAAAAAAAAAATCCAAAAGACATTTTTACACCAGTTTAGTATAGTCAGTTTTCCTATCTGTTTAGTCATTATCATGTTAAGGATTTTGCATATTTGGGGCTTATTAACACATTTCAATGTTTTATTTCCTTTTGTAAGATACATTTTTGCAGGGTGAACTCTGAAGCAAAAGCAGCTCAGAACCAAAACAGTGTTTCCATTTGAAATGTCTGTTTATAGTTGTAGTAGCAGGCTAGGCATGATCCCAATCTCAGTCCCTGTCCCTGCAGATGAAACAGTGTGTATGCATGGATGTATGGAAACAGGCTAGAGCAGGTGTGTTTTGTGCATGTCTCAGTGGTCGCTGTATTCAGGACCGTGGCTACGGACTTTGCGTAAGATGTTGCGCTGGGTGCAGCATCAGTCCTGCGTGCGGCCACGACGCGCGCGAGCTGCCTGCATACACTTACAAAAATGCGCCAGTAGGTTTGTACGCCTCGTACCCCGGATAATCAAATTACATTCGATTTTTACACTTTACAGCGAGCGATTGCGTCGTTTTTTTCTCTCTCCCAGCGGTGGTATGATCTGTTAACTATATATTCACCGTGTCCGCGCGCACTGACGCGCTCCGGATCTGTGAGAGACACCGAATCAACGGGAGGAAAATCATTAGAAGAAGATTCGTCGAGTCGGCGCGAGGAGAAAGGAAAAGGTACAATGTGCATTTGATCAGATGAATGATCTCAAATGCTGTGGAACTGATCGATAGGTTTGGTTATCATTCATGCTGTGGGATTGACGGGAATTGGTTTGATTTAGGTTTCCTCATGTCCAAGATGATTCATTAGAAGAGGATCCGGAGGATGTGATGGATGCATGAGAGGAGAACGGTGAGATCTTTCATTCAGCATTCGTTTAATTTATTTATTTATTTAGCTAGTCAGTTTATTTACTTAAATATTTATTCATAGCAGTGAATCTGGCCGTTGGAATTGTGATGATTTCGCAGTTGTGTTAATGATGGCTTGGCTTGATTTGCATTTTTCTTTCTCATTATCCGTGAATTACACAGATACCCGTGTGCCATTTTGTTGCGCGTCTTCGAGGGAGCGCGCGCGCGCGTGTCGGGGCCTCACTTGTGTATTTCACGCGCGTACGGCGGTCTCCGTTAAGACGCCGCAGTCACTAACGCATTCAGATGCACCGATTTACTCTCACATAAGAGCATCAGACCCACTGCAGTCTCTGTCATGATGGAGAGCACTGCATCTGATGCCTTATGAAGGTTAATTAATAATCAATATAATGGCTTATGAAATAGATGTTTAATCCATGCATTCGACTCGTTTTTTGGCCTGTGGCTGGTTTTAACGAAGCCGTAGTGCAAACAGAGCGCCGCCACCCAACCGGATTCCGACATCCAGCATCTGCAAATCAATTTAGCGTTGTCATGGTTACAGTGAAGCTGCACCACCGCACCTGTGACACACACACACACACACACACACACACACACACACACACACACACACACACACACACACACACACACACACACACACACACACACACACACACACACACACACACACACACACACACACACACACACACACACAGTAAAGATGCGCCTGTGGGTGATGATGGACAAAGATGTTAGAGCCATATTAGAACAAAACGTTGTATTAAAATTGTATTTTGCAAGACTTTCTTTGGATTCATTTGAACAATTTCTGATGTAAGACAGTGTGTGTGTTTGCATGCACAATCTTACTTTATAATTAATAAACGTGCTCTGTTGTCAATTAAAGGTCGTAAACTTTTGAAACAAACCCGACTGGCATTAGTTTCATTACCTCCGCTTTGCTCTGCATGTACTCTAAATACGGCGCTTTGGCGGCTTCTTCACTGTGCGCATGTGTTCTGCGCATGCCTGCTTTGATGTCAAAATGGATAAAAAAAAGTGATAATTTGAAATGTAACGCAAACATGTTTTTCTTGTGCATTGGGTTTGTAGGATGATTTTTGATCGTTTTTAATGAGTGCATGATCTTACACTGATTATGTCTCTAATAAATGTGTGAGTTCATGTAAGCTCCTTAAAACCTGTTGTTTTATTAGGTAAATGTCACAAATAGTTTAAAGTGAAAAAGAAAAAGATCGTAACACCTGCATTTTTGGCCATATTACCTCAATTCCACTTTGCATGTAAATCTTTTCTGGTGTCCAAATCTTTTCTTTCTTTTTCTGTGTCTATTGGTTTCCATTTTGATGTTAGTAATTTCACATAAACATGGTGGTGTCGAGCTCGGACTTTTGGTTTAGAGTTCATTTCTGGCCCATCTTACACCTTAAAGCTAAAAGACTTAAAGACTGGTCTGGTTTATGATCTTTTTTTTTTATAGAATCAAATTTAAAAAGTGAGTACAATTCAGAAAAAACAACATTTGTTTAAATATAGGCAGCATTTACTAACATTCTTGCAGTCTGTTTTTTTCCCCCCACCATTCTGCCAAAAGTTTTAATTGTAAAGATGTTTATATAAACAAATTCTGCTGCTATTGCATCACTGTCATCCAACATTCGTCATTATTCTCTATTTATTCCTTGTAAACATCAGTGTTCAGACATGAGTTGTTTACCTCTTGCTCGTATGTACAATGGTTGCACACACACATTTCTTTGTACAGTTTGTAATAAATGTCTGTTTTCATTTATATAAGTAACAATGTGAATATTAATTATTTCTCATTATTCTACTTTTTATGTTTACAGAACCACACATCTATGCACATTAATAAAGAATACTAATTTTCAAATATAATTTTAGAGCTAGACATTGTTCTGACCGCACAAACCTGTTGCCTTCAACCAGTCAAATTAAATATTAAACCTCAAATTTTTTTCAGTCAAGGCCAGACCAATCCAAGTCTGGAAGGTTGAAAAAGAAAGACTGTGTTATTGGCTACAGCTGTGGCTGCTCAATGTTTATAAGTAATAAAAGAAAAAGTGAAAATAAATTGAAATTACAATTCTGCTTTGACTGGGCTAGAGGTCACAGCATTTAGTTGCACAGGTCACAGTTTTTAGTTGCTGATGTACTTACCCTCACACCCTTAGCTATATGAAATACGATAAGCTGTACATATATGCAGTGTTTGACCTCCCTCGTCCTCTCTCTCTCTCTCTCTCGCGCGTTCCCCGTCCCGTGTTTTTTCTTCCAGTAAGCAAGGCCAATGCTGACTGTGATGATTGTGATGGCAAGCAGAAGACTCCCGTAGCAGCATCCAGTGCTGTTGACAACTGTGTGGATTACACTTTGATGCCACAAGATACCTGATTCCACAAGTTAATCGTAAAAAAAGTTAATTCTCTTTCTTGTTTTGTGGATGTTGTCATTCAAAATACACTTCCATATTTATTATTTTTCATAAAATTAACATTTAAGAAGTTTTGAGGGTTTTTGGTGCTCACGATTTGCCTTGTTTTGTTTAGGAAAGGGGCAGGACATGATTCAGTTGCCATGCAGGCTGCTATCGTAACAGGCCTTTTCAGCCCCTCCCCCCTTATCTGGTTGGTCCAACTGTTGTTGTGGCCACACCTCCTTGGACCTCGCTTGGCCGAAGCCAGTCCCGCCTGCCCCAATCCCTGTAGCTGTTCCAATCAAGCCAGTCGAGTGATCTGTACCAGAAAAGGCTTAAATGAAGTTCCACAGAGTATCTCGTCCAATACGCGATACCTTAACCTCCAGGAGAACTCCATACAGGTAACTTCCTTGATACCCTAAATATACGTTTTCTTCATGAAAACCGCATGCCGAAATTAGCTACAAATGAAAATGATGGATTTCTCGCAATGACTTGCAGAGCCTTAGTGTTCAACATGCTTGGTTATTCTTGATTTACAAGCTCTGTTAGTTAGACCTTTCAATGCTACAACCATCAGGCATTGTAGATCAGTCATCTCCAATCACAGAGTGACAGATGGTCACGCATACGCAAATACTGAAATAGAGCAAAATAACAAAGATGCGACATTCGTGGGTTCTGCAGAACAGGCTAAACCTTAACAAATAGATTCAGAAGATGCAGTAACCCCGTTCCAGAATGTGTCAGCTGTTATAGCTAACTATATTCTCTTCCTCTCTTCTTCTTCTTCTGCAGTTGATCAGGTCAGATACCTTCAAGCACCTAAATCATCTGGAAATTTTACAGTTGTCTAAGAACCAGATTCGTCAGATAGAAGTGGGGGCGTTCAATGGCCTTCCCAATCTCATCACCCTGGAGCTTTTTGACAACAGACTCCCACTGGTACCATCACAGGCATTTGAGTACCTGAGCAAGCTTCGTGAACTCTGGCTAAGGAACAACCCCATAGAGACACTCCCAGCGTACGCCTTCCACCGTGTGCCGTCACTGCGACGGTTAGACCTCGGTGAGTTGCGCAAGCTCAGTTTCATCTCGGAGGCCGCATTCGAAGGGTTGCTGAACCTACGTTTCCTGAATCTGGGCATGTGCGGGCTTAAGGACGTACCCAACTTGACGCCTCTCGTGCGGTTAGAGGAACTGGAGCTGTCAGGAAACCAGCTGGGCGTGGTGCGTCCTGGATCGTTCCAAGGCCTGGTGTCTCTACGCAAACTGTGGCTCATGCACTCTCGGATCTCTGTCATTGAGAGGAATGCCTTTGATGACCTCAAGAACCTGGAGGAGCTCAATCTGTCGCATAACTCTCTGCATTCGTTGCCACATGATCTCTTCACTCCACTGCAGCAGTTAGAGCGTGTCCATCTGAACCACAACCCTTGGGTTTGCAACTGTGATGTTCTGTGGTTGAGCTGGTGGCTTAAAGAAACCGTACCTGATAACTCCACTTGTTGTGCACGATGCCATGCCCCACCAGGTACTAAGGGCAGGTACATTGGTGATCTTGACCAGAGAGACTTCACCTGCTATGCACCTGTGATTGTGGAGCCACCAACGGACCTGAACGTGACCGAGGGAATGGCAGCGGAGCTAAAATGCCGCAGCGGGACATCCATGACTTCCGTTAATTGGTTGACCCCCAATGGGACCTTGATGACCCATGGAGCGTACAAGGTCCGGATCTCTGTCCTGCATGATGGAACCTTGAATTTTACCAATGTGACCATGCAAGACACCGGACCCTACACCTGTATGGTCACCAACTCTGCTGGCAACACCACAGCAACTGCTGTGTTGAACGTCTCAGCTCCTGATCCAGGCAGTGGTTACAGCTACTTCACAACTGTTACTGTTGAAACCGTAGAGACGGGGCAAGAAGGGCATGAATCAGCTCGGCAGTTCGTCAACGAGACGATTATTAGCTTTCCAGGACCGCCAGCCGCATCTGCATCAGCAGGTCCCACTAGTTCGATGCTGTCCTCCTTGTCACCACGAACTACGCGTGCACCCGATCGCCCGTTCACCGTCTCCATCACAGACGTTGCCAACCTGTCGGGTCTTGAGGACGTAATGAAGACAACTAAGATCATCATAGGCTGCTTTGTGGCCATCACCTTCATGGCGGCCGTGATGCTGGTCGTCTTCTACAAGCTTCGCAAGCAGCACCAACTGCACAAACACCATGGCCCAGCGCGCACCGTTGAGATCATCAACGTCGAAGATGAGATTGGATCCGCAGGAGCTAGTGGCATCGCAGGAGGGAGCACTGTCCACACTGGAGCGGGAACTGGTGGAGGAAGCGGGCAGAGTCCAAGGATTCATGACCCTGAGATCATGACCCTGCCGAGCGTTGGGCAATCGGATCACCTGAACCACTACTACAAAGCGCACCACTTTAACAACAACGTGCTGGGCTTAAACATGGCCACTGGAATACTCAACAACAAACCCAATCTTTCCTCCCAAAATCAGGCTTCGACCATGAAAATAGGGACCGGTGACATCATCCCCGGCTCGACCTCACCTCCCCTGCCAATGCCCATCCCAATGGCGATGACTTTCCACGGAACTCTGAAAGGCCTTAGTCACGTTCCCAATATGCAGACTGAGCCGCTGTTGCTATCGAATGGCTCCAAGGAGAGCGTTCAGGAGACCCAGATCTGATTACTCACATACACATGCAGGAAGGGAAGTAGACTGGTTTTTACGCCAGTGTGACTGTCAAGCCTTTGACATTATGGAAGTCCATCCCTTTCCGACAGATTCTATGGAATATTCCGTTCAGTGAACAGAGAGACAGGTTTTTACTGAAGTGGACATGGCGCTATTGAGTACACATGTGCCAAAGCAAGCGTCTTTTTTGCAGTTCTTTTTGAGTTGTGTCCGCGTATAAAAAATATAGTCTATATTAAAGTAGTGTAATTACTTAAGTGTTGGTTTGCCACAGTCCAGCGACACAGAGTACACACACCCCGATGTACAGCAGCTAACAGACCTGTATAAAAGCATACACACATTTACACTCCCCGGAGGTTGACATCATTATTCATTGTACTCACCTCGGTAGGTAGTGTACCTGTGTGTGTGTGTGTAAGGGACAGTATTACCTGAGACTAATTCAGAAATAAAGACTTAAACTGCTGTGATCCAGAATACATGCTCATGTTCACTCTGCTTCATGATGACATTCTGAATCTAGCACAAGTGAGGATCAGTTCATAAGCTCAGAAATCTGAACTCTAAAAGACACCAGTTTCAGGGTGACACACATCATACCTAGAGAAGAGGGCAGAGAGAAGAAGCCTTTCCCTGTGAACAATAAGAGTTACTTGGCTGCTGTCCTCAGCAAAGGTACCATGGTACCTCCCAACAAGCCGCCATAGTGCAAACTCTCTGTGCATATCTACGTTTGAAGAGATCGTGAGTGTCATATGTTTGTCTTTTCTCCTGTCAGCGCTGAAATGAAGAGTAACAGCAGTGTGTAAGGGCTATTTCACTGGCATTGGGTGTTTTTGATGTGCGCAGAACGTATCTGGACTTAAAGCCAACATGAAACGCCATTTAACTTCTGTAGTATTTCTATGTGAAACATGGATGCAGGGCGGGACTTGACTTTATCCATCGGGAATTGATTGGATCGTGAAAAGTGGGTGTACCAGAATGGAGCCAGGAGGAATTTGTGATTGTAGCCGAAATGAAAGGTCGTTTCAGAGGCGGAGCGGGTTACAGTTTGATAAAAAAAAAAAAAATCGTTTCGTTTTTTTGGCTTGGCATAATGTGCACAGTTGAATCGTGCACAATAAGGCCAGGAATGTGTGTTAGGAAAGTAAATAGTGTCCATTTTGAGTTCATGTTGACTTTAAAATAAGCTGTATTAAAGCTTTGAAATATACTGGGATACGCAGCACAGGAGAATTTCATTGACTTGAAAATTTTAGATTTTTAACAGAGACAGAATGAAAGACATTGTGAAAATGTCCAGATTTTTCTGATGAAAGATTTTGCAATATGACATGTAATCTTATGTAAAGATTTTCAAGTATACTGTTTATAGACCAAATCAGTGGGTTTGGGTTCAAGGGGCTGGTTAAGGGTCAGGGTTCAGGGAATGGGAATACCGCTCTTTGGGCCACTTCAGATTAAACGTCAGCCATCCAGTTGGCGAAACTTTTCAGAGAGTATTTTCTTTGAAGAGATTTGTGGACTGACCAGTCCTTCGTGGGAGCCATACACGAACAACTGCTGACTACATAAAGCGATCTATTGATCAAGTTCCTCGTTCTTGAATGGCTTTGAAGTTGTATAATAACAATGTGCAATGTGCCATTAACTGGAGTAGAGTACACATGCGTGTATTATTGTAATTGCTGCATTAAACTTTATTCGGTTTTTAATTTCCAATTCATCATCTTTTTATCAAAATGTTGTCGTTAAAACTGAATCATCCTTTTGCAAATGGTGGGAACTTTCAATAATCAAGCTGGACTTCATTTGACCAACTGGGCAATCGTTTTCTCCATTGAATCTAGTTCGACATTGTTCGTTTTTGTTGAAGTGCTATACATAGCTCAGCAACCTGAGGACATTATATCCCTCTCAAATGTCTCCCTGCTATTCTTCATAATTGGAATTATAGGACAAACTATTTTTTTTTTTTCTGTTTCTTTTATTGCTTCCCCTCTTTCTCCCTACAGTATGAAAGCTGATTGTGTTTGAATATCCAGTGGAGTTGCTTAGCAACAACATCATTGCCGGGAAATGCTCTTAAAAGCTTATTGTAGCACCTGACCCTCGTCGGCTGATGCGGCACATAGGTAGAGCAGAACTACGTCAGTATCACATAAGCAAAAGGTTAGTTAACGTGAGGAACGTGTTCTCTGCCTCGCTTTGTGTCCTCGACGCCTGAAAACTGCACATTGAGCTAGGAAAGATATGAGATGATCTTATAAACACACATGCTGGCATGTCTGCATTGAACCCGGATCCAAAATTTGCATAACAGATTTGAACATTTTTGCCTGTTGAATGGTATTGATTTTGGTGGAACACATCTGTATAATTCCAAGCGCAATGATAAAGCAGTTACCACAATTAAACCTTGATTTGGCCAATTAGCCGTATTGGGTGAGAAAAATTCGAATTCTAGAGAGCATTTTTGGTGCAAGATGAGACATAGTCTGTCATAAAGTCTGTACATTTTAAATGCATATATATATATATCGGATCATTTTGGAGTTTTTTTTAAGAGTACACCAGCATATTGCTAACATACATCAACTACAAGTGTAGTAGTTGACACAGACAGGCGTTATAGCCAGCAAACCTCACCTTTAACCTTTCCATACCTCTATTTTATCATGTAAACTTGTGAAATGCAAAATGGCTAAACCGTGACCTGCCCCAGACAGTGTGTCAGAGTTCAGATGTGCGTTTCGTCCCGTAGCAGCTTGTTCTTCTCCTCTATGCATCCTCTCTGCGGTCAGAAAAATCACATTACCCTTACGGCTACTGAGAGACAATTCATCTAAACCTTTCCCCGTTTCAGAACGCTGCTCTAAGCTGATTTCACTGGCTGTGAGATGAAGACACCCATGTTGCAGTGTGTTTTAGGACAAGGCATGCAGGACGCTGTTTCTGAATCAGCACAGAAAGATTGTATTATGAAGCAGTTTCATCACTGTAGACTCTTGATGTGGTGGGTCTTTCTCTCTCCGTCTCTCTCTATCACAGTCTCACACCGACCATGTGTTCATATATTGCCATGTATATAATCTAAAGATGTAAATATTCTCTATTTTTTGACTTACCATGAGCAGAACACGCGTTCTTCAGGATTTGAAACAGAACGAAGCTTTTTGGAAACTATCTGCATTTCTCTCTCCTATTTATGGGTGAATCTCATGAAAACGGGTCATATTTCACCACAGTATCAAATGAACAAAATGACATGGAGAAAAATAATGCCGTTTTTTTTTTTTTTGCTTTGTGGCATATTTAACTAATTTTCCTACTAACATCTTGATATTTTGTTTGTAATTCCCAATTTTCTGTGTATGCTTTAATAAATAAAAATAATTTCTAAAAATGTAAATGTATATTAGCAAAAAAGCACTAGTCATACATTAAAATATATATATATATATTTCTTTTTTGCAATGTTGAGAATAATTATTATTCTCTCGTTTTTTTCTGAGAAATTGTCCCACAATAATAATTAAAAAAAAATCTGTTATGAAAATGACACATTGCAAAAAAAACAACAACAACTAATAATGGGTTTTATTCTCACTATTATTAAACAAAATAAAATACCATTTTGGGGTGAAATTTGACCCGAAACCAGTTCTTAGCAGGTTTTGTGAGATTCACACATATATTTCTCTTATTCTGTCTTTAGAACAACAAACTCCTCAAGAAAAAAACAACAAAAAAAACCTTAAAATTAATCTTTTTTGCATTAAAAAAAATACAGTACTGCTGATATCGGCTTTGTTCTTCATCTGTTTACCTATTTATTTGTACTGAGTATTTTTAGTTGATTTGGTTTCTCTGTTGATGCTGTGTGGTTTGGCTGTGAAGAGCTATAGTTGGTTGGCCATCAGTTCCGGGTCAAAGGTTGTGGCAAATGCTTAACTGTGCGTGTGAGCCTCTGCACTATGCCATTCGCTACACAGACGCTCTTTACCAATAAAACATGGACATTTTGGCTTTAGAACTCTGACTGTGTGTCTTTATCCTCAACTTTGATTAAAGCTGCTGTAAACAATCCATAGACTGAGATATTTGTGAAAGTGTTGCACAGACTCTGTGAACAGCAAAGAAAGGGGAGTGGCCTGTGCCTTTTTTTAGCCAATCAGTAATGCTGTCTGGATGTGACTCATCTCTTTGGGGGGCGGGGTTTTGAAGAGAGGGCGTGGTCTGATTCAACCGCAGTCTGGTGGAAGTTAGCAAACGGTAAAATTGCTTAAAGCAGAATTTCTTCCTTTAATTATTTCATTCTGCAGTTTCTAGATGAGTAAAGCAGTGGTTCTCAACTATTCAAGACCCAGAGCCAACACAGGACAACAATTATTTATCATACTAAAATGTCCTTAAAACCAAACGCTGAAATATTGCCATGAAATGCACACATAAAATTGGAAGAGGACACAGGCTGAAGGAGAAAATGTACGTTTATTATGATTTCTTTGGCTTGTCTTTGATTCTGGTTTCTCTTAAATGTCAAGTTTCATGATTTCGCCAGCACAAAACAAATTGTGCACAACCATGTTTATCCTCATTGCAATATGCTTAACACTTTAGGGTCCAATTCTCGCTATTAACTAGTTTCTTATTAGCATGCATATTACTAGGATATTGGTTGTTTATTAGTTCTTATAAAGCACATATTAATGCCTTATTCTGCATGACCATATTCTACATCCCTTAATCCACCCAATAAACTTATCAACTACCTTACTAACTATTGAGAAGCAGTAATACACGAAGATAGTGAAAACTGGACCATAAGCTAAAACGTGACCTTATTTTGCTATCCTAACTATGCATGTTTACAGTTAGTTGCCTTTTATTATTTGTATTCAGCAAATGTTACTGTGACCTTGCGACCCACCAGTTGGGAACCACATGAAGCCTCTGATTCTCAGTCAACACCGCACAATACACCCCATAGGGCGGCCGGGTCAGTTTATGATAATGACCGGATGACTGTACATGATCCCATAAATGATTCTGAGAGAAGAGCGATGCGAGAGAAATGAAGCACGGTGTGAACTGTTCAGTTTAGCATCATTATACAGGAATATTTGGCAGCAGAACGCTGCGATTGACCAAACCAGAAACAATATGACATTTAGATTACCGGTTGAAAGTTTGGAATAATTATGATTATTTTACGTTCACCAAGGCTGCATTTTCTTGATGAAAAATACTGTAAAAACAGTAATATTGTGAAATGTTTTAACCATTTAAAACATATTTTACAGGATTCTCTGATGAATAGCACGTTCAAAAGAATTTATTATTAACATTATAAATGTGTCACTTTGATCAATTTAATGCATCCTTGCTGAATAAACATTCAATTCTTTCGTTCTTTTTAAAAATCTTACCCTAAACTTTGTATGGTAATATATAACAGTTTCCAGTAAATATGAACTGTTTCCAACACTGATAATAATCATAAATGTTTCTCG